ATCTTTGTAAATTCCAAAATAATTCTAGCGAATTCTTAATATTCTTTCGTGGTTTAACTGTATACTGTTCCGATTACTCAATGGGTTTCAATACGTGTAAAAACTGTATACTGTATCTAATTATTGCAAATGATTTGCCAGTGGTCATGGCGTAAATGACAGATTGTGATGACTTAACATGCTCTGCTCGTAGTATTTCCACTCTACTATTATTTCTATATTTCTCAAAATACGTCATTACAGGCTACTTGATTTATATCGCTTTCCTATATTTCATTTCTTGTGTGGTGCAACTGCAGTAAGATAAGGTGTAAACAGTTTGACAAGATAAAGTGAGTCGTATTGAACAAGCTAGATACTTTGTTTTCCACTAGCTGGATTATTTATATCAGTTATTGTGGGCATGATGTATGTTCGTAAAGACTCTGTTTTAAATGGAGCATAACATTTTCTTTTATTGTTTTTGGAATTTGCAGTTTTAACATCTACATACTTAATTTACTGTAGTGAGCACACTTGCCATATTTGAGTATACATAATTAGAGTTACATGGTTATGTCACAACGACAATATCTCAGCAATATTCAATATTGTGGTAGTGGATAATTGATAAAAATCGTAATTTTCAAGCACTTTTTAATTAATTGTGAAATGACTGATAATGTTATAAACCGCAATCCAAAATTAAATACTCCTATAAAATATGAAGAAACTTTCTACTTTACGGATAATGGAGCGTTTGCAGATAAATTCCTAGAAAACTGGAGAGATCCCTAGATTGCTAAAAGGATTGCAATTTGTTTATGTGTCTACACTGTATATTCACAGCCGGATCTCGTATTTATATGATAATATAGAAAAAACAACATAAGCAACTTTAACGCCTTTTTTACTGTATCACATCACAATCTAGATGATAATACAAGCGTAGCTGACCAAAACAAATTATCTAAAACAATTCAGATTGTGCATTGGTTACAAATATGCATTGACATTGAATTGGCTGGAAAACTTTTATTGCTTTACTTATGTTATCAAGATACAAAGACATAAACTACTAAACACAATTGCATTAATAAACATCTCACTATTGAAGATTTATATTTGTATAAACGACTCTATATCGGTAACCATTGCCGTTCTAAGTATATAAGACAACAGTAAAGCGTGCTTACGTATAAATTGTGGTGACGTTTCTCGCTATATTGTCAGTCGTTCTTTTTTTATCGCTTGCAACTAAGAGGGAAATCTACACTTGTAAGAAAATTCACGAGTGGAATACATGTACATGAACCTTAACCCCTCTCGATTTCACACCTTGGTTATAATTGCTCACAGTCGTCGTTTACGTATTGTGACAAAGTGATATATTAATTTAATGTGTAGCTGTGTCGGCTTATGAAAACGAATGTAACTTGGCAGCATCCAAGGGTAAACGAAAACAGTCGGTTGATGTGTTTTTTCAAGATTTTGAATTTAATCAAAACTTTGTTACTTTGTTGTATATCGGATAACTCAAAAGGATTACCAGCGTGAAGAGCAATTTTTTATGTCGTGACTAAACTGTTGGAGTTTTTTCTGTAATTAACTGTTTGAAGTTAAATCTAAATTTTGCTTCCGGCAAACACCTTTTTGTCTGGCATGTTTTGTTATTCTCTGCTTTTAGGCAACCGTGAACATCAGAGCATGTAATTTTTTACACCTATAAACTGAATTATTTATAACAGACTTATTTATATCTTATATTTATGTCTGTTCTTACTACGAATGGTTACTATGGTCATCAAGTATCACCTACACATGTAGTATTGAAAAGTGAGGTATGTGTACGAGGAAAGCGCAGAGTTCAAGGCATCTTATAAAATATTAAACCAGATATCGTTAACTACAAAAGTTGACAAGCCATTACATAAAATAGATGAGACATTTTAAAATCCTAAATTACCCGTAAATGGTTTGGTGTAGCCCATTATATTCTGTAATGTGATGTAGTAATTCTTAAGTACTTAACAACAAATACACATTACCGACATTGCAGCGATCATGTTGTAAATGATAGACTAACTCGACAAAATAAATTGTTGAAACAGTAATTACAGTTTATTTATTCTGTTATTATTGGAAACTAACTGTGTATTTACAGTTTACTTATTCATGAGTATATGTTTCTCTCGTTTCTGAACTTTTGTGTGATCATAGCCATCGCTTATTACTACGTTTCATTTGACTCTTCGGCGTAATTAATGCCTCTCCACATATTTGATCTGGAGTTCTAGAAATATGTCGTTGCAAAACACGTGACAAAAAAGTTCCAGAGCCACTCTTGATACCAGAATTATTTATAGACACGTTTTATGATTTATACAACCCTAAAGTCTTTAAAGTGCCCAGTAACTGAATAAGAGCTTTAATTAGACGAAACTGTTCATACACTCATACCGATTTAAAACATTTTTTGATGCTGGAACTCCAACGCGATCTTTTATAAATGCTCAATAAAGTATATTTTATAAAAATTCCTCCATCACAAAAGACTTAATTGAAGCTGCTTGCAAATCTCTTAAATGATTAATTAGCGAGGTTTAAATAAAAATCCAATTTAATTTTGCCGAGCTCAACACCCCAAAGATTTTCAAAGCTCGAGAGAAATTTTCGTGTTTGTTTTCTCCAACAAAGCACAGTTATAAAAGCTATTAATAAAAAACTCATTCATTCGTTTGTAGTGCGTGCACCCTTTCGTTCCGCTGTTCCACACAAGGGCTCTTAATGAAGAGCCATGATGAAATGCGTGACCTCCTCATTTTAACACACGCATAGGTGCGAATGCCGCCGCCACCGCGTCGTCCCCATTCCTCGGGAGCGCAATTACCGAGCTTGTTAAAGCGCTTGCAACCGAGTTTGCAATTAATACGGCACCATCCGCACCTTAATGATTCATTAAAACACAATTAAGTGCTAGTCGGGATATCCAGTGCAATGTGGGCAGGAAGGGCTGAGGGTCGCGACGGGGGTGATTAGGGTTATCGGGTGCGGCGGAGGAAATCTCCTTAACGGACCCGACCGGCGGCTTCTCTCTATCACTTGGAGTAATTAGCGATGCGATTAAAGGAAATCACCACCGCGGAGGGTAGAAGATTGTTTTATTGTTGGTCTTTTGATGAGGGCGACGCGATTAGCGATTTATTATTATTAATGGAAGTTGGGATCAGCGAGGAAGGATAATTTAAGTTAATGTGCGCGACGGATTGATGATATAATCAGAATGAAGGGATATTTGATTGGTACAATTATTCTTTCTCTCTTTAGCGCTGATGAAGATCCTGCGTGTGTTTCCCCTACAGGTAAAATTTGTATTCAGGGCCACAAGGTCAAACTGTCTCAAGAGTCTGCATTAGAACCTATAATATTAAATATCCTAAAACAATGACATGACGTTACAGTGAAATAGATGTAGTCCATCTAAAAACTTTCGCGGTTTTTTCATATGTATGACTGATTAAATTTTATGACGTTTCGTTCCAAACCATTTCTTTAAAATTAACGGCATCGTTAGCACTGCAAAATTTTAATAAAGCGATTAATCTAGATTTGATCGTGCCGCTTAATAGATTGGGTACAGAACTACACAATATTCGCGTCTAAAAAGATCTATCCAGATAGCGAGTTTCTGCGTAAAAAGTGTGCAGATCCCGGCAATGCTTGACCGGATCTCTGGTAAGGATCCTCTAAACTTCGATAAACAATCTTTAGTTTGGTTCTGTGGCTTAGTGGTTTAGGATGTTTAATTTTGAAGTAGTAATATTTTATTAGTATACAAAAATAATATCCTGGAGTACATCTACCTCATTCACAAAACTTTGGAAGACATAACCGACGGTTTATGAACTACACTTGACAAATGCCTTGAAGATAGGTTTAATTTCAGTGCTTATCAATTGCGCATTTATTAAAAAATTTTGAAAATTTTGAAATTTTCATAGTCAAGAAGGCAGACCATTACATGTGTCTTTGAGATGAAAGGACCAACAGAAATCGGTATAAAAACAAACCAGAATGAAGAATCGAAACTCCACTTTAACAATGAATGCGGAGTAATTATTTCAAATGAAACATGTTTCTTATTTATCTGGATTACATGTCAAAAGTCTTAAATTAACGTCATAACAAAAACCATAAAACAATGTTTGCTTCTTTTGTAAATACAAACGTACAAATGTGTCTTAAACAATACTAACATTATTTTTTTATATAAACTATACACTGCTTAAAATTGACAAAAATCGTACAACGATCCTTCATTTATTTTAATTTTAGAATTTTACTAACTGTAAGATATAATTGATTTAGAAATATTTGTTCCATATATCTAAATGCCATTTCGCCCAAAAATTATTACATAAGTGTTAATTTAATCATCGTAAATGGGAAACTTCAATATCGAAAGAAAAGACAAATAAATCTTATGAATTAGACAAAAAATACCAGTTCATAATCCACAATGTTTTGATGTGGTCCCTTAACAATAAAGTTCAAATCCCATAATTGTTTTTGTACTCCCGACAGAAGTTAATGAAGCTGCAATTTAACTCGCTACAAAAAAATAATGATATTAAAATTTAGACCAACTTGGAACATTATGATTTATTTACGTCAGGATCATTCCAATAAATTTAATTTCTCTACATGGACTTTACGAACTGATGCACCAAAATATTTTTTCGTATACCTACTAAATTTCACAAGTCTAATAATAACTTTTACAATTATTTACTTACGTGAGTTTGTACTTATGAAACTATACAATGTATGATCAGTCGTCAAATACATGTAATTATCTTTATGGGTTAAGTATTAAAACAACAATTTTATGTAATGAAAGGCTGGGATTGCCGTGACTGAAAATCAATAAAATATGAAAGCAAACCACAAACACTATAATTTGTAAACATTTTAAAACGCATTTAATAACCAACCCGACTTAAATCGTAACTTTGTTTCAGGGCTCCGATGCCAGCTCGGTGATATTCGCCTCGACACCGGCGTCTAGGAAACGGGAGTTCCCCGGCGCCTTACCGCCCAGCTTACCGTTGAGCAATGGCACAAGCAGTTCCCCAGTTCCCGCCCCCACCCCTCCCAACCTGCCCGTACCATCCCCGGCTCCCGCACAACAGCCGCCGTTGCATCCGTCGGCGGCCGCAAGTAGTACGGCCGCCCCCGGTGCCATCAAGCCGTCGGCGATGCCGCCGTCCGTCGGTGACGCCCCGGCGTCGGCGGCCGCACCACCACCAGCTAGTGTTCCAGTCAGCGTGCCGCCGGTGACGATGCCCCAGCCGGCCGCCGCCCCCATGGCGCATCTTCCGGACTCCACATCGGGCGCCGCCGCCGCCAGCCACGCCATGAGGACGGACAGTCCGGCGGTGGCGACGTCGGCCAACGTTCCGGTTGCGCCCGGAGCGGGACAGTACCACCATCCGTCGTCGTACCAACCGCTGTACGCTCCGTACGCGGTTCACACGCCGTTCAGCGGCTCCGCCACCATCACGGCAACGGTGCCGAGCACCACGACGGCGGCGGTACCGCCGCCACCGGTGACCACGGTCACGACGACGGCGATCAAGGCGCCGTCGCCGCGAGGCCACAGTCCCAACAGGGAAAGGGAGAGTTACAGGTAAGAATTTACGTAGCTAGTAAGATGTTTGAAAGTAAGAAGAGCCTTCCAAATCTAATGTCTTGATCGATATAGTTAATGAAAAAATAGAACTGATCCGCTTAGGTGGAGCAAATTTAAATGTGATTTTTTATGTATTACCAAAATTTTTTTCAGTAAAATAGATAATCCCAAAAATTAATCTCAACAAATTGAACAAACAAAACCAATATATTTATCCATATAAAAAATAAATGACGTCTGTTTGAAAATTTAAAAATATTGTCAAACAAATCTATTACAAGCAGCCACCGACAAGTGAATTTGTTATCCTTCAGAAACACTAAACTCCTGAGTAGATAGCTAAAGTTTGTTTTCTGTCTACTTTATGCCAACCAATCTGTGTAGAAAATTATTGTTATCGTATTTTTTATTGTAACGAGTGTTTTTTTTTGCTGCCTTGGCATTAACGAGAAAAGATATTCAAATAAAAGAAACTAGCGGGGAATAACAATACTATAAAATATGCTTATTCATAGTATATTTGAGTTCATGAATAATAATTATAAGTTATCATCATTAAAATAAAATTGTTTCATCGCTTAAAAAAGTATCTTTTTGTGCTTCATTTCAACTGATTTATTTTCTTCAAAATTAGTACCTGCACAGGATACAAAATTATACGACGAAGAATCTATAAAATTACATCTGTGTAAGGACACCATAAAATTGGTCGTAGCACTTTTTTGTCGGAATAACACAAAATTTACAATAGTAATAGTAAGTTTATATAATAAGCAGGTCTTCGGGCAGCGGAGTAATTCATAAGCGTGTGGAAGTTGGGCTGCGAACATCAAGGCCAGGAGTTTACGTTAACGATTGCTGTTCTAAATTAGTGACGAAGTGCCTTAAAGCACGCGTATGGTATTTGTTGTGCAATCTGTCAGATAAATAACACCAATATAAATGATCTTAATTACGTAGACTAATGTGCTGGGTCTCCGAGAATTTACTCATATGGGTTCGAGCCATGATAATAACAAACAACAACAAAATGTCGTCACTTCCGATAAAAATTCAAGTGCAGCAATCAATTATCTGATGTCCTTAATTCCACTTTATTTTGTAAATAAAAAGAACTTGATCACAGGTAGTAGCTTTCAAGCAATTGAGATTTAAGTTTTAAAATTTGCCTTTTTGGGCGGCCGCTTCAAGATTTTCGTGCCACAAATCCAAAGTATACATATTTCAAGACCCCTAGAGTACGGAAAAAAAGTGATCTCCCGTTTCTCTCTGTCTGTCGCCTGTATAAATTTTTAATAGACACGTAATCTCCGAAAGTACCAGATCGATTGTTGTCAAATTTTGTATGTGTATTAGGAATATCATGTAGGCAAAACGGTATCCAGAATTTGGCTAATCATTCCTACCAACAATTTGATGACGTCATCTCAACGAATTCTAAAAAAAATTAACACAGTATAATAACATTTTACCACCAGCACAGGACGTTACCGTCTATTGACTTGTCAGCACGCGGACCGATGCCAAACTTTTTGCCTTTTTTTTTGTCTTGAGCTATGACTAGTATTATCTATGGTGATGACGTCGTCGCAGATTTTTTATTGATAAAATTAATGACGAGTCACCTCATTTTCTCCAAAATGTGAGAATACGTCCGTCATTATTTAATAATGATAAAATAAAAATTATAATAATAATATTTAAAACATTTTGTTCGATTAATAATTTTAGTCCACGGTTTTGAGAAGGCAAACTCATTCAAATGAAACAAATTTCAATGTATAAACATAAACACTCGAAGTTTAGCATGTTATTATTGCTGAGAGTACGTTTTCGGTGTTGGTTATCTCCTTTAAATATATCTTACATTGTCCGTACTTGTGCGCCGTCCTCTTGGAATTTGCGTCTCCCCAGCGTAGGGGCTGCGGGGGTGTTATTTATGGCGCTGGTTTTTCCTTTATGGAGATTAGGACAAAACAGGCCCGAGAGAAGTTCTGTCAAAATAAACTTTGACCACTTTTTTAAACAGGCGTTTAAAGTTTGTCGAAATTGCGTACACTCTATGGCAAACTCAGGAAATTCTTTTTCCATACACAATCCAATTTCGATAGTAAGACATTATCATGAATACTTTGCATTGTTCAGAACAAGCCATTATTGGTTGTTCTAAAAAGAACTAATTTTTTTTACACAAATAAAGCAGAAGATGAAATAACAATAAACCGCGAAAAATTGAAACGTAAGTCTAGAGAGTGCTGTCTAGTGAAATGTGAATTATCTGTCAACCCGACTGCGTTTAAGATAGTAATGATGAAACTATCCATGTTCTAAATTAGGTACATTTAATTCTCTACTTACTTTCCGAAAATAATTACCTTGTTATAAATAAACAGCGAAATATTCCAAGGTCTGCTCCAAATATATTTCTTATTGTATACCCGTTATATTTGTATGAGGACATTAATAACATTTGTAAAACATAACTATTTGAGAGAAAGGTTATTGTTGACGTGTAATCGACAGTCATTTATATGGGAGTAATTTGACACGATCGAGTCGAGTCAGTGGCACAACTGCATTAAAATATTTATGAATAAAGATAATAGTGGGACGAAAAAATATTATCCAAATTAATAGTTATACTTATTTTCCACTACTAGGGCTGCCTATGACCATTGCTATGGTAACTTTTTCTAAAAGTTGCACTAAATTGTTCAGTGCATAATACGCATTTCTATGTTAACTTGTCTACTCTTGTAAAAATATGCTATAGCATGTGGTAGTTCATCAAAGAATTTTTAGTTAAAGTTTCGGTTCATTTTAATATTGGTGCAAAGTTTCTATACATAGCTCAGAAACTACTAACCTTATGCTTTAGTTTTGGTGGCCAAGCGATAATATTTAATACAGGCCGCCCTGACATTAAATACATCACAATCATTATCCATAAACATTGTAATGCACTTGGTACGTTATTTTATCACCATTCTGTATATGCATTATTTCTCGAAATTACGTTTTATAACCGTCCTTCATTAATTTTTATTATCAATTAAAATTTGTGTCAATACCGCGAAAAACTGCAGTATTATGTGTCACTAATAAACCTTCGAATGACCATTAATTTTAAAATAATGTATATTCTGTAAAAATTTCGATGGTGCAGGCTGAAAGACTACTTGCAATCTCGAGGTCGATCTTGTTTCAAAGTTAATTTTTTGCGCATGAACCATGTCAAGTAAGAAATGAAATTGTCAACCCGTCGCACATTAACACGATATATGTATATGGTAATTGAACGAAACGGAAATTAACCGACCTAAAAACAAAACGCTAACAACTAACTCTATTAAGTTAATAGCTCAAGTGTCCTTATGACTTTCAAACTAACCCTATTAGGTTTTTTCATTAAGTGGGTGTTTTATATTTAATAGTAACTAAGTAAAAAATTGTAACATCGTTATAACAAAAAAATTAAAACCAATTCCATAACTTCCATAATAAAACTTTGTGTGTATAATTTGGAGTTTTGGATATAGAATAGAGCGCAACAGTAAAATGGTTTCATGTCAAACTGTTTTAAGCAAAAATGTTTATCCAAGTTTGTGATACTCGTATGAGCTCATTGAATTTCAGACATTTAATTATAATTTACTTAGCAATACAAATTTTTCTACCCATGTTGAACCTTGCCCCTCAGTGGTTTTAGTAATTGGCATTGTTTACCGTTACTGAGAAGAGTTAAATAATTTTAAAATTAAGTGGCGTTTTTGTAGTTACCAACTAATTGAACTTCTCGACAAGTGCTTTAATAATGGTTGTAATAAATTAGATAATACAGAATAATTGATGTTAAAGATCACCTCGTTTATTTAATGATGGAGTCTAGTTGCATATAATTGAGTGTAGAAGAGTTGCAAGCGAATATTTTTATGTTTTCAGTATAGTCAAAACAACAAACTTGTCGTTGATAGGAAAAAAATATTGAAATTAGAAATTGTTGACATATATCAAAATGCACAAAAACATGTTGACACAAATTTAGATTTTTTATTACGATTTGTGCGTTGTTTAATTTTTGGAACATTTCTAGTAAAATTCACATGCACGTGGGACCGACGCAAATCGATTGGTTTCATCAGTGACGTTTACTGACGTCTAACCTATTTTGAGGTTATATATTGTATCATAACCTGACCATAACTGTCTTGTAATGTCATTCAAGTTGAGGTTAGTTTTTAGTTTGTTTCAAAATGGCGGAACCAATAAAAACTGAAGCTAAATAATAGTCAAATCTGCTAAATGTGGCGATCGCATGCCGAAGTAAAACTACTTCAAATCGATAACAGGATTTTAATAAGATCTGTTTTTTACATAATGCAAAACTCCAGTTTTAGAAGTTTCACAAACACTAAAAGAACTATTTGAAACTTGAAAAAATTATGTCTGTTCTGAACTTCACTTTCCCCAAAGATAGAACTGCTATTATCAAAGAAATACTGTTTTAGTGGTATTTATCGTATATCTGCCTCCCATTAGCAAAAAATTAGACAACCATTTGAAAGATAATTTTCTCTATTACACCAGAAATGCACTACAATTGCATGTCGCAGCTTTAAAGAAATTGGATAACGTCATTGTTTTTTTTTTTTGAACAGGAAAATAGGAGAGGTGTTCAAGAAAAAAGGAGGCTGGTCCCTTTGTACGGATAAACTACGAAAGTCTCACATCTTGAGATTAATAGCTAAGAAGTATCCATATTTGTACAAAATTTCGTTTATGAGGGATTAGTTGTTTGGTTGTGGCTTTATTAGTTGATATTTTTCTTGTTATACTAAGATCATTATTAATTGTACAAGAAAAAGATGAGTCTGTATTTTTTTAAACATATTTTTATTGCAGCAGTGTGTGATTTCATCAAGATGACTTTGCAATAGCAATGATTCATTAAAACATGAAATTTTGGAATAAATCTTAAGAACATTGGCATAAGCTAGAACAGGACAATCTAAGGATGATAATAGCAAATCATTCACAAGTACAGTGAAAAGTTACTGGCCAAGATTTGAACCTTGCTGAATACTAAAATGAATAAAAACGAGAAAGAATTAAAATTGTTGTGAGATACGTAATTGATATGATTATTATTATAGGAACACAGTCAAAGGTCTTTGAAAAGTTAGTATTGGCAAATTGATTTAAAAAGTTTCTTTTATTGAAATCATCATTACCGTCGTTAATTTGCTAGAAAACTTTTCCATTATAAAATTAGTTGTTTTACCCGATTTATGGAATTGAAGAAATCTATTTATACACCAAAGTGTTAACGATTTCCGGAGGTTCTTTGAATTTATTATCATCGTTATGAAAGATAAATAACATTGGGAGGCAGATCAGTTAGAAGAAGCATACATTTGGTATTGCGAAAAATACATTGATACATTATTAATTTAACTATAACTAGTAAGGAACTGTAAAAAATCTGTTAGTTCGGTTGTGCTCTTCTTGCTTTACACTTAATGCACGCAGATTTTGTAATGAAGGAAAATTATTATTATTAAATTATTTATACAATTATATGCATATACCTATGGAATCTATATTGAAAAATTTTTATCTGTAGTGTCAGAATTTGTTTAATATTAATATTACGGTACTATAACTTCCTGTTTAATGTTGTGCTGTTTATAAACTCATTAGTGTCCGTAAGGTTAACAATGCTCGAATAGCCTCCATGGTAAAGGACCTCATCAATGTGAAAGAAATAACGAAATTTACGTAAATCTCGTGATAGATTTAAGAAAAAACTTACATGTCAGAGATTGATTCGTCTAAATAAGAAAGTAATTTGATAGTATTAACTAGTCTGTTCTACTATGTACCTATTGTAGATGCCGCACTATTAAACTTATTATGGAGTGTACAAGAGATCTTGTCTAGTATTTAACGAGTGCTCGTCTTCAACTGAAAATAATTTAGTCTCTTTAAATTTTCAGTTGTGAAATTTTATTAGTATAGTTAAGTAAATAAAAAGATAATTGTATGGAGAGTATCTTAAAATGTTATAAAAATAATAACAATGCATCTATTTGTTGTACAGTAACTTAATTTTTGTTTGCAGTAGCAACGTGAGTAGCCTCAGTAGAGGCAGCGTGACGCCTCTGAGCTGTCCACCCCCCACCACAGTGTCTTCTAGTCTAGCCATGAGCAAACCTTGGACGGGTCCTACCCCGCAACTGAGTCCGGCGCCCCCTCGACCGACGCCGCCTCTGCATTCGTCTTTCCCACCTCCAATGTTCACGGCACCTCTGCCGCCGGTGTCGAGGGCCAGCCCTTTGACGTCGGCGGTGCAACCACCCAACCCGAATCCGTTCTCTGCGGAAAGTTTGTTCCAAACGAGTTAGTCGTAGCATAGTTTGAACCGAAAGGGAAGTTAATCGCCAATTTACAGATCAAGCAGATATGCTCAGAAGAGAGCTCGACAACAGGTTTTTAGCGTCTCAGGATCGCAGCCTGGGAGTGGCGCCCCCACCGTACTTAAGAACCGAAATGCACCAGCATCAGCACCATCACACCCACGTGCATCAGCACACGACGTCGCTGTTGCCACCACCGGCCGCCTCCTCGCTGTTCCCGTCGCCGCTGGTAAGATTTGGGGAGCAGTAAACGAATGGAGTCGGTTTGTTTTTGTTTTCTTGGGTTTTTTCTAGCTCGTAAAGTTTTATGGACGGTTTTATTTGCATAAAGTGCATGCGATATGACACACATTAAATTTTATAGTTGGTATATCTATGTATGTCATGCTCATGACGAACGAAGGAAGAATTACCGCAAACAGTACTGATAAAATTATTATTTATTTTCTAAATCCCCTCAGGAGGTGAATTCTTTCAGGGTTTCAGAATTTTCCAGTCGTCGGGGTTTTTACGTGATCGACAGTCTGATTAATATTTCATTCAAACCTTTAAAAAAAGACTGCCGAAACAGTTAAATAATAATAACTTTCAAGTGATTTATTAATTAATGAAATGTGCAAACCGCTATTTATGTGGCTGTGGTCCAACCACTGCAGATGCTGTTTATATATATTAAATAGAAATAAACCACTGTATTCGCAAAGTTAGCTCATAATCATGGACATTTACATGAATATAGCGTTTGTATAATCTTGAAGGTTGTAATAAATGGCGGTGAATTAAATTATCTTTCCGGTATACTTTGCCCCATATTCATTGTGTAACTTTTCTCTTTAAAAAATTCCTTACATAGTAATAAAAATCTTTACGTCCTATCAGAAACAGTCACGTGGCTTTTAGTGAAAGTTTTAATCGATGTTACATGAACAAGAGACAATAAAAAATTAAATACCCTATTATCAAATCTACGAGATCTAGGGCCGGTTTATAGAAGCGCGAGTTAAATATTTAATCCTCGATTAATTTAACACTGGATTAAAATGTGGAATGGGAGCTCGTGATTGGTTAAAACCTGCACGTCGCCTAGCAACGAACCTCAATTAAAAGTTAATCGCGAATTAACTTTAACTTCGGTTTCTATAAACCAGGTCCTAGTTTAAAAAAGGAGTCAAATATATTCAACTTAATTAAGTAAGTAAGGAATAAGTTTTATAACTGACTTTTCGAACGTTAGCTAAGGAAGTATTGTAATGGGATCCATTAAAAATTAAAAAATCCACTTGCATAATTAATTGTGTGTGGAACTATCCTTATCCGTATTCAAAATTAACACTACAATTTATTCATTAGGTATTAGATTAGATAATATGTCTGAGTGCAAATAATATCTCAGTGGAAGCTAAAAATGGAAACTTAAGTAAACTAAGTATTGAAAATACTGGAATTAAATGTTCTAACCAACTTCTATTCATAATAGAACAAAAAAGGGCCCCAAATAAGTAATAACATTAGGTCCCTATGAGTCTAATCCCTAATAATCATGTTGAACCAATTCATTTTATTATTTATGAAAAACGTTTTACTTCATTTTCCTGAAATTACAAGTGCTGTTGTTATTAATATTACACTAGAACTTTCCAAATTAAGGTATCTGCCCCTACTAAAAAATGTATGACAATGATCACAAAATTTTGTTAAGGAACACTCGTTTCAAACATGCGCAAAGAATGCTTCTTTAGTTTATAATTCATAATTCCGTTTAAAAATTTCGGGGATGTTTTGAATTGTTTTACAAGATGGGATTCCTTAATTCAGTCTTTTTAATAGCAGTAGAGAAAAAAAAATCCGAAGAATTTAATTTTAGAGGTCGAGAAATTCTTAATTTATCAGACCCTACAACTTTGAAACTATACATTTTTGAACATATGTTGGTATGGACTTTTCCTCTTATTTTTATGTGAGAAAAACGTTCCTCAAGTGTTTTTCGTTATGTTAAGAATCACCCAGTATATCGGTTTATGTCATTTATAATCAAAATTTAGTTTGCAACGTTTTAATATTTCAATTCAATCTCAAAATAAGTACGTACACCCGCTGAGTTTTATGTAAAACGTCATGTAAAAAAACATGTTATTTGAAGAATTTTAAACACGAACGAATAAAATTATAATATTATAAACTATTGGTCCTTGAACTTATTAATTTTCAAACACCGCTATTGTTGATAATGTTAAATACTACGTGTTTGTTTTAATTAAAACGAAAAACGCGACCTTACAGTGTTCCTTCTTCATTTGAATATGTCCGTGGGAGAGGGGAACAGAATTTTTGATCGATATTTATGGTTTTTGTGAGTGATACTTATAAACGGGTTTTTTTAAATTTGTATGAAATAAAATTAGCAAGTTGAAGTTTTATAATTTATCTAAAACTTTGCATTTATTAGAGTGTGTTTCAGGAATGAGGGGAAGTTCTGCCAAAATAACTTCACACGAACTTTTTTATTCAATTTCGAGTACATTGTCCAAATATGTAAACTAAACGTAATAAACGAACTTTAAAAGGCATTTTTTAACTGAAATTTCTAATATTGTGTATACAACGCCATGATGATGTTGTTAATGTTGCTGTTGTATTGAGCTTTTGCTAAGAGCTTTCATTAAAAAAAATACATTGAATATACATTCTAAAAATATATTACCATTAAAGTTACAAAGAGGTGATTTTGTGTGTGGGCGCGACAGATAAAAGAAAATTCAGCGTTTTTATAAAATGCAAATATTTTTCCACAAATATATATTCTCTGATAAGTACACATTGGTCGCTAACCAACTTTTACGTAAAAGCAACATTCATTACAATGATGTGTCATATCAAACGTGCACTTACTAGCACTAAACAATACCCGATCTTTCTCACTTTCCGCTCTGCGAATCGACTCCATTTTCTGCTCCTAGTTTTTTCCCTTACCAGCAAATTTTTTGTGAAAACTGCAATTTCACCTTCTGTAACCAAATCTCTGAACCCTTTTGTTTGTCATTAGACCGTGTCACCAATGGAACGACTAACGAGACGAAATGGCAGCAGTGTGAGTATAAACTTTAGTAGCAAACAAAACAATTGACTTTTTTGTGTACGATGTGTCATTTGCCGGCAATTTTGCAAAAAATCTGCAGGTAAAACATATGTTACACATGGCGCGACCATTACGAAGTGTCTAACGTGTACTGTTTTTTTTTTTGCAGTTCAAGGACATACCGAAATTAGGTGGGATCGAATCACCCTTTTACCGACAAAACATCGGAATGCCGAATTACCCGGGCTACACGCCTGGCTTAGTTCATCCGGGTTTGACAGCGGGTCCGACACCTTTTGTACCCCCGAATCATCTATCCACGTTCCAGCCCAAGGTATGTATTTTTGTTCAGTGCTGCCATGTTTGTATGCCATCATGCATAAAGGAGCTGAGTGACACACATTGTTTTCTTAAAATTGCGCGTGAAGTAAATTAATTGAAAGCAGGACTATTGTATGTACATATATGAGAAAAGGTGCCGTTGTAAGGTGCTTGACTTCAAACAAACTTCGTTGGCTCCCAAGAAACATTTTTCAGTTTATTTATTGTGTTGAGACCATGTTAAAACGGTAGAAATGAACTTATTAATAAAACGTATTAGTTTTTATTACATTCTTAGAACCATTTGAAGGCGTAGTTATTTAAACGCTATATGTTTACGCTTCGTTAAGTGTAAATACATTTTATCCTTCATTTATTTCTCACATAAAAAATACTTTAGGTACAGTGTGTCGGTCTCAGACAGATTTTGTTACGGCTAAACTTTTATTATATTTTTTTTAACTTACCAAATGAATCATATACCAGTACTACACCACTGAAGAAAACATTCAACACGTTCGAAAAACATATACACTATTCTATTTGAAATGACGAAATTGATGTCATTTCTGAAGGATCAAAGATGATATGATGCTAAAACCGGGAGGGCAATAAAAAACGCGATCAAATAGAGTCATGCATTCTGTTAGCTTTTATGAACAACAATATCCATATGATGGGTAAAACCAAGTAAAAGATCTGATCACCATATCAAGGTCACTTATGTCAGTCGCAACTATTTACATTCTCTAATATAATGTAGTAGGTATCACCATTATAACTGCATTATTTCCTAGAAAAACATTTTAAAATATTTAAATGCAAATCATTATGGTTGCATCACTTACATAAATTATGAAACAGCAACGGTACATTTACCCTACTATCAATGGTAGATATTTTATGGGACTTGTAGACATAACATAATTTTGCAGCTATATATTCGCGAATATCATTACCATATGTAGAAAAAAGTAATTGATTCAGATAGAATCCTTGCGATGTACCTGAGTTAAACTTCAAAGTCTTTGATAAGCATCCATTTACTTTTTTGACCATTAGATTAATGCGACATATTAATAAAGAAATCCATAATATTACCGAGTCTCTAAATTCATAAAAAGACAGCTTACAGTTTAAACGGTCGTAGCTGATAGAGGCTAAAGCTTTATTAAACTCAGAAGCTTACTTTATAAATTTATAATTTTTATGAACAATATTTTCCTTATTAGTGAACTGTGTGTATCCTTAACGTACTAATAAAATGTGCAACGTTCTAACCCCCATAATACGAAAATAAAATATTTATTAAACATTGAAATTGTTTCTTGGGCGCTCTGCGCCATTTAATTTTGTGTGTCAAAAGCCAGTCATCATGCTTGGGCATGCCAATGTGCACTAACTCTCGGCATGCCTTGCCACCCCTAACGCTTTTCTTTGTCCACAGTCGATGCCCTCAGATCCGACCAAACCAAAAGCAATGGTACGTGCAAGATAGTGCTTTTAATACTTGCTTGTCCTCATAACAATCATCTCATGCAGGGAGTGCATGCGTAGAACCTGAGTCTCTCAGATTGGTAAACGGCTTGTAATTTTTCAGAAAACTGGCAAATGGAACGCAATGCACGTGAGGGTGGCCTGGGAGATTTACCACCATCAACAGAAAAGTGGTGAAGCGAAAGGCGGCGCTGCCGGTAAAACCGATTTGTTAAGGCCGCCATCGCACCTGTTCTCACCTAGTGTTCACGCGAGCCGCCCTCACGAACTTGCTTTCCCGCCGTCCTTGGCGTCGCATAGACCGCCCGGCTTCGACCAGCCACATCCGAGCTCCCTTTTCACGCCGCCACCAAGCCATCTGGGCAAATCGCCTTTCGCGGGCAGCACGATGTCACCGTTCACAAGGTACAGACACACAACGACACTCTTAAAACGCACTGACAGAATTTGCGACACGTACAGATGTGGTGTATCCTGAGGACGGATAGAAGTATTGGAATTCTGTAAACATCAGTGTTTTTAGCTTGATATTTTGTAAATTTCACCTTAAATTTTTTATGTATGTAAATCATTGAATTACTATTACAGCAATATAAAACACTTATTTATTTCATTTTCAGTCGATAAAAAAATAAAATATTGACACAAACATTCCTTAGTCAATTTTTTATTTTCTAAATTACACATGAGTCGTAAATACGCCAAAACTTTTATTTATCGACATAAAAAAAATCTATTGGCGTTAAAAGTAAACAGTAGTAGTGCAACGAGATATAGTTCTTCATGTAGATAATTCAATGATTTATCAAAGTCCGTTAAAAATATGTTACAATTAAAAATTATATACAGGTTTGCTTCCCCTTTGACGCTAAAAATAATGGCGTTTACAGAATTTCAATATTTCTGTTCTTTCTCACGATAAAGCCGCTGAGTTTTAATGATAAGAATAAAAGTTTATGTGGTATTGAAAATTTGACGTATCATTTAGTTTTTACAACAGCGCTGAAGGGACCACGCAGTGAAAATAATCGAATCGAGATTTTGTTCGATTTATGGTATATAAAAGTTAACAATTTCATATTACAATATTTTGGTAACAAACGTAATCAACATAACTACCTTAGTTACGCTTGCCTCTGGGGTGCCTGCCCAAGGAAATGTTTTCTGTTTTGTTGCTGTTTTATTGATGTATAACTCCTTTCAAAAATCAACTGACAATGTTCGTTTTAGCTCGTATTACTCTTGCTTTATAGTTTGTAGAATTAATTATTTTTTTAATGAAAGTTTCACCAACACTTCACTTATCGCAAAAAAAAAGCAGTGGCAGTACCACACAAAAAGATTAGGTTAGATGTAAGGTTCATATTATTAATTTTTAATTTTAAATTTCATTAATAAAATTTAAGATTTTGCACTTGGTTGTTCTACATATTTACAGATAAAGATTGACTCCCTGGTTGACGAGAAAAAAAAAGTGGGATTATTTGAAATATGGTTACCGTAAACTCCGAAAAAAAAAATGTTATTTTATTTACTTGCATATTCAGACAATAATAATTAATTATTTTGATACAAAAATTTTTGAGACATTTTGAGAGTTGCCATGCATTGAAGACGAAATTTCTCTATTCACAGAATTGACCTTGAATTTTGACTAGTTACTTGTTGATCGTTTTTGGTCGCCAAAACGTATGTCTGCATTTATATCGAGACGATATATCAAAAAATTAACCTGTAACGAAGTGAAGTGATGCGAACTTAAATTAAAGTTAATTTTGTTTATTAATGTTAGTTATATTTAGTTAATAAATTTACAACAAATGATGAAAGTGTCCACTATCGGGATCTAAACATTTTCTTACCGGCCTTTTAAGACACAAGCAACTGAACGAAATACGGAAATCCAGACGACAGATGCTACAGTACATTGAATCTGCGCATATATTTTATGGTGGTTCTCTGGAAAGTCAGCTTAAATTGATTTTTCACCAATTTCCTGTTACTTTTATTTGTTTCAAATGATCTAAAAAAATTAAGAACGTTTTAACTTACATATATAAGCTCAAAAATGATAAAAACGCTGTATTAAACTCACGAAAAACTATTTGTTAGGTGTTTCTGAAGACTACAAAAAGACAACTGGACAGGTACTTACACTGAAAAATATAATGAATATTTTTAATTAATATACAGGGTGAGTCACTAGGCGCGCGTTGATTGGTATCTCATTAATTATTAGAAATAGAAAAAAATTAACGACCAAAGTTGTATGGTTCTTTGAATACTACACTCTCGAATTATTTTTAACTACACAAATTGTTCTGTTTTTAAGACACAACTTTAATTGAGAACCAGTTTTGATTTAAAATGTAAGGTTATATTTCTGCCAAATGGATGTTATAAGAATAGACACTCCGAGTGATTTTTCAATTGAACACCCATTACTTACAGGGCGAAGGAAGTTCTGTCGAAATAATCTTCGACCATTTTTTTTCTATCTCTAAAATATAGAGGACCACGCGCTTAGTGACTCACCCTGTATAATTAATAATTTTTAAATAAACGTGTACATATGTAGATAATTTGTAAAAATAGTACATCAGATTATTCTGATCGATTTAAAAAATTAAACACATACATCAGGATTGAGTAAGACTATATTCTGTCATTCATCTTTTCGCCATTTCCGTAATATCTGCGTAAGAGAGATTTGTTTTTTTGTCTAATAAAAACATTCGAGAAATCCAAAAGAGTCCGTTAAATTGACAGTGATTTACACCAAACTGAAGACAGTAGTACCACGTAAAGCTTGACATGTAATGCCAACTTTATTTTATTTTATTTTCTACCGCACAGTACAATACCTCACTTAAAATAGAAACAAATAATAATAGTTAAAGTTATTAATTTGGTTAATAATAATTAAAATCGGGCGTGAGGTTCACCCTTAACCTTTTAGAAACACAAAATTAACGTAATCTAAATAAGTAAGATGAATTAATAAGTAAGCAGCAAAATTGCTTGTAGATTTAATTAAAACTTAAGAGAAAAAAAATGAAGTTTCTTTATTGTACTCCGTACTCGAATCCATGAAATTGTAATTCTGTGTAAATTAATAAACTATCAATGGTATCAAAAGCTCTTGAATAATCGAATACAACTAACTTTCATAAGACATTGTTCAACGTGACCCAGTCAATAAAAAAACATCATATAAATTGGGTCTGTTTTATGTAATTATTTTATTTATAAATGTACAAAAAAGTGGAGTTCAGTTTTTGTGGAATTGTTTTAAATTTAAATCACGTTTCTAATACGTTTGCCGCAGCTTCGAATGAAAATGTCATTATTTTACTTACTGTTGGAAACTTTGTCACAAACAAGCGACCCCAACATAACTCGAACATGTTTTCTTTGATAAAAAATTTAAACAACCTCCACATTTTAACGATCCACCAACACCGCAGTGCCGTAGAATATCTTAAATATATTAAGTATCTACACACCAGAAGATTCAACTTTGTACGGCTAATGGGAAATCTTTTATTGATATTTCAAGTTTGAATGAACCTAGAAACAAAAAAAAAAAACTTTGATAATGACTTTCCCTACATCAGTGATGTAAGTCGTATTAGACTTCATAAAGTCGGGCTAAAATTTGGCAGGACATCAAACGGGCGTAATGCTGAAGTGAATTTATTGTTATGCGTGTGTAGATCCTGGCTAAACTAGACAGATTGCCGACACGAGGGTGCAAACCCTCATACATACAACAGTCATTTTAACATACAAGTGTAATCCTTGTCTTTGCTGGGGCACAAATTCATACTCAGAATTAAAACAGTCACTTTAGCCCCTAGATGTGCAACCATTGTGTTATTATTATTTTTAATGGCCACTAGTATCAAAGAATATAAAACGGATAACTTACTTATAAATATAATTCTTTTTATAAATAAATTAAAAGTTCAGTTACCTTTGTCAGTTGCGCCTGCGTTCTTACAAACTGTCAATAATACTGATTCTTAAATGCAGGTGAGATGTCTTTTGTGACATACACTTTTAGAACTTCTTATGTATAAAAAAAGTTACATTTATCGTATCAGAATTTTTGGAATATACTGGCTGAAACGAGCAAAGTTACAGAAAACTTAATTTTACAATGGTTTTATTGATGCTTTGAAATCTACATTTTAATTCTTCTTTGCACTACTTGCACTTTCAAAACCTTAAAATATAAATTAACCAAACACATGCCGTAATTTTATTGTAAAATCACTATAATCGTCAGGTATGGGAGCAGTTTTGGTGCTGCGTCGACGACGTCTCCTTTTGGTGTGTCGCCCTTCGGTAGTGCCAGAGATTTAACGTTGGGATCTCTCCATGACCCATGGCGGGGGTTACAAAGAACGGTACCAAATTTCCCACCTAGTGTGAACACCCTGCCACCAAGCATGCCGGGTTTAGCTCCCCCCACACCGTGGAGCATCAAGCCGGACCCAATACTCGAACAGCGTGAACGGGAAGCTCGAGAACGTGAAGAAAGAGAACGAGAACGGTTACGGAGGGAACGCGAAGAACGAGAAAGGAGGGAGAGGGAAGAGAAGCAGAGGCGGCTCGAACAACAGGTATGAAAATACTAAAAAAAAATTATTGCCGATGAGGGTGGGTTGTAAAAGGTAGAACGATTTTATAAGTATTTGAGTTTCCGGGAATTCGCGTAGTCGATGATGTTCCACTATAGTAAAATAGAATTATTACTGCTTTTTTACTCAGCCGTAGAAGATAAATTACAGCTCGTATATTTTAACAGGCAAATGTTTCTATAAGTAGAACAGCAGTTCCTTGAATTTGCATCAGAAGGAATTTATAGTTTGTCGAGAATGTTAAACATGCAGATTAAATACAGTAAATGGATCAAAAATAAGAAAAATATCTTACAAATTACTGTAATTATCACCCACCAACATGGAGTATAGTTTTATTTTTCAAACGAACCGTTTTTCTTACATACATGTATTTTGGTTTCAATTAATTAAAAAAAAACTTAAAAAAAACTACCGCTATGAATAAATTATATATTACAGGCTAAAATTCTACAGACAAAAATTTTACAGAACAGTGTTTGAAATACTGAAATCAGTTCACTTATAATACAATAATTCATAATATTTAAGATATTATTTATTTCCGTTCTAAAAATCAGAAGTAGGTACTTCCAGAGATAAAGCATCTAAGTTTAAAAGAAGTTACTACAACTGACACAAATCTAATCTAAAATTCAATGGATCTCTTACATTATTTATCACATCCTACTCATATTTTAGTTGCTAAATCTTCACTCTTCTGAATATTAATGATGTTTTTTTGCAGCAACAGCAAGAACGCGAACGTCGAGAGAAAGAGCGCCGGGAGCTGGAACGACGCGAACTGGAACGCGAACGCGAGCGTGAACGCGAACGGGAACGGGAACGTCTCCTCCACCAACAACGTCTGGCTGAATCCGCGAAACAGCTCGCACCGCCCGTCATCCGCGACCGCTCGCCTTTACGCAACGGCCAAGCGGATGCCACCGACATCCGCGTGAAGGAGGAACCGCGCACGAAGGAAGAGGAAATGCTAGCGCGCACCGACCCCAGGTACTGTCGTCCGTAAGTTTGCTGGATATACATATTTATAAAATTATAAGTTTGCGCGATCTAACTTTTAGTCCTAAGAGAGAGAGGGGGGAGTTAAGTTAATGGGGTAAACAGAGATAAATAGAGAGCAATAATTTTGTGAACACTTATGGGGTGTTTCTAGAGTGCCGTAAACGAGAAGTATCAGCTGGGGACGCATAAAATTGACATAATGTGCTAAGTGAAAAGTGACTGGTGTATAACGTACACATTTCTGAAGAAATACTTCATTTTTAATGTCAAGTTGAGACCAGTCAGGTTTCATATTTTTGTTTATGCAGTTATATCAATACGGTCATGTTGTCAGTTTTTTAGGTGACAGAATCTGCAATAAGTAGCGTCATTTAAACTTTCACAGAGAACATTTGAATTGTGATTTATAACAAAACGAAACATAAATGGCAAGTAATGTCAAATTTTCAAAAATAGAATGTTCCTAGGGAGTTATTTAAGGTTAGAGAAATATATTTTTCGCACGAAATGTATCAATAAATCGACCAGAGGACAGCCGGTCCTTATAAAATTATATGCTATATCGACTGATCACTTAAACTCCTAATAAAATAAACATCTATTTTTTACTTTTCTCTATTACTTCCGCAAATAATCAATCACATTAGTATTACTTATATAAATAATACCTCAAGTATTACCAAATGAATAAATTTATTGACGAAGAAATAATTTATTGTGCTGTAAAGATATGATTATACGTTTATGTAACGTCTGCATTCGCTTGGATTTATAATCGAATGAAATGATTGTATTTATTACTAATAAAATTTACGACTTTAAAATTTAAAAACACAACCCACTGGCCTATAAAAAAAGTAAAATGTATTTGTCCGTATTATGTCATGCAATGGACTTAAATTAGACCAAAACATTACACGGTATGTGAAGAGTTGACAAGAAATAGTCTTTATAACAAATCAAGCAATTAACATTAAATGGCTTTTAAATTCTTTTTGTAATTCAATTTTTTTTTTGTAATTGATAGTAACTAAGATATCAATACTGCAATAATTTGCTTTGAAAATGTTTATGAAACAAGTTATAGTTTATTTCAGACAGTTCAATTTCTCTTCCAAAATGGAGCAACCTAAATAATTTTATTTTTGTAAAATTTATAAGATAAAAGGAAACATCGATATGTTATGTACCGAATATCGTGTAAAGACCTTGATAGATCATTTACATATACAATGAAAAGAAGAGGGTCCAGTATAGACCCCAATAGAACTCCTCTGACTGTTTTTAATATACACATGTAAATATTGGATTTAGACTGAGTTTTCTCACGTAAATAAGATCTTAATACTTTTACTGCTGTAACCTTGACACCAAAACAACATAATGTATGTATCCAGTGCGGAATTATATGCGGGGTTTCGACCAAATTATGCGCATAATTTTTATGTGCATCAAACATGTATTAAATGTGGTAATTTTTTTGATAGCATGTTGCAATTATTCACAGTTAAAAACAGTTGCTCACGTAATCGAATACATATTTTATGTAGTGATTACATCGGCCATTAAATCAAGTAGAACATTTTTAAAATGTTCACTGTTAATTTTGCTCACCTGCTCCACTTTATAAAAACGATTGTCCAGTTTTTCCAGAAACTTTGGGAATCGAATTTTTTATTTATACAAAGTGATTATAAAAGATCGTATACCGAGTTCGTTTTGGAGAGTCTGTCAAATAAAAAATTTGAATTATTCATTGCCGATCCGTCAGGCAGCAAACAAACTGACAACTGACAAACTTAAGAATGGTTATGATTGACGTTTGTGATTGGCAACGAGTCAATCATCAATCATCGGAACTAGGCAGCAAAATTCACTAAATTTCAAGGCCAGCTTGATGTACGATCTTTTATAATCAATCACCTTGTATAATACTTTAACAGAAATAATCGTGTTGCTCAAAGAAAACTATGTACATTAAGCAAAAAAGGGAGCCAAAGATTAAGCTCCACCTGTACCCACCCTGATCTCAATTGTGATGAATTTTTCATTCGTTGTCAGACCAAGGGGCGGAGCGTTTTTGTAAAAACCATATTAATCCACAAAAATGTACCATTCTAAACATGTTTGAAGTTGCTTGGGGTAAAAAAACACGTATATTAATAAAAAAAAAGCAAAATGTGAGCCCCGCCCACCCACCCTATCTCAATTGTGACGATTTTTTTTTATTCGTCGTGAGCCGGGGACGGATTTTAATTGCAAAACCTTTATTTTTCTGCAAGAAATTGCCATGTGAAACACGTTTTTAAGTAATCGTGTTGCTCAAAGAAAACTGCATTAGGCAAAAAAGAAAGCCAACGATTAAGCCCCACCTATACCCGCCCCGATCTCAACTGTGATAAATTTTTCATTCGTTGTCAGACCGAGAGGCGGAGCGTTTTTACAAAAACCATATATATCTTCAAAAATGTACCATTTTAAATATGTTTCAAGGTGCTTGAGGTAACAAAAGACTACGTATATTAAAAAAAAAGCAAAATGTGAGCCCCGCCCACCCACAGTTTAATACAACAAAATTCATGTCGTCCATATCTCATTAGTTATAACTTATCAGTAATAGAAGAATGAAATGTTAGAATCAAAATTATTTTCAACGGTACAAAGTATTCTGTTTTTTTAAGCGGAACATATACAATCTCTTTTTTGGAATCCCCCATATATTTTCACATGTCCTAATTAGACTCTTTTTAGAGTTTACCATCATCTTATTTTTGAAATTTGTACGATTCTTTGAGCAGCTAAAATTATTTTCGACAATACAGAATGTTTTGTTTTTAAGGCGTAACACACAGTTTACTTTTTTTGTGATAAAGCACCATACATATATTTCCATGCTCTGGGTGATTATTTCTTAGTCTTTACAAACATTTTATTTTTGAAACTCCTACATGACATTGCCAAGTTATTTCAAGTTCTGTCGATTTTTTAAATAACCCCTGAGTTCCAATATTTTATGAAGTAATAAAAAATATATTTGGAGCAGGTGGTGAAAATCCAATTATTTACGGCTTTTTTAGAATATACAAAAGTCAGGTCAAAAACTGACGGTCATTGAAAATGACATTTAACAGTAAAATAATGCTAGCTTAGAAAACGTTTTCTCGTTTTAGTGTAAATCTGCGTAACGCAGATTATTGAAATAAAATTAATAAATAATTATCTCCTAGCCATCTCAGCTACATAAGGAACATCGTCCTCGAACTTTTGAAAAACTTTGGGTAGCTAGCACTGTATTGACATGTCCACATTACTTTTTTTCCCTAGCAGCCATGAAGCATGCAAATGTTGATTTATTTAGAGGTAGCAAAGTTCAACTTTTGCAACCAAGGTTCAAAAAGAAGATTGAGGTTATGTACGAAATACTTGATGTGATTATTTCTTAAAAAATGAATAAATGTGTGCTACTAACATTACTTGAGTATACGCATGGTAGTTGGTAGACGGTAGAAGATAAAATGATTAATTCAGCGACAAGTGTAAACGATTTTGTTTGTGTGGAAGATTTAGATTAAGTTTGATTAGAAATAAAAACAGAATCATGTTGCGTCAAAAAAGTGAACGTTTATTTTTTCAATTCATTGTCTTATGGTTTCTACTAGTGAAAAGAATACTATATTAACCACGGTTGTAAAGCCATTTCTAGACGCTGCGCATCTCGAGTTCTAATTTGCGCTAATAATATAATATTTTCGACTCATTTGTCACTTTTTTGTACTCAGATATCGAAAATCTACTTTTTCGTCTTGCTCTTATGTTTTTGACCAACATTTTTTAAATAAAAAAGCCAAAAGTGACGTTATTTGAATTCCACCTTTACTGAATATGGTTATGAATATGATTATGAAACATGACGGTACCGATTTTTTTCATAGTCGAGGAGCAAAGTAGCACTTTGGTTTTTATCAAATCTGCAGGAATTTTCCCCCAACAACGAAAAAAGGTTTTCTAACCTGTCGACCTCATCTGATTATTTGTAAACTTCAAACTTAAGATCGGCCGAAAAAGTTCTTCATGCCTTTGATACACGTAATTATTATACCGTTTCGGCAGTAAGACATTAATTACCATGAGTACTTTTTGTTATTCAGATAAAAAAACATATTATAAACAGCAAAACTCACGCACTAGTTCTGAAAGCTACTGATTTTATCACGGACACAAAGCAACAGATGAAATAATAATAATAATAATTAAGTAAGTCTAGGAAATGCCGTCAACTTCAATGTCAAGCACGGCTGTAGAATAGATATATTCTACAGCCGTGATGTCAAGTATCTGTCAACTCAACTACATTTAAGATAATAATGAAGTAATGATTCATGCTTAAGATTTCGCCTGTTTATCTTGAAAATAATTACCCTGTTATAAATTAACGGCAAATGATAATTTGCAACACCTGCTCCAGATATATTTTTTATTGTATGCTTATTATACAGGGTCATTATAAAATATTGTAGTCAACTCACCTATGAAAAACAAATGAAATTTTTCTCGTGCCGCTAATCACCAAAATGATTTGAACTGTTTTGAAATGTCACGAACGTCCAAACAAATCTGTCAGATGTGTCAAAAATTGAAATGCCCGGTTCGCGGTTTAAATTCATTTTAAATAGACACGAAAGACGCCAGGCCAGAGCATTAAGGGTTGCAGTGTTATCGGGCATTTGTGAACGCCACTGCAATACATTTCAGTTTCAAAAATTGTAAATTGTCAGAAAAACGTTTAAGGGCTTTGTCATGAATTACACCTTGGAAAGTCGATTGGAGTTGAACAGAATAAATCATCTGGTCTGTTTTGCAAAGAAGCAATAATTTTTCAAATAATGAAATCCAAAAAGTGAGGTTAAGTTTGTCGAAACTAATGAACACGGTAATTATTTAAAAAATTACATTTTTATAGGTACCCTGAAGGTAAAAATTGTGAAAAATCACGTAATGGACAATGGCAGAGCAAGTCTTATCACAGTTAACGAACACTGAGTACCTAATGAGTTTTTGCAGTAAATAATTTTGCCAAAGTTGTGATCCCGCGAAAGTTCTGTTTGTAAATTGTAAGGAATCGTCAAAATATTGGTGCAGACATGGTTTGTGACCGGTGCTTTTCTCTTGAAAAAACACAACTGAAATCCTTGATCTTCATCCCTACAATAGGTGAAAACTGCTATGTCCAAACATTACCTTCAGCTTTGCAGTTTCTAGATATCTGAAACATGCCAGATCTGCATAACAGGAATGTCAAAGAGGTTCTACCCAAAACACGCCCACATGACCATCCTAATATCAAGATTTTTCAAAATTTCTATAAGAAAAAAGATGAAAAAACCAATAAAATTTCAGGAGCATAGTGTTAAGAGTTCTGTAGCTGATTATGAGATCTCTTGAAACAACAGAATGTTTAATAAAGATTTTTAACTTTCCTAATAGTAAAATTACAATTATTACTAAACAGTAAGTTGAAGTAAGTTTTAAATTAAGAGAATGCAACTAACACCGAAAGAAAAATGAAAGTTACTGAAAATAAAAAACTTTATTGCAGTACCTACATACACTTTCTACATCTAATTTTGTTTATTGGTCACATTCATTTACTTGAAAAAGTATCAGGCCTATGAATCGTCGTCTGCTAACCACACACCAACCTTCATTGCGTGTGATGGTGTTTCTTCAAAAGCGTGAGTATTTTCTATACACCAAATTCTGAAGTTCTGTCAGTTGACATAATAGCCTAACAGATGAAACCAGGCTTCATCAGAAAAGAACGACAAATCGAGAATCCCGTTATCGTCCATATCAGCTTGAAACCAACTACACTACCCAACGCGGCAAGGAAAATCAGCTGGTTGCAGCTCCTGAACCAACAAAATCTTGTATGGATGCATATGTAACTTCTCTTTTACGATTTTCTGACATGGGCTGTATGGTACTCTGGACAGTAAAGATTTTTGACAAAGCTTTATTCGGACTTTGTTCCATTCTCATCCTTAAATCTTCAACAACGTATTCACTAACTTGAGGTCTCCCCGTCGGTTTTCACTTAGAAATGCTACCAGTGTCGTTAAATCTGGCCATAATTCGCCATATAGCGTCTTCAAAGATTCTTCATCAATGACAACAGAACATTTCACTAGATACTCGTTTTTAGACGCCTCCACAGAGTACACTCCATCCCCATCCTCATTTAACACCCCATTACGGTAATAGGCATGATGATTGCGCCAAAGAACTAAAAAAATCATTTGTAACACTGACCATAGTTATTCCTCTCTGTTCATTACCTGAGATTATTCCACAATGATCTGTAGTTTTGATAAAAACTGTTTTTTGAGACACTTATTAAAGTTCTAACAAAGGGGAATACAGCAAAAATGAAAACAAGACAAGTCAATTAACGCACAAAGTGAGGGAAAACGTACCAGTACAAACGAAAAAATTATTGACATCTGACAGAATTTGATGAAGCGTTCAAACAGTGCAGCCGCTAATGTCAACTAATGTGGCGCTAAAAATAAAAATTCCAATATTAGTGTAATCCTTTCCACAAAACTGAAAAAGGCGGCACAAAATGTCACCAAAATCATGGCCTTCTTCGACTACAATATTTTATAATGACCCTGTATAATGGTTACTTATAATTAGAATTAAATAACTCTAATTAAGTGCTTTCTTCCCCAGGTACCACCCGTTCCTGCGACACCCGCCACTGCAGCCGCCCGTGCTGGACCGGTCGCGCATGTTGCCACACACCCTGCCTCACTACCCGCCGCCGCCCGGGCCCGGGGCGCACTGGCCGCCGACGACGGACCCCTTCTACCGGTACGAGCCGCTGCGGTACAACCCGCTGGTGGACGTGATGCGCGCCGAAGAAGAGAGAGCCAAACTGTTCGGCGCGTACGCGTCGCACCCCAGCCAGCTGCGTAAGGACCCGGGCCTGATGCACCTGCGGCCGGGGCCGGCGCCGCCGCCCCCTTCGCAGCACCACAAGATGAGCGTGACGCCCCCGACAGACCTGCACAAGAAGGAGGAGCCGCGATAGCAAATGCCGTGTGATAATAGTTAGAGGACTGCGCGGGAGGAGGATGGATCATTTTCTAAAAGCGCGCAGAGTACGGTCGTGCTTCAGTGATATTATAGTATTGTTCGTGTCTTGGTTTTTCACTTTTAGAAAGTGGTCCATGGTGGATGAGTTCGAAACATCGGTTCGTGAGTTGTACTTTTGAAACTTTCTTGGGGAATTATATCGTAGGGATCCTTCATGACCAGAACGACACACTAAGCTATTGGTGGTATTACGTCAAAGCGATGTAGGTGGGGGATGATGATTGCGATCTTGTCGAGGTCGCGAAAGGAGATAGTACTTTTAATAGTGTTGAAGTTTTGCAGAAATGAGAGAGACTAAAACTAGGTCTCTAACAATATTTATTTCCGTTTTTTTTTTTTTTTGACTAAATATGCTGGCCGTACTTTTTTTTTCTTTTTTATTTTAAGAATGTTTGTCGTTTTTTATTGTTGGTTATATGAATTAAATTCGTAAATTTTATTAAAAGCTGTTAACGTAGGATAAGAGTAGAAGGAAAAGTCTGATTTTCCATATACACTACTCAGCGTACGCCACACAACTCGTGTTGTGTTACTCATAACCCTGCTGCTGCTGTAAAATTAGATTTATATTCGAATACATTACTTAAATAATTGAATTAATTAATATTGAAAAAACTACACTTTGATAGAATACGGCCACAGTGTTATCGACGACTTAACACGAATTTTTTTGGTAACGTGCCCTCAATCACAAAACGTCTTCAAGTTGGCGTTAGACAAGCAAATTGTGTTTCTAGTTCCCGTTGTGCGCAGCAGGCGACAGCAACGACAGCTTGCCAAATTTATCACATCTTATTTTCTCAATTTCGATTACATGTATACATGGTATTTCGTAACAAACGGTTTGTCAAAATTAAGTCAAAACCACTACATTGTAGAAAGCCAAACATATGACGAAGAATCTACAAAATAAAGCAACTTTTTGATACATCCTGTATATGTACAAGGTGTACCACGGTTCCGACTGGCAAAAGATTTACACAGAATCACGGACTTCAGTTCAAGTCTATAAAAAAATCTGAAAAAACACAAAATCGAAAGTAAATGTTTTATCACATTAAATTATTATTTGAAATTAGATTTGATCAAATTTGCCGCCCAATTTTTATCAAACTACTACTCCACATCGACGAATAGAGTGGATGATAATCAACGCCTACTCAGATGTGATAATATGTCATTTTGTTTTTAGCAGTGAAAACTTATACTTCATTTGAATACAATATAGGATCTGTGTTAAGTTTAATTTGTGTGACAACGAATTTTTGTGTTCTCTTCTATTAATGTTAAAATGACACTTTTTCTATGAATATGCGACATTTTTCTATCTTTAACCTATAAAATTGATTTTGTTTTTTATCCTTAGAATTACTTTGTTGCGGTGATTTTTTTAATCATTGTTGATATTTTTAATTCTCCATTAATTGTTTTTATTTCCAGTTCACGCGGAATCCATTACCTAATTACTAGAGCTGTGCGGTTCAAATTTATTTATCCCCACTATCCGTCCCATCAGGCCAGCAGTGCAGGCCGCTGCAGTCTTGCCTTCCTCGCTTCTCGCTTCTCATTGTGTATTATTTTACATAATTCACATCAATCGTTTTATTGTCAACGAGACCGACACTTGAACATTATTAAAATTATTATTCTTATTATTTCGTGGGTATGGATTTTAAAATCATCAACTGATTTTCAGTGAACATTATTTTTCGCGTAAATTTCTTCGCGATACGTAACATCGGCTGCGAGACACTGGTCTCCCGTAGTAGGGGTCGATTCGCAACGTTTAAATTTGGACCGCACAGCTCTACTAATTACACATTATTTTGGAACAATTAATATTTTACTCTCTGATTATATAACGAAGTTATCAGATTAGATAATTACTTCAGTCAGGACACTGAACACAAGGGAGATTCATTTTAATTTGTGACTGATCAAATCAGATGCATTTAGTGGAAACATTTTCGCACTTCTTCTTTTCTCATTGTTTTTCGTAAATATAATTTTTTATGTGCAATTCTGTATCACTTTTGCAATAAAAATATGAACATGTTAAACACTTCCTTGGACCTTTTTCCAGGTCAATGGAAGTGTGTGATGTTTGTCGTATTCGTACTACTTGAGACATGTTGCGGTTAAATTTGGTATTTGGTGCAACAAATCACATTAAAAGTAATCAGGTTTACTGAGGTAGTAAGTTGGGAAAGACAATTATGAAGTGTCGCACCACCTGTTTCGCTTTGAAATAATACCACTTTTCATTCATGATCTCATTATAATAGCATAATCAAAAGAAATAAATGAATAAGGGGGCTATCGTTCCTAGAAATATTTTTGCAGTGGTTTTGTATGTATAATGTGTAGTTTTTATGCATATAAACAGCCGTCAGCATCCCTAAAATGAAAACCCATTTAGACAATTGTGACGCAATCAAGTTGTCTTCATGGGTGCGAGAAACTGCCTATGAAATTATTGTACATAAAATTATTTAAAGAAATTAACAGCTTCTACGTGGACGGAAAGCCAAGAACATGTCCTGTTTTCTGTCATTGTTTTATTTTATAGTTATTATTTATTTATATGTACATTTCATTAAGTAATTTATTTAAGACTGATGACTTATCATCTCTTACATATACATAGCTCATTTTATTTATACTTTTTTTAATTTGTAAGATTACAAACGGCTGCAGTTATTTATTTTCGTTCAATTCTCTACATGGGACCTGAGTTTGTGACGTCTTAATGCAATAATTAGCCTGAATTTGCAGAGGTCCCATTGTGCGTGCCAGTGTGCTCGGTATTTCATTTAGAAAATTTCTTTCGTGTATGTGTGTATTATAGTACTCTTAACTGTTTTTCTTGAAAATACTCAGTGCCAAAATTCTATTCGTTTTGTTTTTGTATATAGCGTACCATGTGGACCAATTTTGTGTTTTTAAAATCTCTACCCTGTACTATGGCACGTACTTCATTATTGTCTTTATCGAGGGGTGGCGTGAAATTTGCCCCACATTCGTGACGAGGTAGCTTGTAAAATAATTAAGTCATAATCGCGTGTAGATACCCGCCTTGTCAAAATACATTTCGATATAATGTAGATAAATCACTGTGCTCTATTTAATGTTTGTTAGGAGGAAAAAAAACAATTTTTTATGTGTACGATTCTAAAAGAATCGAGTGATGTAATATATAATAAATATTGTTTCTATGATTTAGAAACATTAGTCATACAGAAGTTGTAATAGTTTTCGTGTCATGACATTACTTTTACCCTAAATACTTCTTCCATTGTATCTTTTTATCCTAACACTATGAATTTGAAAACTGAATGTGGCTGCCTTGTAGAAGCCGCGACAGCTAAATAAAGTGGACCAAACAGGAGTGAAATTGCTCTGAGCTATAGGACTTGCCAAACGTAGTGTATTGTCTGCAGCGCTGTCACAGTTTTTGAATCCTGCACCTTGTGTTACAATTTTTATTGATTTTTCTCAGCGTGTGGTAGAATATGAATGAAGCCGTATAAAATATGTTTTCCATTAAAGAAAATTACCTGTGTTAACGAAAACGTTGTATTACCATTTTCTCAATTAATTTTTGTTTCTCATATCTTACGTCACATCGTACGTACTAAATGAAAAGCAATTAACCAACCTCCAGGATTTTTTAATTAAAAATTATTTAAAGGTACACATTTCTGGTACAATAAAATTAGTTTTGATTAATTTTGTCTCTTCAAAACAGAGGGAAGGGTTAATTATTAATTATGCTACAATGGAACAAAACGTTCTGAATATTATTTTCGGTAAGTAGCTGTTATTATGATTATAATTATTAATGTATTTTCAAATTTTCGGGACAGTGGGGTGAATCGTTCATGATTTGAAAAATAAAAAAAATTGGAAATGCCGGATCGAGATCAAATCCTGGACTGTGTCAAAGAGAGAAAAAGATTAAGCAAAAGTTATAACAATATACAAAATCAAGACACATTAATAAACCACAAGTTTAATTTTAAAATGGCGTCATCATATTGTTGGTGGACAGAATTAGACAAAGTTAGTAAAGAATAAATAATAGAAATGGCTTATACTCTGGACGTCTTGAAACGTCGAGAAAACATGAAAATAAAAATTTGCGAGATTGACTCTATTACAATACTTCCTTAGAGCCGTTTTACACGTCACAGAGTTACTCTGGAAATTCCTGCCAAAATTAATATTAGTAATTTGCAAGAAAAATATTCTATATTTTGATTGTACAGTGCGCAAAAAAAATGCGCAGACTTTCCAAACATGACCATTTATACGTGTTTTGAACGTCTGCGCAGTTTCTTGCGTACTTTGCCATCAAAATATATAATATTGTTCTCGCAAAATTTCTAACATAAATTTTCGCTATAATTTTCGGAGTGATTCAGTGACGGTCCTTAGCTTACGCGTGGGAAGTAAAATGTATTGTAACATATAGCGTCCCAAAATTACCAGAGAAAAAATATACAACAAGACAGAATGCGTTAAAATTAATAAAAACTTTCAACACAATTTTTCACTTTACCTCGCGAGCGTAAGCTAAAGAAGTATTGTGATAGGGTTGTTCCGACGAATGGCTAAGTTCGTGTTTTCTAGACGTCTTGATAACCCAAAAAGTACGACAGAGTAGGTCCTCCGTTTCCGTCTGTCTACGGTCCCGGATTTTTATTCGACAGATAATCTCCGATTTTGTATTTATATTTGGAATATTATGTAGACGGTAAAACGCAAACCAAAATTCGTCTAATCATCCCCACCAATAATGTGATGACGTCATTTCAAAATTGTAGATAGTAATGGCTTTTAAATTGTATAAAATAACATAGTTCTACACATATAGTTTATGACTCGGTGTTGAGTTTTTATCCGAAACGTCCAAATTTTGTAAAAAAAGTCAAAATTATAAAACAACATTTTGCAATATAATTTTGAATCTGCAAAAGCGAAAGCTTTGAAATCGTGCAGATGTTTTAAGGTTGCGATGGTATGATACATTTTTAATTAAAATATATTTACTTATCCCCTCCAAAAAATTGATGACGTCAGCTCAAAATTTTGCCGAATAAATCCTACCTAAAATGTAGAAAATATGATGAGTTTGTAGTTGTGATTTATCATTCCGTTCATACTTTTTGGACTAGTTTATACAGGGTGACTCAAAAAATTAATGAATGGGTGAATTTATTTTATTGATTTCATCAGGAACTACACAACCGAATGATTTGAAATCTTGGAGATGTTTTAAAGTTATTATGAACATGGTAAATTTTTGGTCAATATGTAGTTGCTCATCCCCCCTAAAAAATTGGTGATGTCACCTCAAAATTTTGCTGAGCAAATCCTATCTCAAATGTGCAAAGTATGATGAGTTTATACTTGTAATTTATCATTGCATTAATATTTTTTAGATTTGCTTATACGGGGTGACAAAAAAATTAATAAATCAGTCAATTTATTTTACTGAATAAATCAAGAATTGCAAAACTGAATGCTTTGAAATTTTGCAGACGTTTTAAAGTCATTGTAAGCATGGTAAATTATTATTAATCAAAATAAATCTGTTTATTCCCGCCAAAAAATTTATGACATTAGCTTACAATTTTGCCGAATAAATTCTACCCAAAATGTGCAAAATGTGATGAGTTTTTACTTATATTTTTTATTGATCAAATTAAGAACGAGTCACCATTTTCCCGAATATGTGAAAATACAAACGTCTTTATTTAATAAGAATCATAATAATGACATTCAGAACATTTTGTCGATTATAGCTTACTACTTAATAGTTTTGATCCTGTTTCGAGGATACGAACTCATTCAAATCAAACTAATTTCCACGTGACATTCTTCCGATGTATAAACATAAACACTCAAGTTGTTTTCCTCATCGAGGATAAGCTAAAGACGTACAGTAATCGGGCAATTTGGTACTTTCATATTTTCTCGATATTTCATAACCCCTAGACAAGGCCGTAGCTAGGGGATGCTAAGTCTCCCCTAGATCTAGACAAGTTATAATTAACTAAATGTGAATTACTAAATGGATCAACGTAAAATGTTCTGTTTTATTTAATAAGCGGAAGTCAGATCAATAAAAAAGTCTGGACCATCGGCGGTGTGGTCCGGTTATTGCAATTCTTAGAAAACATCTTTTAGTTTAGTTATTTATCTTAAGTTATGAGTACCATAAATGATTTTCAGTTCAGTCTTCAATCGCACCTCTGTTATTACATACGGCAGACGTGATTAAATTGTTTCGTTATTTTATTGAGTATTATAAATCACTATTCAAAAATAACAATAATACAATACTTTTATTTTAGCTGATAATGGTTGCCATAAAAAAAACAAAATTCGCAAAATCAAATCTTTTTATTTTTCGAAAGAGCTGGATTTGACAAGCTGTACTTTTTGAAGTTCTGTCGAGGTAATCTTCGACCAATTTTTTATCCTGTTCTGAAAAGAACTGCTTTGAGTACAGTGAGATAAACGATAGTGGGTTAAACCACGAAGGAATGGCTATGGAACTACCAACACAGTTTCCTTCCCCTAAATTCACAAATAGATCCATCCGGAGACATTAATCTCTTCTGAGTCGATGAGTTTATTCTCAAGTACTTCCACTCACTACCAAAGTTTAGATTAGAATCTATCTCATTACACTTTTTATGTGCAACGCCTCATATTTACCACCACATTTTAAGATGGAAACCTATAATTTTGAAAAAAAAAAAACAAGACTTCACTTGCTTTGACGAATATTGTATCGTTTTTTAAACGGAACCATCCGGAAAACAACAGAAGTACTTTGTAGTAGCGTCAAATATATTTATCTCCATTTCTACTAAGATATATATTTTGTTTTGTACAAAAAGTCCAAACCGTTGTTCTGAAAAACGATCGAACCAAAATCCGGAGTTCCTAAGGTTCAAAATCCAGGGAAAATACTGTATGGAAATTAACAACGTATGCAGTTGTATTCTATTAGTTATTTTAAAACCTCTACAATGTTTGAAATAGCTGATTGTCAACAAGTAAAATGAGCGTTCCTATTTGATTCATTTACAACCATCAGGATTCTATTATTTCGCAAAGTTGCCAGCAATGCAAAGGTTTATTTTATTCTGTTGTTTTTCACCCACGTTTAGTCGCAGTTTTCTAAAAAATTAAATTTTCAAACATTTATAAACTATTATTTATATCTGGAGAAAACTAAACAATTTATCGTGACTTCCTTGCTTGAGTACAGTACATATTTTTACATCCTACATGAATTTGTAACAATTTTGTTCAAAAATAAAAACAAGGATGTTTTAAATTGACATGCACTATATTTATCATTGTAATAATTTCAATTCAGAGTTTCACTAGTTCATCAGTATTAGTAGGTATAAAAAGTTAATAAACAAGGAACCCGAGCATCAGATTGTTGTAAATTGACCACTGTCGGTTAGCCACTGGAAAAAATAACAGTAAAACATTACATTTTGAAGGCGTCTCTGATATGTAGGAATATTAAAATAATTTAACCCTTAACCTAAAGAAAAAATCGTAGCGAACTGGACCACTGCATGCCACTGCTAAGATTTTAACTGTACACATTATTTCTCTATGAATGAAGTTGCTTACGCAATATTTAAATAATATCAGACTTATTTTCACTACAGTAGTGACTGGATTAATGAAATTATCTTTTGAAACAAATGAACAGACATATTTAACGGTGGCCAGTAATAAAAATCTGTCACAATCACACCCCAAAAATTAACCACGTGATTTCTACGCACATTTTATTGAACACTACACCAAGCAGAAAATTTCAAAATTTTTCCTTTGCAAAATACGTATGGACGGCATGTTACACATTAAAGTGAACAGTAACAAAAAAAATAACAGCGAAGCTCAAGAAAAATTACAAATCCATTTAACGTTTTCTTTTTCTTTGTATTTTTGTCGTTTTAAATTACAGTAACTCGCTTTGTTACTTATATTTACAACGTGTTTTACTCTTAACATACTTTTAATAATCCTACTAAATTACTTCCTGTACCACATCTGCAAAGCATTGTGTCTCTTCACTTTCTTCTGCAGCTGCAAAACACCATAGAGTAACGCCTCAGCAGTGGGAGGACACCCTGGCACATAAATATCGACAGGAATAATTCTATCGCAACCCCTAAAAACCCCATTTTTAAATCATCCACTTTTCAATCACCAACTAACATACCTGACAACTGAATAAGAATAATGGTAGTAACCACCACCATTCGCACAACTTCCCATAGAAATAACCCATCTAGGCTCAGGCATTTGATCGTAAACTTTTCTAAGCGCTGGTGCCATCTTATTCGTGAGAGTACCTGCAATAATGATCACATCTGCCTGTCTTGGTGACGCTCTGAATACAACTCCAAATCTGTCCATGTCATATCTAGGTGCAGCAATGTGCATCATTTCCACCGCACAACAAGCAAGACCGAAGGTGAGCGGCCACATAGAGCCCTTACGGCCCCAATTGAGCAGGTCATCTAGACGAGCTAATGAGTATTCTGCTAAGTTACTTGTTTTTTGAAAGGGAGAATAAGGTCGATTGGCCGGAGCTACTTCTGCTTGTGTTGACTGATTCCGCACCGGCGGTCCGAAGCTTCCAGTCACAATTTTTGCTAAATTTGGGACACTAACGGTGTCTTTACACGAAGTTATTGCTGTACGTAACATCTGCAAGTGAATGGTCGTTAGAGGTTATGGGAATAAAATGAATAAAAAGGGAACAGGAATGTTATAAATGGTTAAATAGTTTAAGAAATTGAAGGAATTTTACCTTATTATTAAAATGCGACTAATATTTTGCTTCGAATTTTGACAGCTTTACGTAATGGAAATGAAAATATTTAGCAGTTTGACATGCGTTTGACACTAGAGCTGATTATCTAGTAACTTTAGAAACTTTAGGTGAATAATTTTTTCGTTGGTCATCTCGGTTGTCATGTTGTGCAGTGGCGGGTAATTTAAACAAGTGGCTTTTAATAAATGTAAATTTTGTTTGTAAACTGCAGTTTTCGCCCTCTTGTATTCTTGCATAGTTTGTTGGCAGCAGTTTTAAAATCCATATAATCTGTTAATAGTGGATCATCCCCTAATAAACGACGAAAGAGAATGTTGAGTTACCCACATTTACAAAAAATGCGCTATTTAAGTTTTGGTTTTATCAAAAATTGTTCGAAAATTATTTCGACAGAACTTACCTCGGCTCTAAAGTATTTATTTATTTTTCTTTTTTGGTGATGACCCCTATGAGTACCCACAGAATATATTACCCCTGCTCATTGATCCCATCTTCCTCTGTAAGTTATATAATATTATTTTTTCTCTATTTATTTAATTTTTTAGCATTATACCTCCAAATTTCAGTTGTCGGACTTGACTACCACTATTCCATACATTTCTACCCTCCAGTGCAGTAGTTAAACCTATAAAATTGAAAACAGTTAATGCTGTAGTAAAACACGTGTAAAATTCTAGTACTTTGAGGATTAGGAGTTCGCCTAACACGTGGCGAGAAATTCGCCATGAAATAGAAATGAGGGCATTCCTTTTTTGGGGTCAGGAAGATGAGATCATTGGTCTGAGACACCACAGTGGGCGCATCAATCTTATTTGCCTCGAGTGATACTGTTGTAACTACAGGATCATCTGTAATATACAAATGTCTTAATATTTGTTTTGCAGTGACTTTCAATTTATTTTTACCTCGAGGAGGCAAAATCGTTGGTACTGCAGACTGATGCAGCCTTTGTGTACCTTGCACGTAATCTTCACGTCGAAAATGCAGGAAGCACATGAACCCTCTTCTATAAATTTGGTCATTGGTTAAAGCCGCGAATTTTGGATTATTCGTGGCTTTAACCCACGCCATAAATCTATCTAGGCCCCGCTTCGGATGTGGGAACCTAAATATAGGGGCTATCCTGTTGCTGCATTTATAGACTGCACATGTTTTGTGGGTTTTGTGTCCCTCCATTCTTTTTTCTACAAAAATTTGATATAATAATGATATAAGTAATGAATATTACAAAGAAAAAAACAAATTTATATACTTACATTTGTCAGTTGTCCAATATAAACTAAACTAAAACAAAATTCCAGACCACACAGTGCAATGTGCAGATAACAAAACGTACAGTAAAATTAGTGTTTTCCACGTGTTTTCTGTGGTGATTTGGGGTGTTAGGGGAAAGGGTGTAGGGATGTAAATTTTAAAATTTTGAAAATGCGCGCGAATTGGCATTTACAGATTTGGGGCTATAACAGATTTCTTTTCAATGCGACCCCTGATGAGTAGAACCGAAACTATGCAATGAAAGGACAAGGGGGAACCTATTTTTCTTTAGGTTCTATTGTATGGTTCCCAATGATAGTACCAAATTTCCCACTTGTTGAAACACTTGCCACCAAGCATGGCAATATCTATCAAGCCGGACCCAATACCCAATAATCGAACAGCAGGAACGAGAAGTTCATAACGACGTGAAGAATGAGAACGAGAACGGTTGCGAAGGGAACGCAAACAATGGGATAGGAAGGAGGGAAGGAGAGAGAAGAGAAACGGCAGATGGGACAACAGGTACGAAAATAATAAAAAAAATGGTGCAGTGTAATACAAAAAATAACAGTATTGAATTCCTAAAATTTTCTGGGAAAATGGAATGAGCCGTTCCTAATTTAATATAAAATAAATTGAATCATTCATTATATATAAGCAAACCGTGTCAAACGGTTCTGTAAAACGTCTGTAAGATTTTAAAGTATTCAGTTTTGAAATTCAATAAAATAAATTGACTGATTCATTAATTTTTTTGAGTCATCCTGTAGGTATAAGCAAATCTAAAAAATATGAATGCAATGATAAATTACAAGTATAGACTGATCATATTTTGCACATTTCACATTTGATTGATACATGTACCAAGTACAAGGTTAACTCCATACTATACAAAGGCAACACTGCTATTAAATAATGAAACGGATGACGAATATTAGTCTAATCTAAATATTATATGAAAACAGATCTTGAAAAATTTTATTTAAATGCAATATAATTGGAGCAGAAATAACGAACTACTTCGCGATATTTTAAAAAAAGACTTATAACATTACCCTGAATTTAGACGAAGATTTTACTACGAAGAGAAGAATAAATCATGATCATGAAGTAAACATTAGAGGAATTGAAAGCAAAAATAAATGAACAACACAGAATAGATATGATCAAAAATAAGTAGGGACATAGTAATTCGTCTTTAAAGTTGTAGAATCCCAGTAATGAGTAAAGTCCCAACATTATCTCTTGTCTTATTACAAATAAAAGATAATATGAAATATGAATAGTATAAAAAGTTGTAGGTATATTCAGATACGAATCAAACATATAATACACGGTTTTAAGAAAGCTTAATTCGTCAAGATAACAATCCAAGCACTGATTGGAAGCAGTAAGCTTCAAACTGTCAATCATTATAATTTTAACATAAATTCACTTTCGGTACCACATTTGCAGAGTCCTACTCTTCTTCATCTTTTTGTGTAATTGTAGAAGACCATAAATGAGTGCCTCTGCAGTAGGTGGACAACCTGGCACATAAATGTCAACAGGGATAATCCTGTCACAACCCCTAAAATCATTACATTAATAAATACGTTCTGGTTTTTTTTATTACAGTATACCTGACAACAGAGTATGAGTAGTGATAATAACCACCACCATTTGCACAACTACCCATCGAAATAACCCACTTAGGTTCAGGCATTTGATCATAAACTCTTCTTAAAACAGGTGCCATTTTATTTGTGAGAGTACCAGAAACGATAATAACATCAGTTTGTCGGGGTGATGCTCGAAATAGTGATCCAAATCGATCTAAATCATATCTAGGCGCAGCTGCGTGCATCATTTCAAGGGCACAACAGGCTAGACCAAACATCAAAGGATACGAGGAACCTTTTCGTCCCCAATTTATAAGGTCGTCTAGCCGGGCCAAAGCATATTCTGCAGTGTTGTCCAGGTTTTGAAAAGGGGAATATGGTCTAACTGCTGCATTAGTACTCGTTTGTGTTGAGTAGCTTCGTACAAAACCCAGGAAATGTCTGCATGTGATTCCTAGTGATGCAGAAATGATGTGGGTGGAGTGAAACATCTGTAATTGTTTAATGTTTCAAAAAATCGCTAAGATGTATAAGATGCAACAACATTACACAACTAAGGAATAAACTAGTGTCTTTTGAATAAGAATTTCACAAGCCTTCTTTTTTTGTGTACCTATCTGAGTAATCGGTTACTAAAATCAAAACAAATTTTTTATAATAATTAAAAATCCCCACAAATAATGACATAATTTTAACGTTAAACTAATGGATAGTTTACTTGCTTTCACATAAAAAACATTCATTTGTCGTTATTAAACTTCCATCTGCCAATTTTTATTTATTATTTGCGTAAATGAATTTTATTATTATTGGAGAATTATTTTCTACTTACATTTTATTAGACAACTTACATTTTATTAGACACAGCAGCTACGGAGATGGTATGGGTTCTATCTATGATAATTGTAATGCTAATGCATTGGCTTTATGAAGGTCAGGTACCTCTCTACATACTATTTTTGTAGTACAGGAACATACATACACATAATTCAATATCTTATCTACCTTACACTGTATATACTAAAAAAAACGTCGTATCAACAGCCATGGAAATTAATAAAAAAAGTGTTAGCAAAATCTGCACTGTCGTAGTTGTTCGTTTCTGAGGTTATGGGAAATTGTTCGCGAAATTCTTTTATGCATCGTATTAGAGACTAGGACCATTCATCTTTTTTTTTTTAATTTATATTCTGTTTCAAACATATTTTTAAATACAAATATCAAACTAACAGGTAACTTCAATGGAAAACAACAGTACTGTGACAAGATCACAGTTTTTAAAAAAATTATTTCCATGGCTGACTAGACGACGTTTTTCTTTTTCGATTATATGGTACCTATATAAACTTTGATTCACACAGTGGGGATAAAGTGACGCACCAAATTCAATAAAATCTGTAAATATAAAGATAACAAAAACAATCATGTAGCACAAATTAAGACTTCGTTTTTGAACAAATTGAATTTCTTATAATATCCCTTGCGTTGGGGAAAAAGTGTCCAAGTGCATTTTGTCTAAAAACAGTAAAACAAATAGGAGTTTTCAAAAGTCAATTTAATTTTATATTAATTGTATTATAAAGTATTAAAATGATTTGTATTTTCAGGTTATATTAATTTAAAATAGTTTAATATGATTAATTAGTTTTACACGAATGAGTCGCGTAAACCGATAAGAAATTAATTAAACAATACGCGATACTACAGAAAAATGTAAATAACACTTAAAATCAGTTGTGTTAAAATCTGCTAATTGCATTAATTTGACAAATTGAGAATGAACTGAAATACATATATTATAGTATATGCGCCTAATAATCCGTTCTACAATTGTATAATAAATTATGTACTGCATAAATAAATCCACCGGTAAATATTTCATTCTGTGATCGACACTTACTTTTATCTATTGTTATGACAAGGCAAATAAGCTAAAATTCACGATGTCATCATTTTTTGCAACATTTTTATACTGCTGCGTAATGTTGTCATAACTAGTAGATATAATATATAAATTTTCGCTTACACTTACATTAAAAAATAGTATGTTTATTGTTTCTACAGTGTTCCGTGAGCTAGTGCACGGTTAAATTATAACTAAATTTCGGCAGTCATCTGGTTTCTGAAGGCCACCATCAGATACCTGTACTCGTACAACGTATTATTATTATTAGCACCTTATTTCGTTCCATCAGTGGATATCTTACGTTATCTAACGTAATACTGTCTGCGTTAGCAAATAGAAGCAAACATATATCCTAATCTAGAATACCTGTTGTAACATGATTTTGTATAGGTATCATCAAATTTTTCACACGTACCTATCTGTATCCTTTTTGTTTTTCTTGCTTTATTCAAATCAGTCTCTTTCAGAACTATAATTTTATTATTATTATTATTACGAATATTGCAACTACAATCACAATCTAGAAATTATTAAAATACAAAAATTTGTATATTTATTTCCTAGATTTCGCTTGATTTTAATTCAAAAACAAAGATTGTTGTCACATATTTCTTTTTTTCAAATAATTATTTGGGAAAAAAGGGCAGCATGAGGACCTATTGGCAAAAATATTTTGTGGCCGTTTGTTCTGCAAGATTTTGTGAGCCGACGAGTATTTAAATTTGTTTAAAACATAAAATTAAATTATTTTAACAAAAATGATACATAAAAGGTATTTAATCTTTTTCGGCAGGTATAATATATAATGTTAATAATAAAAATCAAGACACCAAGACAGAAGAAAATTTTGATATGAAAGTTAACATACTCGTAATTAACGTCCAATATTTTTAGACTATTCCCTCTTATTAAAAAAAAAAAAAACTTGTACATACAGTGACCATAATCTCTCATTCTTGGGATGAAACCTACATATTACAATACTTACGCTCGAGAAAAAAAAGACATGAACATTTTACAGCTTGCGTTATGTTGTCATTAACTCTTTAAATAATATAAACAGTTATCACTATAAGACTTACCATTTGTGACAGGAAAGACGCAGGACTTAGTTGCGATGATTTTAACTAGACGAAAACACAGCATGGAACTCGTTACATATCCTTCGGTTTCGATCTGTTTACAGTACGAAAATAGCAAGTGTATAATAAAAAAGATACGCATAGTAGGCTATGAAATTAATTTATGAATGTGCCGCTTCATTGGACTTTGTGTTCAATTAATTAATCTATGATTAATCTGTCAATTAGTTGTTAAACGTTGAATCAAATTTGAACTCTGGAAGAAGATAAATTTATTATGGAAGCATGTTTTCGATCTGGCCAAAAAATTGATGGAGAATGGCAATACTCAAAGTCTGCCGCCTAAAAAAGTATTTTTAGAAGGCGGCAATTTTTTTGTCAGGACGTGTTCACGGGCCTTTAGGTGCAAATCATTTATTAACACCCCATTCCATATTAAGTTTACGTGATTGGAATAAATTAATTTTTAAAATAAAAATCCATTTCTAATACGTACATATAATAAAAAACACCTGATGTTCGGTTCAATATACAATTGCAAACCACGAAAAATATGGAAAGGCAAGGAGGAGTATTCTAGTAATCTAAAACCACTTATAACGTAACGGGTTTCCGGAGCTAGGTTGAACGTGTGGATGAGGAAAACTTGGGCAGTACTGCAGAGAACAGACTATTCCAGTATGGCACGGGCGGACTTGAATACAGGCGGAAAAAGTTAACTCGATTCGTAGAATCTATGACCGGTCGTATTAGATGTATGTTTATCAATTAACTACATATGATCGGTCGATAAAGTGGCATTACGAGGGCAGAATATTGCATGCACGTGGTTACTGATTACTTCCATGGCAGCGCCATTGATTAGAACAGCTGAGTGGAGTGTCAGGAATCTCGGCGGCTCTTCAACCACGAGGAGAAAATGGGTTTGGGGTACACTTGGGGTTGACTTGGCGGGCGACCCTGAACATAAACATGTCGAGGATCGAAAGGTTTCCAGATGAATATCCTGTCGACATGGCAGAGCTGTGGACGCTAGGGATGCGGTAAGTTCTCGTTCAGGAGTCCAGAGAGGAGTCATCAATCTAGTCACAGAGTGCCAGGTAGCGCTAGACCTGGAGTTCTGCGAAGGATCGAAGACGAGGGCGCCACAACCTGAAACCCATCCCCAGGTGCATGCTTCCGTCCATCTGAGAATGCTAAAGGGAATGCGCAGGGTTGCTATGGCGAAGTGACAAGAGAGGTAGACGACGGAGAGCACGGGCCGCCACAGACACGGCTTGGGAAAATAAAGTATCGTTCAAGGGTTATTTCCGAAAGTTTAGCACCAGAGCAGGCACGGGGAATGCGAATGTGGAACAGGATCACAGGAAACGGTATATCACACGATGGAGAACTGCCAAAGAGAAGAATGAGGGAGAACCCGGTAGAACTTCAGAAGACGGCAGCAAGAGGTAAAGTGGAATGTTTCCTTTGCAGATTTTCAGGAAGACGAAAGAGGAAGAGATTGGAACGACGGGAGCCTAAAGTCTTCGGATCAGCAAGCAGGGGTCAGGAAAACTAAACAAAGTCGTCACCCTTGAGCGAAAATGCAGCAGTTGAACTTCTCATTTCTATCGAAGCGTGCAACATTGCATCTTAATTGCCATTAAAGTGATTTGACTAGCCATGAGGGTGGGCAGTAGACGATGACCATAGAAATAATATTATATGGAAGTACCTTAGAGAGAGACGCGCGTTGTCAACACAGTGGGACAGAGATAGGGCTGTCTGGGTGGCAAAACATTGACGCGAAACTGCAGAGTGCTGTGTTTCTGGAGGTTTCTTTCGTGCTGTCGCACGGCGTTTGAAGGTGTGCTTTGCAAATTTACGTTTTTTAGGCCCTAGTTACCTTATTTAAATGAGTACAATCTTCTTAAGTTGTATTTTATCCGACTATTTGTTAAACATGGTGAAATCTTATTGTGCGTATAATTGCATAGGACGTGCAAAGAAAGCAATCCTGTTTCACTTTATAGGTAATAATCACATATACAGACGAAGGATTTATTTCGTAATTATAATTTAAAAATTTTGTTAGATTCCCTAAACATTCCGAGTTACGAAAAAAAAATGGATTATTATTGCTACAAAAGGAGGGAATTTTATATCTATTGATTATTATTTTAGTTATTTGTACGTGGATTTAGAAAACAGATTTTACTAGAAAATTCACACAATTTAATATGTTTAATTTAATTAGGCAGCCTGTCACTTTTATCGAAAGTTTAATTACTTTTATCCGAAAAATTTCAGATTTATCAATGAGCATACACTACAAGAATAGTTAACTTGTAGAAGATTATTGTATATATTAACTGAATTCGTAATGTATGGTACATTCTGTATACATTTCACTTTATTAAAAGACTATCTCCACTATTGCACCACTTAACATGATTTTTGTTATTTCACATTACGTATAATTTTAATGTAAATTGTAAAAATATAGTTTTCATTAATAAACGTTTGTTATAGTTAATTGCAGTGGCGGCTCGTGGTCTTTTCGTTAGGTGAGGCAACAATTTCGCTTCAAAATCAGTAGGTATTAATTAACATGTTGGCAATTACTTTTGTTAAAAGACAGATTGTTTATTCGTTTTTATGAAAACAATATAAATAGCTCTGAGTCAATAACATATCTCTATATGGGTACACTTCTCGAATAAAAAACATTTAATTGCGTACACAAACCAATGAGATGGTGTAAAGATTACAGAATTTGCTTTATTAGCATTAAATATTAGTTCATATGATCTAGGGCTGATTTAAATATATTAATCAATTAATTAATAAAGTTCTACTCAAATCTGGATGAGAGGTTCTAAATCTTTGACATACAATTGTTCATCGTAAGAAAACCGTGCTTAAATATTTAAACTTTATAAGAAATTCTGGAGATTATAGGTTCTTATGTTGCTATCAGCATTGCAAAACTGACATTTTCATTGTCCTTTTGTTTTCAAGTTAACTTAAAAGTTTTAATACGTAACCTTGGCAATGCACATGCAGTGAACACCTTTCCTCACGTCTAATTAATGCACAACTAAATGCATTCAGCATCCCTGTTCAGCATTGTGCAGTTTCACCGTGAGATTAAAAAATTCGATCTGATTGGCTTAAGGACGGTAGGCGTTGGTGCCTCCGCTGGCGCTTTGATAAAGCACTGATGACTATTGTCTTTCTCAAAAACATATTAGCACCACTGACTAATCATACTGAAGATATCCGTCTATCTGAGGCATGCCTCCGTCTGAAGTTGGCCTACACGGCGATGATCAGCGCTTATTCCTGTCGAAAGCGCGTATTTCAAAATATGTTACCAAGACGCGTTTTAATAAATCACAGTGTTCCACAAGCGTTATTTGCTATATCTTTAAAATATATTTGAAGTTAACAGATATTAAAAGAAAAACTAATAGTCAATTTTTCCAGGGGAGGCACTGCCTCCCCTGCCTCCCCTGACGAGCCGCCACTGGTTAATTGTTTGAACAAATTCCTAAGAAAACGTATTAATTCCCGTTCAAATGAAGCGTTTCTTGCCACCCAGCACGTGATACGTGGTCAGCCGTCCTTTCCCCACTGATGCATAACCGCTCTAGCTATTTCTTTCTTATGTTGATTACACTCGCTCGCGTATGGAAACGTATACAAGGCTCCATCCACTCCTTTATTAGATCAATGACGATGACCATATCTGTCATGGACACTTTTTCGTCATCGCGGGTGGTTTAGACAACAAGATTACGCGAGATCGTGGAAAGAATGGTTTTGATGTCTAGGTTATTTAAGGGTGATCGCAGGGCTCGGGGTTTTGTCCCTTATAGTAAAGGATACAGTTCGTCACGAAGGAGAAATTTTGCGCAATATTGGGGTTCTTTGAGGAAGGAATTTCCGGCCTGCCACATTTGTAAAGTTATGAGAGGAACTAAAAGTGGCCTCAATGTCGTAATGAGACTGCAGAATGTGGAAAAAAATTGGACACGTCACCTGAGCTTCTGCATCTAGAAAATAGAGCCATTTAGCGGGTTCTGTATGGACAAGTGGTATGAGTATTGATTAAATACAATATGTACCTATGGTATTTAATCAACAATATGAAATGAGAAAGTACAAATTGTAAAAATATTTTTTTTTCTTTTTTAATTCTTATGGTTTTTAATCAACATCACTGACAAAAATAAAAAATAAAACACGACTTCAAGCAACAGATTTTTATTAATGTGAGAGGTACAAAAGTAAAATACTTTCATTATCACAATCAAAGAAATTACTTAAGTCTGTTGTGTACAGCCTATCAGATTCAGTTTAACCACGTCAAAGAGAACACTTAAGACATTAACATTTTGGACAACAAATCGGATTCGATATGTTCAAATTAAAGCAAAGGAAAAAACAAACAACTCCAAAATTAATCAACTAAAATTGCAACTAATGACGTCCATTCTGAATTTTTAATTTTTTCTTATGGGGCTCGCTATTCACGTCATCGCCCATCATAAATGGCACTTTACATTCCAACAACATGTTTGAATCGGGCGGCAAACCTATGCATGCTTTCAAGACATTCTCAATGCAAGCTCTTTGTTTAAACAGTGCGTTAACCACCGGAGTGCCTTGGGGAACTAAGGGTGCTTTACATAGATAACTGAGGAGTGAAAGGACGCTATGGAAACTGGTGTATTCTGTATCGTCGTCGCTCTGCCTTTTCACTTGGATTCGTTGGCAGAGCTCTGCTAGAATAATCAGATCCAGTATAATAGGGGTCGCCAGAAGAGAATCTTCACAGGTGTTATGGACCACTATAGTGTTGATGCCTCCCATCATGATTTCTGAAGTGTACTCGTCAAGAGCGCGTTTAGAATCCCCTTGAAAAGAAAAAAAACGTGTATTTCAACACGATCACATTAAAGTAATAATTAATTTTAAGCACGATGTCGTCAATTATAACGATACACTAAAATTTAAGTTCCATCGTATTTGAAAATAATTTTTTTAAGCCGTTTGTGGGTTATTATCTAAATAATTTATTATTTAGTAAAGGTTCCAATATTTCATTTTCAATAAACCATATATCACATGTAACACATTTCTCCATATCTGATATTTGAGCAGGTCGAACCAATCAACTACTAATATTGAAGTGTTTGTACGTAGTCGCACCTCAGTCGACAGGTATTGATTACATTCTAGCAATAAATGAGTTTTCAAACACGATATGAAAGTTTATCAAAACATCAACGTAATTGCTTTCCAACCCACTACAACTACAACGTCTGCGTATATCTACTTACCAACATACGGTACATATTTGATGACGACCACGTGATCGGGTTTCTCTCCTGGCTTATACAGAATCTCATTGGAATCCACCATGTCGTCAACAACATTGCTCTTCGAAATCTGTTTTAATAACAAACAATTGTACATAGTGCTCATTTAATCAATGTAACTTTGTTGTTTATAGAGATACTCTGCCGAAATTTGAAACAACAAAGAATTTACCATAATAATTTACTCTAACAGTTATTTTATTTACATAAAATTCAATAATATATATTATTATAACCTCATTATTGAACTTTTTAATAGTCGATACCGCAATTCCAATGATATAGTTGAAATAAATGGACAATATTATTCCAAAATAAACCCATACGCCGCCCCGGTATGACGCCTATGGGTTCTAGTATGTACGGCGATGAAGACTCATTGTCGGTGACGACGACCGGAGAACAGCCTGAAAGCGGAAGTTGCGAATGGGTGCTCCAGACAGGTCTAGAAGCGGTGCCGGAGGCGTTTTGAGAAGGACCGCGTGACTCTCTAAATGGGAACCACCGTCGGGAGGAGGCAGAGTTATGTCCAGACAATGGGAGAAGTAGAGTCTAGTCAAATCCATTTCAGTCGGAATTATTTTGATAAATTTGAGTTCCTAAGAAATAAATTGTTGAGTTTTACCCACGCCGATTTAAATCACCCGTTTAACGTAACAATATTTTATAATCAGTTCAATAAATGGCATGGCAAATCCCAAGCAAAAAAGAGAAGACGATAATAACTGTTTTCATATACACTAATTAGATATAATAATAGGTTAGAATTCGATATATCAGGAGATACACAAGAAAATTTAGGTATATTATTGCCGACGTTCACTCTTACAAATGGTAAGTTGTATTTTTCTGTTAAGGCTAGCGTCTGACCTGGTTTCGTCTTATCTTAAATAAACAGGGGACATCATCGCGGTTTCAAGAATGGCATTTTTTTAAATATGATATAAGTACCTATATTTAAAAAAATTATATTTCGAATTAGTAAACTTAACCCTAATTTATATTCATGTCTAGTGTGCAGTTTTTCATAAAAAAAATTATAAATCTGACCAATTTTTAGTCCACTTTAAACGGGCACGTTTATGCATTTTTATGGAAGTGCTGCATTGTCTACGTTCTGAGATCGGAAGTGCCTCGTTAATTTTTTTATTTTTGCGATATGAGAGATGAGAGAAAATAGAAGATTCTTCGACGCAAACTCTTTTCACTGTATCTTATTTCCGACAAAAAAGTTGACAATATTTTCGATGAAATTAATAGAGTTTTATAAACTGAAAACAGTGGTGAAAACTGCGTTCTAAAATTTCCATTATTAATTGACAATTGAGAGAAAAAATTATTTCCCACCTCACTCATTTATGATAAATAAACCGAGCTCAATAACAAACAACGAAAGGAAAATCTGAAAACTTTATATAAAAAGAAATGAAGAAGATTTGGGAAAATCATGTCTGATCTAGCAATGAAGACATACGTGAAATATGTACTTCTTATTTAATAAAAATAAAAAGAAACGCAAGATTAGACCCACGGAACACATTTGAGGTTCAGAAAAATGCGTTTTCATTTTCAACAGTTTCATAAGTTTGGAAGCAAAACGGATCGCTAATACCAAAGGATAATAAGATGCAGATAGCAAAACTTCTTTCGGTAGAGTACGAAATAGAGATATGTAGAACAGTTGGACCGTTATCAATATTTTCATGAACTCACCACTAGGGGACAGCGCCTCTCGGACCTTTAGAATTGACTTTCCTAAAGTGCTAAAATTGGCGCACAGACGCCGCCTTTAAATGGACTGCTGCATTGTCCAGAAAATAAAGAAAGGGTGTGCTAAGGAGGTAAGATCAACTTAGATACAAGTAGATAAGATTATTATTAATAAGTTTACAGCTACAAAATTACTCTCTGAATCGTCCAATTTACAAAAAGATACTAGAAAAGACTGTTTTGGTCATATTTTTATTTCTTCTTCAATCAATTAATAGCCAAATGGAAAACAATTCTTCTTGAAGTGTGTGACCTACTCAAGAAAATTTTGGGATGCAACTTTTTTTTAAGTTATTAAAATACTTTCCGAAATGATTCAAATTTCAGCAGTTTCTCATACAAAAAAATTACCAAGTTTCATGCAATTATCTTACCTCTTTGGATCTAAACTGCTTTGGTGCTGAGAGATTTTTCCCATCATTGTTCCCTAGATGATTATAACTAACAATACTGGTCGGTTTAATACCAGCGCTCACCAAGAAGTCAATCAAAACGCTCTTGATTTTAGTCTGACCCGACTTGAAATCATCTCCTGCGATGAAAACATTTGCCTTGTCGGCCATTTCGATGATCGCTGGTACGAAAGTGTTTTGAGGAGAACCGTTGATGTAAGTGCAGTTCGTAGAAATGGCAGCGTATGCGAAGAGGGTCGATGGCGAGATTTCGGGGTGGTTCGAGGAGATGGCCAGCTTCAAGTTGGCGTATGTGTCATTGACGCCTTCTAAGATATCGCTGAAGCGTTCGGTGTTCGCTGTCCATAACACAATCACCTTCTCGACGTTTGTTTTCTTCTTGAAACTTTCGATGTCTTTGCAGATCTGCTGCACTTGCTCGAGTTTCGTGCCTTTGATGACGTTGTCGGCACGAGCGGCCTAAAATTAAAAAAAAAATCTGTAAATTTCAAGTTACTGGTGTTTTTCAGAATGTCTTCATTTCAGAACGTAAACGATAGCACACAAATTGTAATATTCTTCTCGTGGTATTTGCACTCTAACAATTATTACTTACATTATTGTTTAAGGTTCATCTACAAATTATGTAGGATTTAAAGCAGTTACTCATAGATAAGCTGAATGAAAATTCTCCTAACAGTAAGTGGATTTGAAATTTAAATTCAAATTGTGAATTTCGCCACACAAATATTTACCTACAGTACAATGTTTTATGCAAATTGGTGAATAACTATTGTATTAAAATAATGAAAAAGGGTGAAAACAGTCTTCCAAAACAAATTACAAGTTTCATTTTTATAAATTTAACATTTTAGCATTTTTCGCCCGATTTACTTATAAATCACTGATATTTTCGTTTGACCTTTGCAGCAAACACTTCACATGTGCCGGATGTTTTAATAAAAATGCGTCATTGATTGCATACGCAGAAAAATAAACACAAATCGGCAATATTACGTAAAAGTTGACGATTACTACCATATAAATTTTTATAATCTTCTTTAAGTTTCCGTTAGATTTGACTTGATAGTTAGACGCCTGAGTCATACAGTGTACTTGGAAATATAGGACTAAACTAAACATATGGAGAATTCTCTATGTTGCTAAAAAGTATGAATTTAACTTTTTTGAAAATTAAAAATTCAAAACATTTCACTTTTTTAAGATTCTAATATCTTATCAATGAACTTTACCTGATTCGCTGCAATGAAATCTTGATCGTAGATTGACGGCCGCGGTTTCATTAGGGTCATCTTCGGTTTCAACTGCTGCTGCAAACCAGGCTCTAGAACCTGTGCTCGCTCCATAGATTCGGCAAGGTTGGCCGAACTAATGTCCCACCCGTCAATGATCAAGTCATCCGGATGCACTGTGGGCAACAACTTGCCCAACTGGATATTAACATCATTGCCCAGCCTTACCGTACTCGTCTGGGTAAGTGATCCGTACCAGTTCGCCTTCTGCACCCCTCTTCTAGTCGTCCACGATAATCCTTCTTTATTGGCTAAAATGGCAGCAGTGAATGTGCTCCCGTTGTTGCCTCCCCAACCCACTAGCATCACCCCCACCCGGGGCACTTTCGTGTTGGTACGGAAAACCAGATGTTCTGTGATGGGGGTGACCTGTAGACAAACATTATCATGTTATTGTGCCTCCGGTAATCTGTATTATTTTGACCTAAGTATGTTTTTTTTTATTTATTTATTTAGTTGAAAGCCTGTCAATCTGAAGGGTATTTAACAGTAAGAAAGAAGAATAAGTATGGACGTTTTTAGAAAAATACTATCAAATTGTAGTAAGACACGAAGGCACGAAGAAATATACACAAAATTTAGCGTGAGAGAAAAATAGTTATCAATTTTCACATGGAAATTTTGCCCCGATGTGACTTACCACAGGCTATGGACATTGCCAACCTGGATTATAGATCTTTAAAAAAGTAATAAACTGTCAGTTAATTACCACTTTAACTAATCTACAAAGGTTCTGAGGAAATCTCGTAATCTATAACCACTGCCACTGCCCCGCAATCCCATCGAGCATTTATAATCCCATCGAGCATTTATGGGACATAACGGGAAAAAGAATTAAAGCATTACAGCACCCTCCTATTACCCTCCCAGAGCTAACACTTAGGTTGACGCAAGAGTGGCAAGAAATTGATCCAGAAGAAGTTAGAAATTTGATTAACAGTATGCGAGCTGTTATCAATGCTCGAGCAGGCCATACACGTTATTAAGTCTTAACTGAGCGACGTTTAAAGCATTTATCAAATAAGATGTTATTTTTTGGTTTCTTGCAATTTGGTTCCAAATCATTATCAGTTTGTTGTTTTTGTTGATTTTTGTTCTAGAATTTTTATATTTGATTTAATAATTACGAATTAGGGACCAAAGTGGAAAAAATAACAAGATTATCTAAAAAAAAAACAAAAATTTTAAAATTTTGCGGGGCATTGTAAACATACATCATGGAATAGAGAAAAATGCTATCTCCGTCTAACACACAAGGCTAATTTAACAGAAAACAGTTATCAAGTTTGGATGATCCAGTTATTCCAGTCCCAAAAGTACCACTCTGCATAAAATTAACTTAAATTTATTTATTGTTGTTTTCTTATATATAAAAATAAAATTGAAGTTCAAATAACTCGTAAAAAGGCTACGGAAACGTCAGTTGGGGAAAGGTCAAAACTCAAACGCACTAACTGGAGCTAGATTAGAGGAAAAAAAAGGAAGTAAATTAATTTCCATAGAACCTTGGTAACAGTTTTTCAGTATAGATTTGGCAGTTTTTTCAAGCAAATCAAGAATACGGTACATAATGTTAATGATTCTAGAACTCTGCGTGGATCTTTTAAAAAAAATAGTAAACTGTCAGCTCATAAAATATGATCCGTCTTTCAAGAATGCTGAGAATCTGTCGGTGTAGTGCAATAGTTTCAGCACATGGTCGAAGAAATCATAAAAATTGTCATAAAAACTTTTAGTACACTAGAAATAATGATACACGGGTTATACTATAAGGATATCGATGAATTTACAGCACTTTGAAGAGACAAAATCGAAAATAAATATGTAATTTTTGAAAAAATTAAAAAACCTTGTCACTTTGAAAAATCTGAAAAATCAAAATTATTCCTGATATCCGCGCGACTTTCGTACAAAAATTGGTCTAAGATTAACAAATCCAGTTTCTTTAAAAAGTATGTTTTTTTTTTGTGACAACCTCTATTAATTAAAATATTACAATACTTCCTTAGTTTACGCTCAGGAAGTAGAAACATTGTTAATAACAGTCACAGTTAAAAAAAAGCTCCCATGAGCGGTTTGAACGCGCGTCCTACGGATTACAAGTCTGGGACATTACTCACATGTCATTTAGATAATGATTACCTTATACAGGGTATTTTATAAGTGATTCTAAGAGTCTAGCTGGCCATGAGCTTCAAAAATTTCGCTTCGCTGAAATTATTATTATGGCAGTTCTCACTTGTCATTAATGTCATTTATCATTGTTTTTATTGTTTTAACGTTTTTCAAGTGTGAATTACAGTAATTCTCGTTGACCCAAGGTCAAAATAACAAAATAGTCGTTTTCAAAACTTGGTGCTTGCGTACGAAAATTTTGTTTTTGTGCTAGGAAGCGATGACCGTGATAAATGGTTTATTCTGTTGATCAAGCCACTTTCACTGTTATGTGTTGTTATCGCAATGGGATATTCGTAAACGAAGAGCGGGTGTATTCTGTAACCGCTTGTAAGCAAGAATATCTGGCCAAATACTGTGATTTAATAATTCAAGAAAGATCGTTAGAGGCTCACATTAAAGATGTAATCAACAGATTTGTTCGAACTGCCAGTGTCAACAAAGGGAAATCTCCTGAAGACCTTGAGCAGAGTTCCTATTGCAACATGAAATTGAACAAAGGATTACATAACACTTTTTTGGAAATTACAAAGAGAGTGAACATATGCCTTGAACAAAATAGCGAACATCTTCAACATTTAGTGTGGTGTTTGACAGCAATAAATTTGTTTCTTGTTATTGTAATGAATTAATTTTATTTTTTAATAATATATGCAGCATTTATCCAACAAGTTATATAGATGCGTGTGGTATTTGTCGTGCGTCCTTGGGCATTTAGTAAAGTACAAGACTGAGAGGCGGCACATTTTTATTACCTACTTCGACTCTACTAACATATACAGAAACCCTGTACTAAAGGGTTAATACACAATTTGGTTTTTCTTTTTGTGGGGGAAAATTTGGATGACTAGGCGTATTTATAAACTACAAGTTCAAGAGTAAGTTTACTTAAAAAATTTACGTAATAAAAAAATTGAAGGGGCGTCATCAAATTGTTGGTAGGCAGGATCAGACGAGTTTTGTTTAGCGTTTTACCATTAAGACGATATTTTCAACATCCATATAAAATCTGACAACAATTGATATGGTAGTTTCCGACATTATGTGTCTAATCAAAATCGACACAGACAGACAGACGGAAACGCGAGAACTCCTTTTTCGTACTTTAGGGCCGTGAAACGTCGAGAAAGCCTGAATGTACCCACTTGTGGAATGAAGTCTCAAATATGAATTTTTCTGGACAGATGGAAGATGTTAAAAAATGTCGGATTGAAGAAAATCGACGCAGGCAAGCAATGTACGAAAAATTAATTTCGTTTCAGTTTCTTGAACTTATGTCACAGAACAAAATTATGTTATACCTACACGAAAATTTGTGGAATTGTGATTGTATTTTGAAACAGAATTCACTTCAAGCTAGGGTAATTTTTTACAAACTAAAAAATTAATTGACAAAAGAAGCGTTGGTGATGATGTTTATGGAATCTATGAAACCAATCAGGACAAATAAATAAATATTAAGATTCTAGAACAACTTTTTCAACTTTAAAGGAGAAAATGTTGAATGTCAACAGTACAAAAAATGAATGTGACAATTTAACAGATCAATTAAATTATCTACCTACTTATTGGTCATAAAATCTGAAAAACCTATGAAGTAGTACACGAAAATAACAAGAAATCCAATAAAAAAAAGTCTGTTCGTAAATCCTGAAAATAATGATCTAACGGTTGTATTTGAAATTTCGACAAAAAATGTATACATTTTCGAAAAAATAATAAAACACGTGGAAAGTTGGAGAATTTGAAAACATCCGAAAAGAAATACATTATGTAAAATAATCTACTTTCTGGGAAGCAATATTTAATTTTTCCAAGAAATATTTTATTTTTGAAAATATTATTACAATGTTTTCTGAAATAGTACTTAATTAATAATAATTAGGAGTTATATAAGGGAAGTCTTTGAATAACCACAAGTTGCACATAAATTATTATTAATAATTATATCAACAAATCCTGTGGGACCTGTACAAACTGAGGGCCTTTACATTTTTTTACATACTTATCGATATTTGACAAGCTCGATTGATGTCTATTTTATTACTATTATATCAATTTTGAAAAATATCCTTTAAAACCAGCTTGTGATAAAATTATTTGCAAAATCCTCAAAAACATTTTTGTACAAAAGAACTAGTGGTCACGAGGTGCAAAACGCGCCTGAAAATTGACCACTTTTAACCTGAAAGCTTTTCAGTCACTGAAAAGATAATTTTACAATTTGAAGATGAATTATTTTAGAAAACGATTTGCTACATCACAAATCCTGTCTTACGAATTGTTCCTCACGAGAATAACTTTATATCTGAAACTGAATCAATGTCACTACAAAGATAGGGTAATTTTGTAGATACATTTCCGAAAATCTTTGAAACTAATTAATAAATATGTCTATATTCTAAAGAAAAATGGTGCCTTTATATTGTTGCAGTAAGTGAGCGAAATTTTGGCAGATTTTGAAAATGATGAAGTTGATTTTCCAATATTTTATCAGGTTTTATTCATATAACAGATTCAAAAACAGTGTCACATATTAAAAAAAAAAATGATGTAGGTTACGACCACATGACAATCAGTTTTGATCCAAAATCAACTGTCTACACAATATAAAAAATAAAAAAAAGAATTAACTTTTAAAGTATTTGCTGTGACATTTTCCTCGATTCAATTTTTTTTTACATAGGATAATTTTTAACGGAAATCAAGATCACAACCAATCTGATTATTCCGTTTTCATTTTTTTGTTTTGACAACAGACGCTCTGTTGAATATTAAATGTACGTGGTAAGGACTACTCAATTACGATTTTTTTTTTAAGAATTTGGTCATGCGAAATCAAAAGGATCGATCAATGACACATACTCAAGATTGGCGCCGACTTATTTATTTATTTTTTTTTAATATACTGATATACATATGTTCAAGAAAAATACACTTGTGAATATTGTTACGGTTTTCGGGTATTTAAAATCTTTAATTTAGATAAATTAATATTGTAAAAATCCATAAATATACCAAACTTAAAAGACGACTTGCCTTTTTTAGAGTCAATAGTTTATTATTATAGTTTTGGAAATTTCATTCTACCCTATAGAATTTTATTGGCAATAAGGAGACGGACAGTAGTACAATAGCAAGAATTATTTACAACTTAAGTTGTCGCGTGCCGGTGATCCCCAGATGTTAAAAATCAGAATAATCCAGGTCCGGACAGGGACCATTGTTATTCAGGAACGAAAATGACCATTATTTTATGAGTGTGTACAACTAAAGTGTTCCCAGTTTAAAGTTGTTTTTATGATAGGTCCATTGTGTCGAAGTCGATGATGGGCACAATGGAGTAAATCCCTAGCCATAAATAAGAATGTGGTCGGTTTCTTGCAGGGCCGTATATGTACTCTGTTATTCAACTCATATTGTTGGTCGAACCCTCGCATGGGGTAATAATGAGGGGATAATGTTTAGTAAGTATCTTGTCATAAAAACCACTTTAAACTGAGAACACTGTACCTGCTGAATGTTCTCCGAGAAATTCAGGTGAACTGGTGTGAGCCATAAATATTTCTTACCATTGTACTACTGTCCGTCTCGTTATTGTCAATAAAATTTTATAGTATATATATATTATATAGGTAGAATGAAATTTAAGAATATTATATTTTTTCTAGACTGCGTCGTTTAACAAAAAACATCACTGAATTAACTTGGTAAAATAATACAATTTTTTTTATATCACTAAGGTATCTGAAACGACAAATGTCAATCATAATCTCAAATGTTTAAGTTGATATAATACTGAAAAGATTTACCATATTTATTGCACTGTTTTTAACTCGCACTATGAACATTTATTAAATTTCCAAAAGTCGAAATTCTCAAAAAAATAATACCATGAAGTAGTCCAAATACACGTAATAAATATTCGCCGACTACTATGAAAATGAATCGACTTTTTGGATTTTGGAAACGATGTTCAATTTCTCCAAGAAATATTGCAATTTTTGAAAATATTATGACCTTTTTTTTTGTAATAATTAATTAAAACAGGTTGAATATCAATTGTTAATATTACATCAAATCCTATGGGATCTGTACAAATTGAGGCAATTAAACGTGCCTGTCACTAATCATTTTATCAAGATTTACGACCAAGTAGTTCTCGCTAGTTATTCTATTCTTAAAAATACTCTACATAGATGTCATTAGATTTTAATATGGATTTGTAATTGTTAATTAAGTGATCCAATTAAACGATATAAGTAAACCTGGGCTGTCAACTGGTCGAAAATGCCATAACGCAACAAGTTTTTTAAATGCAACATGTGTAATGTGAGTTGCATAGTTTAATTTAAGTAAATCAATTACGTTTAAAACTATTATTAGCTAAAAAATTAGACAAAATGTGTGTTCTAGAAGTCACTACAAAAACTTCCTCAGTAATGTTTTATTTTAAGCAGTTATTGCAACTAACTGAAAGCCAAGAAAAATCTTCATAACTCATCGAATCAAAATAAGCAATACATATTTAGAATCATTTGGGTATTATATCACTCGCATGTATTATCCTATTAGGAAAAAAAACTGACATTATTAGACACAATGATTACATAAACCAAAGGCCGGCACCGTTACCTTGAACTTGACAATGGATAAGCACGTGGTGCTCCCAGAACATGCCCATGAGGACCAAAGTATACGTAACAGGACAGCGAACCGAGTCAAAAATTCTCAAATATCAAACGTAAATCTCAAAAATCGAAATAAAGATCGAACATAGGCGTGGCCGCGACCAGGTCGCGGGGATTAAACAAAACAGTTCTATATATTCTAGAATCAGCTGGATGTATTGATTTTCCAGCGGGTCTTTGCTGGAAAATTCCATGCCGTCTCGACCTGGAGAGGAAATGATTCACCGCGCTACACTTTTCGCGGTATTTTCCTTATCACTTGTACGTCGAATAATGAATGATCTTACCTCGATTTTGCTCCCACTTTTTTCGACTTTGGTATACAAGTACTCATAGTTGGACTCGATGTAGTTTTCGGAATATTTCACATTTGGGCTGTTGACGACGATGTCCATAATTTTTTCAAAGTTTGGTAAACGAGGAGTATTTTCGAGTTGGTTTTCTTTTATTGTTTGCGAACGAAAATTGAACTGCAACAGAAAATAAGTCTGTTAGCGCTGCGCTGCCGCCAACACCGCTACAGTGTTGCTTGAACATATACTGAAAACTGAACTCAAGTGAAGCCGGCCGGCTTCATCGCGCTTCGAACTAGCAGGGAACGACGCAGTTTATTTTGGAATTTATTGATAAACGTTCGTGTTTAGAAAGACTGATTTGAATTTTGATAAATGAACAGCATATTCTGGAGGCTCCAGGTTTCTATGAGTTCAGTCTCAGTCAAAATGTAAAACGCCCTGTTTCTTTAAACCTCTTAGGAGTATTACAGTGCGTGCATTCTAGCAAAAATCAAACTTAACAACAAACATTTATACATAATTACACAATTTTGATAACAATAAATCAAATTTAACATAAATATTGTAGCCCAGTGGTCGTTTTCGATTTGAAGCGACTCAACCAATTGCAATTTTAGTCGTGAGAACAAGGTAAAAATAATATATTTCGAAAACGACCCAAATAAAACGACTAAGAATAAAACTAGTTTAAAACAGCAAATTGAGTTTTATTTATTCAGTTCTTTGATCAACAACCAGACGACTTCAGTCCGTTAAACTACCTACTTTCAGATGATCCACCTAAACTTATAGTGTGATTTGTGACACAAAGTTATTATTAACTTGTACAAATCTTTGGTAGTTCATAATCACACGGGGTTTTAAAGGAGCTCGCATTGGCATTAAAGCACCCTATGAATTTATTTTTATTTTTGTTGACCCAGCAAATAAGAGTTATTATAAAACCTGTCCCCGAAAAAATTGTTGCACAAATTTGGTTCCATCGCATATATCGCAAAAAAAGTTAACTATTCATTTTGCGAATTTTATTTACTTTTTTTGATAACTCCTATAAGTTACATTTATACAGGTAAAGAAGCACGTTATACGTATTTTTCAAGTGACTTTTCCATAACAAAATTTTGTCATGACGTCATCAACATTTTGCAAAGGACACTAGAATATCAATTTGAATAGGTGCAGTGTAATATTAATCATAACAGTACTGTATTGTCAAATTTTCGGGAAAATACGATAAACCACTCTTGATTTGATCAATAAAAAAAAAAAAAAAGCTGCGGCCCGGCATTGGTCCCCGGACCTCTCATCTGCGAAGTGAGTGCGCCACCGCTGGACCATTGCAATTCTGATGAAAGTTCGTATTATGCATCTAAAAGAACAAGACGCTTTAAGCAATAAAAATAATAATAATAATCAAAATCAAGCTAGATTTATAAATCACAAGTACAGGTGTATGATATTTTATAAAATTTTAATGCCATTTACTAAAAACATTTTTCATCAAATTATTGATGGGAGATGATTAGGCAAATTCAGTATAAAATGACAACCAATAGTAAAAGAAGACCATGTAAGTGACGTAACGTGAAGTTACTTAGTAATTATCTGTTTGCTCTCCTTCCTTAAAACATAATAAAAGCCGAAGAAAACTAAAAAAAAGTTATACGAATGTTTTTTGCTAAAATTTTAAGCTACTTGAATATTCGTTACAATCCATCTCAACAAGAATCTTAACCATTTGGCGATCATTAAATTTACTGGATTTTACTGCAAGGCTGTTATAAAGTATTTAAAGAGTCAAAGCAATAATCAGACTATAATTTTAATTGACTTTATTTTTAAGTCTATCCACTCATTCTCAACGTGCGGAACAAGATTTTAGTAAATTTTCTGATGTAATCCAAATTTAATTACTTATTCGAATTTAGTGTGTGTAATTTGGAACTTCAGAGTGAGGCCAAGAAAATTGTTTAAATGTTAGGCTAGATAATAATAAAACATATTTCTAGAATTACCAAAGTTCTGTTACTAAAAGATGTTTTTTCGTGGTTTCTTGGGAAACTTTAGGTCGTTGCAATCTCAAGATAAAGGTGTTTCTGTGTATGGCTTATCGTCTCCTGCAGCGATGTTAAAAATAAATTTTCCTTTACTTTATGGATTCATCTTTAACAAGTGTAGCAGTTAAAATAGTTAATAATCGAACATGACTGTCCGGCTGAAAATGATATTTCGTTGACAATTCACTAAGAATCAAGCAGAAAATACAGTACAAAATACGTATGTGTTACCAGTTTTATATACAGGGTTTGGGCATAAGGAATTAACACAACGAATTGGTTTTTATTCTACAATATCTACCGAGATCACTTTAAAGCTATTGAGCTATCGGAATAAATGGATAAACTGGTGCTGGGTGCAGTACATAAATCCCCCAAAAAGCCCGAGATGAAGTCTTTCGAGCAGCTCATCTCCCTTAACAGAGTTACCCCACTCAGAAATCACTGAACAACTCAGATTGAATAATTTTACTCAGTGTAATCACCCCAAAAATTTGACGTCATCTCAAAATTGCTTGATAAATCCTGTCTAAAATGTGCAATATATGGTGTGGTTTATCAGTGTACAAATCATATTTTTTAGAACTAGTTACCCAGAGTGACAAAAAAAATGAATGAAACAGCGTATTTTATTAATCAAATCAAAAACGACTCACTCCACTTTCCTGAAATTTTGAAAATACAGTAGTGTCATTATTAGTATTACAACTAATTACACTGACATTATGTGTCCTTGCTAGAAACTTGATAATGTTATCACAAAAGTTTGATATGAAAAACTCACTTGAAACGTACTTTAACAGCTCATATATATACTATTGTTATTATTATTTAAACTTCCAAGGGTAAACATAAAAAAACGTAAAATGAAATTTTATATTATTTATCTACGAACTGGGTTTGATTGAACTTCAGGGGCGAGGGAAGTTCTGTCTAAATAACATTAGACCATTTTCAATGTAAAGGGCGTTGAAATAAATAGCAATGAAATGTCTCCAAAGTGCCTGTTTTAAATATAATTTCTATTTCTCAAATCGAACATCCCGTACTATATTAATTTGATTAAAACAGTTTTTTGTTAATTGTTGTATTAGTTATAAATTATTTTGCATGTATTCAAAACTAAATAAAGTAAACAATACTAAGATAGCTAACTACATAATAAAAATGCCCAATACTTGGTTAGTCGGGAGAATGGGTTAAAGTTCTAATAACATTGTACTAAACAGCAACATAAAAAGCAAAAAAGAACATGTGGAGATCAGCAGATGTATACTATGAATATTACTACAAGAATTTACGATACAATTCTTTTACCATTTTCTAGTCAAGAAAACAAGTTTATTAAAACTAACTAATATTTTACCCAAAACACTGTAAACGACGATCACTTGAAAATCACAAAACTGCACTTTTGTTAATAAAATTATATGTGATCTGTGTATACCGGTTCTTACAATCAGCGTTTTCAAATTATTATTACTCGACTACAATTCATTCTGATGACGTGTGAAAATATCGTTTCCCACATCTATTACTGTACACGTAAAAACAAAAGTTGTTTTCTGGTGTAAAATAGTAGTTTCATTTATTTAATATATACAAGGTGAGTTACTAACAGCGTGCTCCTAAATATCCGTCTAATACTTATTTATTAGAGATAGAGACAAACAAATAGTAAAATTATTTTCGAAAATACACAATAGTCTGCATGTATTTTACCATACTCTGACTAGTTTCTTCTCATGCTTGCAACAATGTTATTTTTGAAATGCCACTGTGACGTTGCCAAATGATTCCAGATTCCTTGAAAATGTTAAACAATGCAAAGGTTTACAAAAACACGCTCACTTTTGGTACGTCCCGTTTTTTTTTTATAAAATAATGTTTTACCACATCAAATAATGATATAGCAACCTTATTTGATGATGTTGAATTGTACACAATTACCTAGTTTTTATGGAAATTCAATGAAATTAGTAACTGGCATTTTTCAAAAGGTAGTAGGTGAATTAAATCTTTAATTCAATTCAAAATTTAATGGTACGATTAAAAATCGTGAACATGACTGGTTGATGGTTAATGGCGTGATTAAATATTAATAGCGGGATCAGTGTTTCTGTAAACCAGGTCTTAAAGTTATAAATAAAGGAATACATTAAACTGCCCATTAATAGAATTATTCCATCGAAAACAAAAAATATGTGGATGCCCTCTAAAAGAATATTATTGTAGATTTAAGTCTTCTTTTTCTAATGTCTTCTTACTTAAGTATGATATAGATAGAACGAATATCCACATAATGCAAAGTTGTAACCTTATCAACATACAAAATAGCATTTTAATAAAGTTTACCTTTACAAAATCTTTGGTATTTTGCAAATATAAACGGTCGGAAATGATGAACAGGGATTTATTTGATTTATTTTGTAACCAATCTGAGCTATCTGTAAGCGTCACGTACATCACCATATCATTTGTTGTTGTGTCTGTACCTCGTATGCAGTTGACATTCAACACCACTATTTTGTCTTGGTATTTAACCGAGTTGTTCTCTCTCGACCAAGTATCTACCTAAACTTAAAATACAACCCTGAAATTTAAGCAGATTTCAAAACGGCACGTTTGTGAAGAAGGGAATTGTTGTTCACCACTATTGACCTAAATGATACTAACAAGGTAATTGCACTACTACACACAAATAGTGTCTTCGCTACACTTCAACACAGACTTAAATACTGAAATAACTGTCAGATATACCTAGTAATATTCTCGAAATGTTAAAGTTATTTTTAGATTATTTTATGTGTATTAATCTCTAGTTTAAAAAAACATAGCAGAGCCCAAAAATAACAAGCAAGAAGATATATTAAAAATTTCTTCATACATTCACTCTGCAAAAATGATGACGTGTGATCTTGAAAAATACTTGCCCTTATACAAATTAATGATGCGCATTTATTTTATTAATTATCTCTACATTGTACACATTAAAATTTGTATATTTAATGTAATGTTACTAAAAAGTTGATCACGTCATCTGAAAAGTATTAGACAAATCTTAGACGACGCTCTACTATGCTTTCTGTATAATTTTAATTTTTGCTTTTAAACACAGTGACATATTTCGACCACCGCGCATCCTCAGAGTAACCACAAATGACACTCAATATTGCGCTGACCCGATCTTACTTCATGTACTCCAGCGTCCATGATAAAAAGAGGTCGTTTTAATTGTAATTACGACTTTAATGTATTTGTTACGTAGGAAGATTAAAACATTTAGACCCGATTTATAGAAAGCGAAGTTAAAGTTAATTCGCGATTAACTTTTAACTGAGGTCCGTTGCTAGGAAACGTGCATGTTTCAACCAATCGCAGGCTCATATTCCACATTTTAATTCTCTGTTAAACTAATCGAGGATTAAATATTTAACTCGCTGTTCTATAAACCGGCCCTTAGTTTTCTTGTACTTTTTGACTTCCAATTGTAGTAGTTTGGTTACTCCTAACGTGGTTTCTGAGACCTATACACCCAATGACTTCAAAAACAAAAATAAAGGCTTACCCTACAACTACTTCTCACGATAATTTTATGTGTATTTAGTAACAACTGTAGTTTAATAATTTAATAAATAAAATCACATTTTAGGTTTTTTGTTCAGTTATTAAAAGTTCTCGTAATTAATATTCAATAAAGGATGATTCGAACCTGTGTTTGCATCAACCGAGATCGAACAAAGCGAAAATTTTATGTTTTAATACTTAAATTAAATTTTCACCTGTTTCCTTATTTGTGTGGAGCAGTGTATTATTACATGTAAGAACTTATAATTATTTCGTGCTGTATGGCTATAATCTGCAGGATACGCGAGAACATACAACCCTTTTATTGTAATTACAAGAACTTATATAAGAGATATAGCACAAAGTAAACAATGTACCGAAATTTAGAATGAAAATAAACAGTCTTCGTTGTAACACGCAAATATTTACCGAAAGTGTCCCAATATGATCGCGATCATGTTATAATTTTAAAAGGAAAAAAAATGTACCGGCAGGAACGGTATATTAACCCAGTCCGTAAGTAATAAAAATAATATTTTTCTGAAACGATTCCTCTATAATTAATAAAAAATAATAAAATGGTGGGAGGGCGGGCACCTTCATCCCGTCCAGAATTAATAATGAATTCGCAAGGGTTTTCTGAAAGAGGGGGACAGCGGGTATAAATCAATACTCTGCCCCCCTTTTGTAGAAAGGGCGCAGTCACAAGTTAAAAGCAGTGTGGGTAACAACGTTATATACCGAAAAGAAAATTTCACGTCGGAAAATAGCATCGGCAATCAGCTCCACATCTCAAGGTAATAATTAAACAAAAACATAACCCCGTAAAAATTGACCGTTTAGCATTCGCAGAAAAATGTCAATCGTGGGCTTTCGTCGTATTTACCGATTAAACGCAATTCCAAACCAGAGACTCATTTAACAGAATAATTCACATTTTCTGTGAGTAGTTTTTGCATAATTTAGATTCACTTTTTATAATATTGTGCACGATATTTTTACTCACAGCAAAAACATGAAAAAAAAAAATTGTTGCTGCTGTTTTGAGCACGATTTTGTTATTACTGCCGACGTGTTACTCTTTTTTCACTAAGTAAGCTTTATCAGTTCAGCTGATGCGCTAAAAGTGATTGAAAAATGCACCCAATGCATTTCAAGGACGCGTCATAAGGTCTACTTTCGTGTGTTCTCAGCTGCAAACTCCCACGTCGATTACCGGATGCAGGACCGGGGCTTCGACAGGGGCGGCTTTGGAAGCTATTTTTGGCATTTGTGAAGTTGCTCGGCTTGTAATCATTGTTATCACAAGGATCGGTCATACTAAAACCAAATTTACACCTTCAGGGTGACAGGTAAATGTTACTTTTACCTGGTTGTGTACGTAATGCACTATTTACGACGGTGATAACGATTAATGACTGTTCACGTCGGCGTTGATAAGGTACAACGAGGGTAATTATTGTATTTAATTTTATATCGTTTCAAACTAAATGAGGAACATTTCAGAAAATATTAATGCACAAAAATAATGTAAAAACTGAAAAACCAGCCACGTCAAACAAATGAAATTGTCACATTCTAGCATTCCAATAATAATAAAAAAAAAATCATCTTGAGATATGCAATACTGTCGAGGCAAGGAAAGTTTATATTTGTTATTATGTTTTAGAAAATTAGGATACATATAAGGCAAACAAATTAGTTCATTATTATTTCACTCTGTACACTTTTTCTCTCTGCTAATTTTTTTGTTGATTATATTATTAAGTGCGGATCAGCATATGTATACGGTATGGATCAATTAGTTGGCCAACTGTATTGCATTGAGTCGAGTTGTTGTAGCTTCTTTTTTAGGGGCAATAAACACCTATACACCGGTGTCGAGTATCCATTACAAATGTCGAAAATCTCGAGCGACCACTTGTTGTCTATACAAACGTGCGGCCTTGATTGGCGTTCGAACACAGTTGTGTACACCTATGAATTAAAAAGGTCTCGCCACTTTTTAATTATCTATATTAAAATAACAAAAAACCTAGTTAAACTGGATGACATATTTTTTGTTGTAGCATGAACTGTATCGGTATTGATCCGCACTGACAAAGTCCAAGTGCACCATAATATAAGAAAAACATTGAATCTCACTTCAAATTTTGGTAAATAATGTATGTAATTTCAGGTTTTTATACATGATAATTGCATACGTTTTTCGCTACGTTTTCTTCTATCAAACAAGCAACGCCAACTTGATGACTTTTTCAGTCGAACACGCTTTATATCAATCTGCACAGATGCAGTGTAATACTAATCACAACAGTACTGTTGTTTACTCAAATTTTGGGGAAAATGGGGTGACCCTTTCTTGATTTGATCATTAAAATAATATGCCTCAGTCATTAATTTTTTGACTCACTGTGTATAAGTAACTAAAAAATATGAATGTATTGATAAACCACGAGTATAAATTCATAATAGTTTGCATATTTTAGATAGGATTTATTCGGCAAAATTTTGAGATGGCGCCATCAATTTTCTGGAAGAGGAAAAACGGATTAACAATCACTTATATTTAACATGCTTACGACAACCTTAAAACGTTTGCAAGATCTCAGAGCATTCGGTTTTCCAGTTTCAAAATTAAATAGCAAAATTATTGCTACACAATTTTGACTTTTTTCCCAAAAATTTGGATATCTTGAGTAAAAACTCAACACGGATTCATAAACCACAAATACAAGATTATGTTATTTTATAAAATTTTACCATATAAAATTTCGAGATGACGCCATCCCGTTGTTGATGTAGATGATTAGCCAAATTTTGGTCAATTTTACAACTTCTACTATATTTGTATAATACATATAATATTTGACAACAATCGGTTTGGTAGTTTCGGAGATTATCTGTCTAATAAAAATCGACACAAACGCGGACAGACGGAAACGAGGGACCTACTTTTTCGTGGTCCAGCAAACATGAAAGTGGCCAATTGCCCGATAGATTTAATTGGTCTAATAAGTCTACAAAGAACTAACCTCGCTCCTGGACTACAACTCAATAAATCTAGTTCTTTCGAAAATTAAATTATCACTTTGTGTGGATAATTAAAGTACTGGTAAAGAATCATGCCATGCATAATTGCATAATTATGGTTCAAATAAGTTTTCCATAAAAAAAATTGTAATGACGTTATCAAGATTTTACAAAGGACACGTGTATCAATTTGAATAGGTGTAGTGTAATACTAACAATAGTAATAACAACAATACTATTTCCTCAAATTTTCGGGAAAATGGGGTAAATCGTTCTTAATTTGATAAATAAAATAAATTGCTTCACTCATTCATTTTCGTGAGTTTAATAGTGATGTACCGACTACAAGTCGGCCGACTGTTTATAAATGCAACAGACAGTGGGTTTTTTTTTTCTATTTCTCTGACTACCTTAAAAACTTGTTTTATTTTAATAAAAGGAATAACTGAAGTTTCTTTTTTTTCCAAAAAATGTGTTAAATTTTTTTGGATAATTTTAACATTTAATTTTTTGTAGTAACTCAGTACAAAAATAAAGAATAACACAATTTAGGGCAGTTTATACAATACTTAACCAATTTTAACCACTTTTTTGGAAAATTTTTGGAAATTTTAAATTCGCTTTGCGTGTTTATTGGACCATATATCGTGACGGCGATTTCAGAATCGTAACTAACGGAAGATTATCTACACTTTGACACCAATTTTCGGTCGATTAAACTAATTTTAACCGGTTTTGACAAAGCCGACTAGTCGGCCGACTGCAGTCGGCACATCTCTAGAGTTTAATATGTAATTTAAAAGTTAAAAGTACGGCTTTCGGAATTTACAAATTTCCTATATTATAAAAATTACAATTACGGCGTTACTCGTTTATTATAAGGTACGGTGTCCATCGTATATAAAGTACAACGTTCAAAATGTATAAGGTTTGGCTAATATAAAATTTAAAAGAATTGAATCAAAGGTACGGCGTTCAGAATTTACAAATTCCGTCGTTCCTAATAAATCGTCGTTTATAGAGTATGGTTTTGAATATTTAAAAAATACAGCGTACTTCGTTTAAGTACGACGTTGGTCGCTTCTAAAGTACGGCGTTCCTACACATTGATAAAATTAAATTAAAAATTCTGGATGCCTAAGGTAAAAAATAAAGGCGGATATTCATAAATCACAAGTATAAAAATACTATGTTATTTTATGAAATCTAAATAATATTCATATACAAGATTTTGAGGTGACATCGTCACATTGTTAGTAAGGACGATTAGACAACTTTTGGTTGGCGTTTTACCATCTACACGATATTCCTAAAATACGTATAAGATTTGACGACAATCGTTCAAATAGTTTCGGAGATTATCTGTTCCTAGTACATATCCATAGAGACCGCAGACAGACGGAAACGGGAGACCCATTTTTTCATACTCTAGAGATCATAAGACGCCGAGAAATTGTTGTTTGTTTCATTTTAATGTACACGTAACATCATGTGTTTACTTCGAGATATTTGTCCATTTGTCATAAAAACATCAACAATTTGGAATAAACATGCGATATTTGTAGAAGCAAAACCATTGTTAGCAACGGTTCTTTTTGTCTTTTCCTTCCGTAAGGCGAAAGTAGCAGTTTATTATGGTTCGAATTAGTTTTTCTTCTCTCTCTGAGATTAACGTTCCATATTTTCAAAAAAAAAAACTTGAGTTACAAATCGTGATATGTATTTCCTTGTCAGAACAGGACATGCTAGGATATACTCTCAAATTTTCACAGACAGCAAGGTCACTGAAAGAGGTAAAATAAAAATTCCCGAAACATAATAGGTTAAAAAAATTCCTTGCTTTTTACGAAATAAATCCATACGCCACCTCGGTACGACGCCTATGAGCCGTCGAGAACTTTCTAGTCTTACGCCGATGATGATTCATCCTCAATACGACCGAGCGACGGAGCCCTAAAGAAACGTCTGGAAGCGGAAGTCGTGAACGGCAAACCAGAAAGATCCCGATCGCGCAAATCTAGAAGGAAGTATGGGTTTTAAATAGAGGCCACCTTCGGGAACGATGATTATTCAGCAGTTGAGTCAAGAGAAGTTGTGCTGGAATTATTTTTATACATAATCGCTGTAATAGTTAGTCGTGCAAATTCAAGATAGTAAGAAATAAATAGTTGCGTTTAACCCACGCCGATTTTATTCACCGAACAAACGTAACAATGTTTTGACTGAGCGTAAGCCCATTTGACAAAAGGCTAATTTCATGTTCTGAAGCTCCTAAATTAATTTGCATCCCATTTCCGTCTGTCTTTTATTTTATTTAAAACTGGAATTGTTTACTGGGTCCTCCATGGGAGAGGGAAGTGGCGTCTAAACAACTTCAGAGTTCAGACCAAATTTTTAAAAATAACTTATTTGCGAAATTTTAAAATTAGAATTATTGCATTTAAAGTATTCTGACATTTTTCATGCAGTTGTCAATACATATTTAAGTTTGCATTACAACTTTAAGCTTAACTACTCTTTCGTTTCAGATGAAATCGAGTGTTCAGTTCTCACCAAACAAACACCTGGAGAACATCAGCAAAATGTTCAAGAAATTATACAATGACGAACAACTTGCGGACGTCACTTTGTGTTGCAAAGATGGCAGTATTAAAGCCCACAAACTAATTTTAGCGACGAGTAGTCCATATTTCCATCGGATATTTACTGAACATAACCGAGAGCATCCAATATTAATTATGCATGGAGTTTCTTATCAACACCTTCATGATCTTATCGAGCTCATTTATAAGGGCAACGTTGACGTTCTTCCTGAGGCGTTGAATCCACTCTATGAATTGGCTGGCGAATTTCAGTTATCAGGAATATCTGGAGTGTTGAGGGAGGAAAATGAAAAATGTAGTGACACCACGGTATTAAAATTATACTTTTGATATTTTCAAACGGGTGGAAGTTCGATAATTTATGTTTTAATGTGTCAGCGACATGGTCGATTATATTTATTGTTATTTCATGGTATTTGTTTATTTCAGTGCTAAATTTCTCACGTTTGGCTGCAAATTAAAGGCACCATTAGGGCAGTTACTACAATGAAGCGAACAAGAAATACTTCCTACTTAAGTCCCGTAAGAATCAAAGGTAAAATAGCGTCTTGTAGTGACTACGTAAAGTAATTAGTTTTTACTGTAAGTGCTGCAAGTCATTGTTTTACAATTGATTTTTTGGAGGATCAGTCGGTGTTATTTCTTGCCGATTTCAGTGTAGCAACAGCTTTAGGGACAAAAAACAATATGCAAGGAAAATCAAACGCCTGTTATTATTTATTACTTTGAAGCTAAGCTTAGTATTGCACTCAATAATAACTTCAAAACCGTCACACGAGTAAATGTAAAGAGAAAGGAAAAATTCATTCACTGCTTGTAAAAGTAATTCCAAATTATTTTAATTTTCTTAAAAACCACAATTACATTACGAAATAAAAAATATACAGGTAATGCTCTGACACTGTTAACTTTTACGCTTTATTTAATGATAAAAAAGCAATATTACTACTAATAACAATAATTTTCAGACTTCCAGAAATGAGACAAACATTCATGGCCGGGAAACAAGATACAAAGGATTAAAACGTGTTGCTGTAGATTATAAAGATTCTGAAAATAAAAATGAAAATCCCACTCCCGTAAAACGTATTGAAAGAGAAAACAGCGACTTTTCCAAAAAAGGTAAAAAAATGTTTGTTCATTTCGTCAAACTTAATTATATTGGTTTTAGAAACACTGAACTCACTTGATGAAGCAGTACAAATAAGCTCGAATAGTAACAATGTCGATGAAGTAACTACAGATAACGAGGTAATTGAAACAATTCCATTTTCGCTCAATGTACATTTACTATTACAGGAAAATACCATAAACCCATTTCACCTCGAAGAAGAACCAAAACTGAGTGCTTGGGCGAAGAAACAGCGCAAGTTTAAGTGTGACTTGTGCCCAAGTAGCTTTAAACGATCTTCCCATTTAACTCGTCATCAGCTCGTTCATACTGGCGAAAGACCTTTTGCCTGTGATCAATGTGATAAAGCGTTCTCTAGACATGACAAGCTCAAACATCATATTCGAAAAACTCATGAACAAGATTATGAAACTGATTATAAGTTAGAAATGAGTCATTCTTTGGTTCCGTCTCGTTCCAGCACGCCATTGCCCTTTGTAAGTTGTTTATAAATAACAACGTACTTAACTGATCTTTAACTATAATAGGTTATCTCGCACGTCAGAAGCGAAGCCATGGACGACAGCTCCTCACAAAGTCCTCCAAAGCGACCGCGCGGTCGGCCTAGGAAGTACCCAGTAATTGAAAAACCTACCAGTAAACGAGGAAGAGGTAGACCACGTTTAAGCTCTATCCGACCAGAAGGAAACGGAGAAAATTACGACATAACAAACCTGCCTTATGGAGATTTAGAATACCTGACTATGCCGTTGCAAGACTCTGTAATCATTGAACCCTATGTAGAGATTAAAACAGAAAAGGACGAAAATAGTGAAGACCAGGATAAAATCATCAAGGAAGAAAAAGAGAGTGAAATACAGGAACCCAAAGAAGAAGAGGAGGAAACTAGTCCAAGCCCTACAAATTTGAAAATTTTGGAAAACCGTATTGCCAAAATTGGGGAATGTACAATTTCTGTTGCCAATCACTGAAATGCAATTTACCAGATACTTTATGTAACAAAGTAATTTTAGAATATCACTAGGTTTAGTTTTATGTTTTACACTCAGTGGCACCTTTCAGTGAGTATTATTTAAATTTATGTTCAAATTTATTAATAAAATTCTTTACACATGTTAAAACCCATCTTTTACAACTGTTGCTCTTCAAACGTAAAATGTAACGTTAATATTGAGCAAAAACTTCAAGATAAAGTGGATTCGCAGCAATAGCGTATATTTAATTTGTGAAAATTTTGATGTTCTAGCTACTACATCTAAGTGTCAAAACAGAATGACAGATCCAAAAGATAACCCAAAGTTTCAAGGGTTCACTGGACATATAGGATGACACCGGTGTTAAAGTTTGTCTAACAATATAAGAATTTTACGGGCTAAGTATTTCATTTCTCGATTTCATTCATCATTCGTCTACGAACTTGGCGACAGAGCAGTGATATGAGAAATAATTAAAAAAAGAAATATTTTTTTGCATATTTTAGCAATGTATTGCATATAATGCCAAATTTCTCTTTTTTTTAAATTTTTTAAGAAGCGGGATTTGTAGGACTATACTTAAATCTTGTCAAAATAACCATTTTTTTTTAAACGGAACTCCATGACATACACCTTTTACTTATTTTTGCTTTAAAAACAATCACAAGTTGCGCATTTAGTAATAAACATGTTCCTACTACAATATAAATTTTAAAAATATCGAACACTTTTTTGATCATTGCCCAATAATAAGATGAAATTACGGTTATTCTTATGTTTATACCACCTGTGATACCACATTATTAGTTGCGCTTACGTGGAATGTGCGGGAGTCAATAATAACGTAATAATGTTTACCCGATGTTAAGTTGGTACAATTGGAACCTCTCTATTTTTGCTTTTTTAATCGTTTTCGGCTGATTTCAACCAGAATTGAATTTTGTATTTAATAAAAATGTGTTCATTATTATTAACGAACCAACAGTTATTAGTCACTAGTCTTACATAAATAAAAATCGTGGAATATAAAACACCTAACCTCAAATTTTACCGCAAATTTTAAAATTACTGTTTTTACCAAAAGTGAAAATAAAAATCACACACTACATTAGAGCATAACTTACCGATTTCAAAAAAATTTCTGTGCGGCAAATAAATGTACTATTTAGCAAAGATAAAGTGACAAAAATTGCCCGAACCTTAAACACATTAATAAATTTCAAATGTCACTGACGTTTAGGTTGGCAAAACAAACATTACTTGGTGACATTAGACATTACGACATAACCTCAAAACGCACGTGTTATTCTGTGTTTTAATTTTTTCGAAACAAGGTGAAAATGACGAGATTTGCGCGTGCGAAAGGGTCAAAAGCGTCCAACGAGAGAGTTCCTGAGGATGCTACACCCTGGAGTGAGATGAAGAAGCAGTTATTGGAGAAAAAACAACACGCAGAAGAAGCCAAAAAGAAGCAAGAAGCAGACAAACAACGACAGAAAAATTACAAACGGTTTTTGGACGAGGTTGGTGAAGAAGAAAGTAAGAATTCCAAGTGGGCCGAGTTTCCGAAAAAAGGGACAAAGCAGAAGGCTGATAATGATGTCATTGAAACAGAAGTTAAACCACCGAAACGAAAAAAGCTTGAAGAAAACAATAATGTTGGTGAAACAGAACAGCGACACAGAAAAAAGAAAGTTAAGGTTGTAGCGCAAAAGGGGGGCGCACAACAAGAGAATGCTTCTGAAGGTGCGAGCACTAACCAAAAGAAACAGAAAATTGAAGATCCATCAAGCACTAATGGAATGACTAATAAACAGCAACCTAAAAAGAAGAAAAAACTAAAAATATTAACAGGAGAAGATGGACAGCAACTTCAGATTCCAACTAGTGACAAAAAATCTGAAAACGAGGTGACAGCGAAGGCGGCAAAAGTAGTAAAACAGGATAAGAAAACTCCAAAAGTTGTAGCAAAGAAAAAAGGAATTAGAAATAAAAACAAACAAAATAACGGCAACCAGAAGGGAAAACCAGAAAAGCCAGCAACAAATACGCCCCCATCAGAAGAAGATCTGAAAAAAATTGAAAAGAAGAAACAGAAAAAAATACGTCAACTAGAAAAAAGGAAGCTGAATACAGAAAATCAGCCAAAGTTTTCGCAACCTAGCAAAAAACATACAAAATTCCAAAATAAGCAAAAACCAGAACGCCGGAAAGAGTTCCAAAATAGTATGATAATTAATGGTGAAGAGGTGGAAATCGCATATGTTGATAATTTTCCAATTAAAAAAGAAGATGCAGACAGAATCAAACAGTTGCGTAAGCAAATGATTAGTAAAGGTCTACCAAGAAGCGAAATTAACGTCGCCTTGAAACTGGAGAGACGAAAAGCGGAAAAAGCTTTAGCTCGGCTAAAGAAAAAGGTTTGCTTCAATTGCAGAAAATCTGGCCATAATTTATCCGAGTGTCCCAGCTTGAATAATCAAATGATGGCTGAATCTTCTGGAACTGGAATTTGTTTTAAATGTGGTTCCACGGAACATACGCATTTTGAGTGTAAGGTGGTTAGAGGTCAAGAATTTAAATTTGCACAATGTTTTATTTGTAATGAACAGGGGCACATTGCTCGACAGTGTCCTGATAATGCTAGGGGGTTATATCCAAAAGGTGGGGCTTGTAAAGTATGTGGAGATGTGACCCATTTGAAAAAGGATTGTCCGAAGTATCAGATGCAGCAGCATCACCTTGAACAAAGTGTAAAATTAGGAGTTATGAATAGTGATAATCCTGATAATTTAGACAGAGATGACGAACCTGTAAACATAAAAGAAACTAAGCGACCAAATAAAATTGTTAAATTTTAAATGCGTGTTTTTTTTCTAGAAAAATCCTGCCAATCAGAGTCGCGGAAAAAGATCACATGACGGAGCCGTTAGTTCCTGAATATAATTAGACTTCAGTTAAAATTGTGCGTCCTCAAACTAATTATTTTTAGTTCTATTATCTTCGCTCTAACGTGAATATGGGAGAAAATAGTTGCTTATATAAAATAACGAAAAATGATCAACTCGGGCGGTAAACTAAACATAAAAATATTTGCAAAATGTTGAAAAAAAAATTTTTTTAGTTACATTATCGCAGCAAAAAATATTAAACAAGGGCAACTGATTTTGAAAGAAAATCCCGTTATATTGTGTCCACAAATAGGAGGATGCACAATATGCTTCAACTGTTGCGCTCAAATTAAAAAAGTGCAATTTTGTTCTGAGTGTGCCGTTGCTGTTTTATGCAGTTCAGAGTGCAAAGGTAAGATCATTTTTCCCCACTCTTAGGACATAATTTGTCACTACATACTCTTAAAATATTATTTGATTATAAACGTTATTACAGGTCAGTTTCACACCCCTCAAGAATGCTCAGTTATAATAAAGAAAACCCCTATCAAACGTGAAGATCTGCTTACAAACCCGGAAATCGTTACCCCTTTTCGATATTTACTGTGGCGCCACTTCAACAAAGAATTGTTTCAAGCTGTACTTCAACTCGAAAATCATCTTGAGCTTCGCCGCGACTCGCAGATTTGGCGAAGGACTCATATTAACGTGGAGAATGTCTTGCATGAGTTGAAAATGGTGGATGACGCCGATTTAAAGAATGAAATAGTGCAGAAAATTTGCGCCGTTCTTGATATTAACACTTTTGAAGTGAGGCAACCGCAGAGAAATCGGTCCGGTTTTAATCCGGGTGAAAATTTGAGGGGTTTGTATCTTAGTGCTGCAATGATGGCACATGACTGTGTGGCCAACGTGCATTTAGCTGTGGATGATGAGTTTGTCTTGTATGTGCACGCTGCTGTCGACATTCCTGAAGGGGCTCCTATTCTTTTTAATTACGCCAATGTGCTGCAGGTAGGTTTACTCGTGGTGCTGTAAGTAAGCGTATGTAAATTGAAATCCGTTAACGGCTATTAGGTTTTTTGATCTTGCTGGAGATTGAACTTCTGCACGAGTATGCTGTTTTTATTTTGATTTGACGTGGACGTGATCATGTATACCATTTTTTTACTTCCAGAGCGTTTCATGATCCTTAGAGGACGAAAAAATAGGTGTCTATTTCCGTTTCTCTATCGTCTGCCTACCTATCTTCCTAACTATTTGTTCGTCTGTGGATCCAATAATTTATTTTATAAAATATCACACTACTGTCCTTCTGGTTTACGAATCCACCTTAATTTTTAACCCTGGACAACCAGATGTTTGTAAATAAATCAAAGTTTTATGATAATTATAAAAATAATAATAAAAACAAATGCCCTGAAATTTTGCAAACGTTTTAAGGCTATCGCAAGCATGGTAAATCACTAATCAAAATTTATCTGTTTATTACACCCAAAAACTTGATGACGTCATCTTAAAGTCCATATTTGTGATAATCAGCGTATTTATATTTTTTAGAATGATTTTTACAAAAACTGAATGATGCAATTTATTGCATTGTTCAAATCAAATTCAACCTACATTGGTCGTTACAGCCCATTAAAATTAGTTGGACCAAGATATCAAAATTCTTATGTGGATTATCAAAATATTGTTACGTTGAACGGGTATTTAAAATCAGCGTGGGTAAAACTCAAACATTTATTTCTCTCTTGAATTTACACGACTGATTACACCGCGGTTATGTACAAAAATAATTCCGGCGCAACTTGACTGTACTCTCGTGGATTAAATTGACTGAATAATTTTCGTTCCCGACGGTGGCCTCTATTTAAACCTATACGTTGCTCTCGATGGGTCGAGAACGCCGCTTGGAGGTTTTTCTGGGTTGTTCATCGCGACTTCCGATTCCACGCTTTTCTTTAGCGAACGCCGGTCGCTGTCATCGACGATAAGTTATCATCTCCGTATATACTAGAAAGTTCTCGGCGATGCATAGGCGTCGTACCGGGGGGACGTATGGTTCTATTTCGTAACAATATCTGTGTTGTGGTATCTTGAATTTAAAAATTAAATTTTGCGCTGAGTAAAAAAAGAACATCGCGAAACCACATTTGAAAAATTAAAAATCAGAAAAAAATCATTGAATAACGTAGGCAACATACCTTTGTCAGATACTGTCTACCACTTGCTGTTTCGTGCTGTTAGTGAAACGATGTTTTTAAAAAGATGGCACGTAAAATGCTGTTTGTAATTTCACTACAGGGCAATTATTCAAACAAAATGAATCGCACTCAACGTCACGGTTCCCTCAACGAGTATAATTGGTATACAATCAGTTTATTAGCGATTTTCTAAGAAACACTGTAAAACTTTGGCGAATTCATCAACAATTATTTTTGCTTAATTTTGTAAATTAACAGTTCGTGATTCAGATTTTTAACTATTTATGATTCTAATTCTAATTCATTTCAACTACAATAACGGACAATATTAATTTAAAATAGGTCGTAGGAAATTCACTTATTCAGGCTCAATTTCTTGTAATTAACCTACGTATATCTAAAAGTTCTGGATGTTTTTACTTAAGTTATTGTATTGTCCGCTTCAAAGTTCATTAATGGCATTTACACGTTGATTAATTTTGAGAGAAAGGACCTTGAAAATTATCATCAGATAAGTTAATATCAACGTGGACTCGAAGTAAGAGCCATATTTATAATCTTACAGTAAAAAATATAAACATTAATTCAATTTAATAAAAATTAGTAAAAATAACCTGATAGTGAATCTAAACTGATTCAGAATATTTTGACTTCGTTATACTAAATATGCTTCAATTTTGCTCATATTAGTGTTTAATTTTATAATTAATAATAATTAATATTAGTAATAATAATATGTTTTATTGATTTAGAAAATATATATTTTGTCTGATTATAATAATACCGTAACGCAATATAAACTTCCGGGTAACGAAAATAAGACCAAAAATCAGAAAACTTTTGAGAACCACAAATCCCTCAAAGGTTTTTCAATGTTTGCGTATCCAATGAACGAATCAAGTAAGTATTTGAAATAATCTATCTATACTTAATCTGGTCAAGAGAGTTGCCTCCAGTTTTATTGTTTTGTTTTTCGTATGTCGTGCAGTTTAAAGGTTATTCATGAGCAAGTAGATGACATACAGAAAAAAACCTGGTGACGTGATACTCTTGACCAGATTTTTAGCAAATTGGACACCCGATAGATTCTGACACAATTATCGATATTTTTTTTTTTAATGTAGTAATACAGGGTGATTATTTTATGTGTTCACGCCTGGATAAGTCCGAATAGGCAACACATGTTACTTTCCATAAACGACTTCGTCTTAAATTTTTTTTAATAATAAATAACAAATAACGTCTATATGGCAATCATTGCGCCAAAATTATGAGTATGAAAAATTAATTCTAACAGTCAAATTATTCTCAACTTCTAATTACGTTTTATTTTCTTTAAATTTTGCCATTATTAGTAGCTTGGCGTCTTTTTTGTGATTATGACATAGTGTGAGTTTTGTGTTGTTGTATTTACTAATTAATATGATTGCTAATTTAAAAAATTAATAGATTGATCAAAGTTGCTTATGATATGTATAATGTGTTGCCTTATTATTATATAATAATTATGATTATTCGATTGCTTGCTATAGTGAGTTAATTCCGTTTTGGTTTGGCAAAGAAATTCTAATATAAACCGCTGAGCAAAAAGTGTTGAAATCTTTTGGCTTTGAAACAGTACCTAATTTACAAAACGCATTCGCTGATTGATGAAGATGACCACTTTTTGTAACCGACAGTAGGCAGCATTTTCCCATATAACTAGAGTGTAGCACAATAAAACAGAACGAAATAGAGCAAAATATGTTAAACATGGTTCTAAAAGTCCCAAAATACTACACATTTTCCATTTTCTTATTGTATATATCTAAGAAGATATACTGTACATAGAATAAATATGTAAGTTCCACTTGAGTCAGGAAAGTTCATCTGGTATGATCTGGGAATACTGTTAAACAGAACATTTACATTTTTTGTTTTATTCATAATTCGTGTGATAGACTGAGACTGCGTATGATTACAATTGGGTAAGAGAATGAAGTTGGTAACGTTGGTTGAATGAGTCGTTCCCGAAGGTGGCCTCTGTTTAAACCCATACTTCGCTTCTGAATATTCCGCGATCGAGGTTTTTCTCGAGTAAGGGAACTAGGGGCTTGTTGTAACAGGGGTAAGTTGTAACACTAAATTTTTACCCGGAATTTAAACTCTTTAACGTCAGGTTTTTTACTGATTTTAATTCTTGCACCATAAGACATCATGTCATCATAACCACTGTTCCTCCAGCCAGCGCAGTGAGTGGATGTGTGCACCTGTTTCGTTTTGGCCAAGTAATGTAAAATATTGCTTTGCTAAAATTTGGTTTTTTCGTATCTGTTATTAATTAATTTTAAACTTTTAGTTTTGCATGTAGTTCAAAAATTACTCAGCTTTGATATTCCTTACACATTTTGACGCTAAGCGACATAATTTTGTCGAAATGTAATTAAATGTAGAAAATTGTGCTACGGGGCATACTGTAACAATACCCGAGGGGCAAGCTGTAACATGTTACAACTTATCCCAAATTACTTCTACAAATCTGGTACCTAGCATACGAAAAGCGAGCGAAAATTTTGACCTACGCCATATATCTGTTCCCAGATATACATATTAAGAAAAAGAAAAACAAAACTCAAATCTTTAATGTTGACTCTTTTTTTAAAAGTTTATTTGAGTTTTACTGATAAATATTATATATAATGAAGTGTTGTGTTGATTTTTGAAAAATAAAGTCTAAATATGTGTCAACATCAGCTTTATTTTTACTGGTACTACCTGCCTCATGGCTGTTACAACTACCCCAAAAACGGGGCAAGTTGTAACAGTGCACTTTTTTTAAGAAAATGCCTGGTATAAAGTGAATATGAACAATTTTGACCTTTTGCCTGTTCAGTCCAGTAGGGGAATAGTTAGACTACCGACAGATACTTTTATAGTGGTCAAACAGCTAGTAGATACCAAATTATATTCGTTTTCCTAAAAACTGTTACAACAAGCCCCTCGTTCCCCTACCTACCGCGACCTCCGCTTCCAGGCTTTTCAGTACAGAACGCCGCCCGGTCGCCGTCACCGACGATGAGTGACTCATCCTCGTTCTACGTACCAGAAAGGCCTCGAGAAGACGTCGTACCGGGGCGGCGTATGGGTTTATTTCGTAACAATATAGAGCCCAATACCAAGCTTCGAGGCATCTCTTTTGTGAAAGTTCATCCACCCTATTAATTAATTAATATTAAAATTTAAAGTCTAGATACATAAATCCGTGAAGGTTCCGTAGATTTCCTAATTATTTATTAAAACAGTGCCGTATATACATATTCCATCAGTTTCCATTCGCTTCAATAGTATTAAGACCTCTTTAAAAACTAAAATGTTTTTTATAGATTACAGATTATATTATTTTTGTTTAAGTAGTTCAGAGTTTGTTCGAAAATAACATATTTGAATATTTTAGAATAATGGTAATTACTTGGCAAGGGTCTCCTTTCTTTTTATATACTGGCGTTAATTTTGCTAATTTCAGCTCTTTTGGACACTTATTAGAATACAGGTATTATTTACATGTGCTAGAGGTTCAGCAACAATAAAAAATAAGTTAAAATAAAAATAGGGGTGTGTTATGAAACTACAGATTTTGTGATTATGTCAGCTATTAATTAAGAACAAATAATTACCATTTTGGAAAGACACACCATAACAGTACTAAAAATTGGTCTAAAGAGTTTAGACAGTACTTCCCTCGCTGTCGGAAACTTGACGACTGCATGCCTATTGTGTGTGTGAGTAAAGTAAATTTACGCTTTCATTTATTTTCTTGAATCACCCTGTATATGCAAATCCAAAAAATATGAATGGAGTGATAGATCACAAGTACAGACTGATCATATTTTGTACATTTTAGATATGATTTATTCGGCAAATTTTCGAGCTGACGTCATCAAGTTTTTGGAGGGGATAAGCAAATATATTTTGACTAAACATTTATTATGCTCTTTATAACCTTAAAACATCTGCAAGATGTCAGAGCATTCCGTTTTGTAGTTCCTGATTAAATCAATAAAATATATTTACGCATTCATTAATTTTTTTGAGTCACTCTGTATATGCAAATCCAAAAAATATGAATGGAGTGATAAATGACAAGTACAGCCTCATCATATTTTGTACATTTTAGATATGATTTATTCGGCAAACTTTCGAGCTGACGTCATCAAGTTTTTGGAGGGGATAAGCAAATATATTTTGACTAAACATTTATTATGCTCTTTATGACCTTAAAACATCTGCAAGATTTCAGAGCATTCGGTTTTGTAGTTCCTGATTAAATCAATAAAATATATTTACGCATTCATTAATTTTTTTGAGTCACCCTGTATATGCAAATCCAAAAAATATGAATGGAGTGATAGATCACAAGTACAGACTCATCATATTTTGTACATTTTAGATATGATTTATTCCACAAACTTTTGAGCTGACGTCATCAAGTTTTTGGAGGGGATAAGCAAATATTTTTTGACTAAAGATTTATGATGCTCTTTATAGCCTTAAAACATCTGCAACATTTCAAAGCATTCTGGTTAGCAGATTAAAAATTAAATTTCAAAATGTTGTTTTATAATTTTGATTTTTTTTTCAAAAATCTGGACGTTTCGGGTGAAAAGTCGATTCAGAGTTGTAAACTACATATATAGGACTATGTTATTTTATACAATTGAAAACCCATTTACTATGTACAATTTTGAAGTGACGTCATCGCATTAGTGGTGGGGATGATTAGACAAATTTTGGTTAGCGTTTTACCATCTACATGATATTCTTAATATAAGTACAAAATTTCACAACAATCGGTCGAGTACTTTCGGAGATTATCTGTCTAATAAAAATCCGGGACAACAGACGGACAGACGGACGGACAGACGGACAGACGGACAGACGGACGGACAGACGGACAGACGGACAGACGGACGGACAGACGGACAGACGGACAGACAGACGGAAATGGGAGACCTATTTCTTCGTCTTCTAGGGGTCATGAAAGATCGAGAAAACGTAAAAGTAGAGAGTCGGCCGACGGACTCGATTACAATACTTCCTTTGCTTACGCTCGGGAAGTAATAACAACAGCAAAAACGGGTTTTTAGTTTAATTTTTTTGAGAAATCCTGTATAAACAGCTTTAAAAAAATGGAAGTACATGAAGAAACGACATGTACAAAAGCATGTTTTTCTAAACACTTCTTTTAAATTGACTTTACAAAATTTGGAAACAACGTGATTAAGTTTTTGACAGGGATGCACAGGTAAATTTTGAGTAGGTACCGGTTTATTTATCATGTCGACGATAACTTTAAAGCATGTAGGTACCTAATATTTTATTAGAACACCTTATGTCAATTTCGACACGTACAGTGTACTGCTATTAATAAAACATTGGGGGGTACCGTTCTAGAGACTTGATCAATAAAAAAATGTATAATAATATATATTCAAAGATATAGTAGCACTGCAAAAAATGAAAACCCCATGCAACATTGGAACCTGCCGAATTTTTACCTCCTGTAACCTAATGAATAACTTTGTACGAATTCCGCTATATTGGTATAAAAGATTGCTGTACAATTTCCATTTTCTTTGCCAAACTTTGGATGCCTCCGAGAAAATCTAAAGACGGATTCATAAACAACAAGTACAGAAGTATGTTGTTTGGTTGTTAAAATTTAAACCTTACTTCTGTTACACTTAAAATGTTGGTTTGCGTTTTACCACCTACATGATATTCCTAATATACAAATTTGAAAACAATCGGTCCGGTAGTTTAGAGGATTATCTAATTGTCTAATAAAAATCGACACAGACGGCAGACGACAAATTATATTTTCGTATTCTAGGGGTCATGAAACGTTGAGAAAACATAAAAGTAGCAGTCGCCCAATGGGCTCGATTACAATGCTTCCTTAGTTTACGCTCGGGAAGTAAAAACTTGAATAAAATCACAAATTACTGAAAGTCAGAATATGGTAATTTAGTCGCAAATGGTCGGTCGCGAAAACAAAGAGTTAAATATCTCTTATTTTATAAATTATATATCTCACTTAAAGTCTGAAAGTTAACAGCAAATTTCATTAAAACTGATAATTACAGTATTGTTACAAGCATAGTATTTTCATTCTGTAGAGGTACTAATACAGTTCTATAACTTAAAATTTAATTTGTAAGCCCGTAATTCGTAAAATGATAAATTAGTCGCTTTCGCTAACCAAACGCTGAACAGGGGCGAACATGAATTTAATTGATCTGTTTGCAAAAATCGTTATTGTAATGAAATACTAATTTGTGGTTTGTGTTTATATAACCAAAAATTTTTGAAAATATTAAATTGTATAAACAACATCAGTAAATAATATAACATGGACGCAGCTTTTGATAGTTGATTCATTCTGATGTGTCCCTTGACAATTTTTTTATAGCAAATAGGATTTAAATTTTATAAAATAACATACTGCTATACTTGTGGTTTATGAATCAGCCTTGAGGTTCTCCCCGAGGCATCCAAATTTTCGCAAAAAATTGAAACTGTGTAACAAACTTTTTTACTAAATAATATAAGTAGAGCAATGAACATCATGAGCGATTTTGGACTTGCAACAACACGAACATCGCGCGTTCAATTCGTCCATGGGTTTTTTTTTCTTACACAATTGCTGCTTTTATCTATTTATTTTTTAATATATAGAGGTTATCACAAACAAAATTTCGTAAAGTCAAATTTTGTAATTTTTCAAAGAAACGGGATTTACTGGAGTGTATTTCAGGGGCGAGGGTAGTTTTGTTGAAATAAACTTCGACCAATTTTTCTATCAAAAATTCCAGCAGCATAAATTTTTACCTAGAGTACAACGTTTATTACTTAGAGCATAGCACCGAAGAATAGAATTCAGTAGTTCTTGAACTAAGACAATCACTCATTTCAGGGTAACGAAGAAAGGCAAAGTCAGCTTAAAGATGGAAAATATTTCTTCTGCAGCTGTTCAAGATGTACAGATCCCACAGAACTTGGTACCGAAATGAGTTCTTTGAAATGTCCTCGGTGCCATAAAGGTTTTATTCGACCGAAATCATGGCAGTGTTCACTTTGTCAACGCATTTATCACAGTTCCTTGATAAAAATGACGTTAGCGGAATGTCGAAGACGAATTGATGAAATAAGTAAGTAAAATCAATATAGAATGTCGTCTCAGATTTAATTTAAATCTACATTCTTTAGGATCACCGGACATACGGACCCTTGAAAAACTGCTGCAAAAGCTTTCCTTTACTTTTCATCCTCATCACTACCTAATTTTAGAGGTTGAACAAAATTTAATCGGACTGTACACTCAAAGCCCACCCGAGACTAAGAATTTGCGGCGAAAGATTGAAATGTGCAACAAATTTTTAGACATATTTCGGAAAATTGAACCAGGCATTTCTCGAATTCAGGCAATTGGTTTATACGAACTCCATTCTGCCGTCGTCAGTTTAGCTGAAAGAATTTACAAGAGCAAGGAAACTGACAAAGAAGGCTTCATGAAGATGCTCTTACTGGCCGAAAGCACCCTTAAAAATTCCATTAAGTCTTTACTGTACGAGCCAGTTAAAAGCCCTGAAGGTCGACTAGCTCAAAACGCTCTTTCTGAATTGAAAATGTTGAGAGCAACCATCAGCAACTTTCAGTCAGAGGAAAAGAAGGTGGAGAAAAAGAAAAGCAACAAGGGAAACAAAAAGAAAAAATAATTTTTATTGGACTTTGACAGAATAAACACTTCAGATTTCAGGCGGTTTCTATAAGTAGTTCAAAATTTTCTTTAAGTGTGTCGTAAGATTCCTGGGCGACTAATCCTAGTTGACCTTCGTTTGAATTTGGAAGCTCATTTTTTAGAATCTCCACCGACTGTCGTAAAATATCACTGGCTTCCTCCATCTTTTTTCTAAATTCGTCTTTGTTAATTACGCCAGATGAGTATTGGTTTCTGGCCAAATTTATTAATGGAGCATGAAGTTCATATAAAGTTATTCCTCGTATCCTTGTTAAACCTGGTTCTATAACGTCTAAAACGTCTAAAAGTTGCTTACATAACTCTACTTTTCTCTCCTGTAATAAATCTGGTAATTCATGGATGGTGTAGCCTTCAGCTCGACCGTAAAGTTGGGCCAAGGCTGTGCGGATTATCGTCATATAAGCACTCTTAGGATGAAAAACTGACCTATATTTTCTGTAAATAGCCTCTCTACATTCTATTCCCTCAGCTCCTGTAATCATTTCGACAGAATCTATTTCTCTTTGTACAATATCATAGACTTTTTTAACCGACATAGCGCTTGTTTTGAATTCACAGTGAGTGCATTTCCACTCACAGGTGAAGCTTAGTGGATCAGTGCTCAAAAGCACTCCATTGTCGCATTTGCTGCATTTGAGGGTTCCTAAATGGGTTCCAAGTTCTGTCTTATCTTGACACCTGTTACATTTACACTCGAAGTATTTACTTTCAATTAGAAATTCTCGTCGGATCAAAGTGGGCCACAACGAATACGTATAACTGCAAAACAGTTCTCCATTTTCAGGAATATTGATAGCTGCTTTGACTGCAACCTTCAAATCGTTTGAATCTATTGTGTGGTGAATATTGGAAACGCAATCGTGTGACATTACTGCAAGTTTGGGGTACAAACAACGGATTAAATACCCTGAAGAAGCCCTCGCTTCGAAACTGTTTACATCAAGCATACCACACACACTGTGGATGAGATCTTCAGAAAAACGATTCAGTTTACAAGGGCCTCTAAGATAATCCACAATGTTCACCTGGTTGAAGTACCAGATCGGTTTTGTCCTGCGCAATTCGTTATGTGTTTCCATCATTTCCACTTCTTCTTCCCATCGTCTGGGATCCTTTTCTTTTGCAAGAAGAACTCTCAATGGTGTTATACATTCGTACTGAAGACATACATCCGTAGGATCTTCAAGTGGTTGAAATTTCACTTTAGCACTTGCAAAAACTTCACACTCATTTTCACTGTGTACGGAAAGAAATTTGCACTCTGAATTACATACGGGCCATGAACACTTTGAACATAAGTTGCTGCAGTCCACGGGCACGGAACATCCAAGACACAAGGGACAAGAATCTAAAGTAAAATTATTTTAGAAACGCAACTAAGGCAAAAACTCGTGACGACTTACCCGATTTTGGTCCATATGCGAAGGGAGAGTCTGTCAGGATTAATTCCCCCGCTTTTAAATCACGGCTGGCAACGGCATAACGACCTACCTGGTCATTTTTCTTTACAGTAAGAGCTGCGTTATATGTCATGTCTAGACCGACAATAAACTTTCGCTCAAACAAATGTTATATTCGTAAAGCGGATCAGGAAGTCATTAGCCATTGTTTCGTCAAAACCACTGGCTAACTGCCTGATTTTAGGTGACTATGTCGAAATCACCCTTCCTTTGCGCCGGTTCTAGTGGCGAAAATCCAAAACTAATAAAGATTTACGTAAGTGGCAAGTTTAACATGTTAAAATTAATAGAAAATAAGAATAGGTAGTGACTGCCTTAATAGCTCTAGCCAAGGGGAAAATAACTTTACTACTGTCAGAAGCAAAACTCGTTCGGTGGGCTATCATCCAAACTTTCGACATGTCGTTCTAAAAAGATGCCATTAATTTTGAGTTTTCCCGTGTCGGTTTAATGTAAAGGTACAGCTGTCTTCGTTAAGTCAAACATAAATCACTAGATTTGCTAATTAAAAATGTGTTGCGTGTTTTTTCAAATCACTGATAAATATATACATGATAGAAGATGGTTAGTTTGTACGCTATCCTTAGGTAGCTGTATTTTGATTCTAGGAGGCTATACTTTCACGGTGTAATAAAGCTCTTTCTTACTCAGTAATTGTAAATCAGTTACGAGTCAGTTGAAGTAATTCAATGAATAAACTGACTTAACCGTAGGAGCTAATTTTATTTTAAGTATTGTACGTTTGTACATTGATATCCTAAACTGTGAATTTCCATAATTTTTCGAATACTGACGACAACTTTTACCATTGTGACGCAGGATTAAAAATTATGCTCAGCAACGTGATCCAGCTGCGAACAGATTAATTTTATTCATGATATTTTAGGGTCAATATGCCACTTATATCATAAGTGTTCGTTAATTCGTTATGTCTGAATGTAAATAAAGGTGTAATATTCTCATGCTAAAAATGCCATCAAGTAACACTCAAAGCCACCTTACTTAAATAAATTACGGTTCAGTTTTATGTTAAGACTTTCAAATAGATGTACTCAGATTAGTTGCTTAGTAGTATGTTACTAAATAGTATGGTGTTGTTGAAAACGTTCTCTTAGAATCGTTGACTAAATATAAATATAATTTTAATTGTCAACGACTACTTCATATAGCTAATTAAAAATAACCCTAGTTAAAGTAAGTCACGTTTCTCATACTCTATAACGGTTATTAGTAGATTTGTCCTTTTGTAAAATATATTGGCAACCGTTTTGTATTCAGAGACAGGCGATAGGTATTTAAATTAGAAATTACTTTCGTTGAGATTGTTAAGTACATTTTTTTAGTAGTGTGGTAACCAGATTTGAATTAAAATGTCGCGCTGAAAAAAAGACAGCGGCGTGTAATCGCATTTGAATAATTTGAAAAAAAAATTCAATCAAGAAAATCGTTAAGCCTAGGCAATTAAAGTCTCTGCTAGGCAACCATGTGCATGTTTAGTTCTTTTCTGGCAGTTGGTAGTTCTGCTGGGAATTTGTAGGTAGAGGGTTGGTAGTGAAATTTAGTTGTTTGGTAGAGGAGTGACTCTAGGTAGAGGGTAGGTGGCGCTTCACTGTTGTTTTGTTAAAGTGAGTGAAAGTTTAGTTGGTTTGGTAGTTAATAAAAATGGTGAGCCTTTGTTTAACGAAAATTAATCGTAACGACGAAGACGCCACAGTTTCCCCAACAAGCGTAGCTAATTCTTGCCGTTTTTCCAAGCGTAAATATGCGAATTTTAGACGGACGCTAACACGCGGTGTAAATTTGTTTTATCGTTTGTAAATTCACAGTTCATGTCAGAATTTTAATCGTTAACTGGTTCTAACACATTTTAACAGTCAGGAGTTTGTTTAGATAAAGCACTTGCTATGAGATTTCATGAAATTCTTAAGTGTTACATTATAACACTTTTTAATTCCTCACGCAAGATTGCTAATAGTTCATTTACAGCAGTTAAATCAACCTAACGTTGTCCCACTCTGGGAAAAGGACTGTGGAAAGTGCGGTAGAATTTATAATAGCGTGAACTGAGGTACGAGGGAATTGAACATTTTTCCCTTTAGGCAGTTATCATATCATCATCACATCACCGAGATATATTTTCTTACGACGTTGGAAATTACACCACCGAAAAACATTTCTCCCGACGCTGGATGCATTTTGTGTTGTTTATTTATCATGTGTTTGTTTGGGCCAAGGTGGGGACAGACACGATATAAACTCTCAAAGCTAACTGTTTTAAGTAACCAGTCACTTGGATCATGGCATAATTTAACATCATGTGAATTCTTCGTTTGAATCGTTGATAAAGTGTGACATTATTTAACATCACGTAAATTCTTTGTTTGAATCGTTGATAAAGTGCGGCAAATATTAACCTCATGTAATTCTGTTAGCTTTACAATTTTTCACCTCATGCGATTTATTCTACCTCACAATTTTAACTTCAGTAATGTTCTTTGTTGTATAATTTAAATTGAACGTAAATTTTCTTGCTCTGCAGTAACTTTTTATCTGCACAAGTTTGACTTCACACCAGATTATTGTTTTTGTTTTATAAAATTTTGCTAGTCTTTTTTTTTAATGTAAATATTTTGTTGATTGATTTTTCCAGCATACAAATTGTCTGATGTCCAATCTTAATCTCAGATAAGAATCCTTTGCTGTTTCAAATTTCACGAAAGTGTATGGCGAATTTAAAAGTTGTTTATTGGTCTTTTTGAAGCTTCAACAGTTGTTCAGTTGTAGTTTAATATCAGAGTTATAGAAAGTGAACATTTAAAATGGAATTGAGGTAAATAACACAGATACACGCGGCACAAGCGGAGGGCGCGGTTCCTAGTTGAGCTGGCGGGATTTATCGCAGACCTAGAATATAAGTCAGGGGCGGTCGGGATGACGTCACGCTGTCTTTATAGCCGTGATTTCCAACCACGAGTTTGCGACCGTAACCGCCTGTTAGTGTGGCACGTTTCTTCGTTAGATAGAGGGGTGCTGGGCGGCATGTGCTTGCCGATAAAATAGAATCACCGTTGTGGGAGGAGAACAGCCACAACCAGGTGCCCCAAACTCCGCTCGGGCTACAACGCCCTCTATGGGCAATTTTGTTGTGCTCTAGAATGAAATTGAGATAATTCGATCCTCACACTCTTATTGCGCTCTGGCGCCGCTGTCGCTGCATACAGTTTTTATTAAAATTTTGTTGTCTTGTTAACCGCTATAATTTTAAATTTGCCGCCACACGCCCGTAATAACTTGTGTATTTGCATCCAGTTACTTTAATTCAAATTTTTCTTTTTTTTATTAAATTTGTGATCTTCAAATATTTGCATTGATTTAGAACGTTTAATTTGATTTCATTCAAAGTTAAGCAAGTTTTTTGTGTAGCTGTGATGACAGGATATCGTGTAAATTCAGCTATATAATTAAGTAGTTTTTAAATGTAAATTCCTCGCAGGATGGTGCTGCTTTGGATCCTGGAGAGACGGCGATGCTAAAGCGGGGACGATACGTTGAAAGGGGTCACGTGATGGCACCAGCACGACGAGTGGTGATTATCGACTCTTGTCTGTGTACGGTTTATCATGTGTGCGTGCAAAAAAGGGGATGGAGCAGTTGTTATGGGGCGTTTGCGAAGTGGCGGAGAATGATCGCATCCAGAGTTCAACAACGAATTTATGATATGATACCATGATGGATGGTAACCCAGAAAACCCAAAAATCATAGCAGATGAAAGCCATAAAAAACTTAGAGAACATACGGATCCTCCTCCTTCCGCTGTTTTTTCTGTACACTCAGTCCAAAGATTGAATGGCGTTCTTCCAGCTTTGGCGCGGCGTGGTTGTCACACGAAATTCGCTGTCCATTCTTACCATTATCGCTGCTTACTGTCCGCCGAAAATTTGTTTCTTTGGAGTCATGTGTTTAAATTTGTGACATTCAAATATTTGTATTGAATTGTAACATTTGATTTCATTTTTAAAAGCTGGAGAGGGTTTTCGCGGCGGGGAAATAAGCCCCTTATTAATTTATTCAACAGTTTTTCCTTCCTAATAATGGAGGAATAAACAATTTACCCTGCATATTTTGCAATTTGATTTAACCAACTAACCTTGGGGTCCACCCCTTTCATTACTAGTAGGGCCCCTTCAGCACACAACACTGTTTTAAGGATTTTATCCTGGGGTTAAAGGTATATTTAAAAAACCATATATTTCAAGAATTTAAAAAAGTAAAAAAAGTCCCAATTCTAGGGATTCTGTCCTGTTTTTAAGATATACAAAATTCGATTTCGGCTAAAAAAAATCACCTTCGGAAGAACAGTCGAAATTTTAAGGATTCTGCCCTGTTTTTAAAGATATATTTAAAAAGCAAATTAATATTTCAACGATTTTGCCCTATTTTTAAAGGTATATTTAAAAAGCAAATATTTCAAAAATTTCAAGTGATGCGTAGATAAATGATCGGCAGTCACGCTGAGGATCACGATAGGAATTTGTCAAATTAAGAAAAACATTTCCGGGTTAGTAGTGGGACTGGTGGGTCTAAAAATAATAATTCATTTTCAGGACTGAAACCAAGAGTGAATCACTGCGTTCTGGTGTTTTTATTTGTCATAGACGGAGGAATACATTTCGGTGAATGTAAATCTTGTTTTTAGTTGTGGACGATCACCACTGGCTTTCTCCAACGGTTCGAGTAGTTTTGGCTTAGATCATATAATAAATAGATACCACCATGCCGTGTTCTTTCCCTAGGGCAGCCTGTGACGACATCCTCCTGTCACACATCTCTCTCGTGCATGGATGGATTACAATGAAGCTATCCTTACCTGATCACTATTTGAATTTTGCGCGCCTAAATTTTAGGAAGTATGTCTGAACTAACTTCGGAAGAAAGATGTTGACAGCTTGATTTTATAAATAATTCACAGTAGATAACGAAAGGAATAGTAAATTATTGGGTAGCAATTGTGATCCTTTATGACTACATCACTTAAAATAGGATCTTTGTTCTAAATTCTAAAATTGTTTTTTGTACAACAACTCGAAAGAGAGGTTAGAAGAAACATCTGTCAAAAGCGATTTGTTGCGCTGGTGCGGTACAAGGATGGAAGTGAAATAGACATATACAGATGAAATGTATATAACAAAGATGAAGATGTCGTGATCACACAAGGATAGCATTATACTACTCCCCTTGACGTAGAAAACGACAACAGATAGCTTCATGTCTAGTCACAGCTTTCAGTTTGAGTATTGGTATCTATTTATTATATGATCTAAGAGTTTTGGTAGTCTACAACTAAGTCCATGGTACCGGGCGGCGGGCATTAGTTTTGGCCTCGAGTGTACAATGGGACTTAACTTCATGTTTGTATTAGAATCATTCTTGTATTATACAGTACTCGAAATAAAATGCGAACGTACTAAGAAAATTAATAGCGAGACTACCGCTACTTTAGGTATCCGATAAGCTCTCATCAATCAGTTCGTCCAGAAGTAGCCAAAAATAACAGAAATATTACTGATATTTCGTTTCGTTTTATCATTCCAGAAGAGACTTAGTTTTCAAGAAGTCATTACATACTATAATAGCGTGAATTTTATGTAACTGTTACATAAGATGCTATATGTTCATTTCATAGTCCGTCGCATCATCAGCCCTATTCCAGACAGGCAAATCGAAATTTATTGCACCCTGTGCGGTGTCCTGAATTGAAGTTTAAACTTCGCGCTGAGAAATTAAAAACAACGCTGTGAAACATTTGAAAAATAAATAAATAAGTAACATAGGTATGCATTTTGAGAGGAATGTCACCCTTAGTTACAGTAGCGGTTTGTACTGTAATTCATAAAAGGGCCATTGCTTACATAAAAATAAATCACAGTTGACGACACAGTCCGCTTCAACGAGTGCGTTAGTCTAAAACCATTTTTTCTAATCTGAAAGATGAGGTTTCGTCGTCATATGCAATTTTTGTTTTATTGCGGTAATGTTGGCAAGGATGATTTTAGCGCTAGTTGTCTCGTAAATTTTTATTTTGTTTCACCTAGGGTACATACTTCTTCGTGGAAAGTGTGGGTCTTCCGGCCTGGCAGTCCCCAAGGAAGTGAGTGATACGATCAATTATGTAACAATTCAAGTTCACGTGTCTAATTTTGACGGGATGTTTGGGTTAACACAATTGGAGACTTATTTTATAATTCTAAAAAAAGTACACTGTAAAATTACTTTATTACAAATTTTTCAAAAATGGATATAATAAACAGGCACTCTGAAACTAATAAATGAAATTACGCAGTTTCTATAAGAACTTCAAAATTCTGATTCAAGCTCTCATAAGCTTGTTGTGCCATTAATCCCAGCTGCCCCTCATTCGAGTCCGGGACCTCATTCTTCAAAATCTCCACAGACTTGCCCAAAGTATCTATCGCCTCTTGCAACTTTTTCCTGAACTCATCTTTGCTGATGGCACCTGAAGTATACAGGTTCCTCGCTAAAATCATCAAAGGGGCATGCAGCTCATACAACGTAATTCCCCTAATCCTAGAAAAACCCGGTTCGATCACATCCAGCACCTCCATCAACTGATTACAAAGCTCCACTTTCCTTTCCAACAGCAGATCCGGCAAATCTTCAATTGTGTACCCGTCAGCTCGACCGTACAGTTGGGTCAACGCCGAACGGACTATCGTCATATATGCATTTTTAGGATGGAATACAGACCTATACTTCCTAAAAATAGCTTCTCGTTGTTCGATACCTTCTGGCCCACCGAGCATTTCCACAGCATCTATTTCCGCCTGGACCGTATCATAAACCTTTTTCACTGCGACTGCGTTGGTTTTGAAGTCGCAGTGAGTGCACTTCCAATCACATGTGAAACTCAGTGGATCTGTGCTCAAAATAACCCCGTTATCGCACTTGCTGCATTTTAGGCTCCCCATGTGTGTTCCTAATTCAGTTTTGTCTTGGCACCTTGGACACTTGCATTCGAAGTATTTACTTTCTTTTAAGTAGTCGCGACGTACTAAAGTTGGCCAAAGGGAATACGTGTAACTGCTGAACAGCTCTCCGTTTTCTGGGGTATCGACTACGGCTCTCACATAGACGGCAAAATCGTCTGGAGATACCGAGTGATGCACATTTGAGACACAGTTGTGGGAAAGAATGGCTAGTTTTGGGTACAAACAACGGATGAAATGTCCTGCAGTGGTTCTTGCTTCGAATGCATTGATTTCGAGAATACCACAAACAGTGTGGATTAGCTCTTCTGGAAATCGATCTAACTTGCAAGGACCTCGCAAATAACCGACAACATTAGTCTGATTAAATTGCCATAGTGGTCTCTTTTTGCGAATATCATTGTGAGCTTCCATCATTTCCACTTCTTCTTGCCAACGTTTTAGATCTTTCTCTTTTGCCAGAAGTACTCTCAATGGAGTGATGCATTCGTACTGTAGACAAACAGCTGCCGAATCATTCACTGGTTGGAATTTCACCCCAGCTTTAGCAAAGACCGCACATTCGTTTTCTCTGTGAATTGGGAGACCTTCACATTCGGGTCCACATACAGGCCATAAACACTGCGAGCACAAGGTTGAACAATCAGCAGGGGCAGAACATCCCAGACATACGGGAGGAGTATCTAAATTACAACAAGATTAGTAAAAAGTTGACACGATCAAGATAGTTTGTAATCAAGTTCCCGCCCTGGAGTGAAATTGAAAAAAATTCTTACATTGAGAACCTGACTGGCTGGCCTTTGTAATTTTATATCATGTGCAAATACAAGTAAACAATGTGTACAAATCGTTTTTTACAAAATTTGATTGCAAAAAGATTTTTTCGTTAAGTATTTTTTACACAAAACTTGACGATTTTTCGCTCGTTTTGACAGAATCACAATAAAATAATGGTGTTCTATTTGTAAAAGAATGGGATAAGACTCTATATATATTTTAAATATTCTCTCTGTTTACGAAGATTCGACTGTGGTTTGTTAAAACAATTTCAAGAAAATATATATGAATCACTTGGCAACGTCGCATAAGCATCTTCAAAATAAAATCTGCTTTTAAAGCCTAAGAATAGGCCACGACATGTAGAAGCTTTAGTCCGGATTTTTTTTTGTATCTTTATAAAATAATAAGACATCCAGGCGAGAGATATTAATGACTCACCTATATAATACTAATACGAAAATGCACTTTTCTAAAAATGAATAATTGTATATTTTTTGTTAAACTGGCTTAAACGCAACAATTGAAAATGCAAAAACGAAATATTTCAAAAAAGATCACCTTAAAATATCTTAGGCATAGAAAATAGTAACACTTGCAGTGTAATTTATGAATCTGTGTTAAGGTATTATCCTAGGCATGTAGATTTTTGGGAAAAAATTACAATAATTGTGTAACAACATTCTACAATTTAATTTTGAAATTGCAAAACAGATAGCTCGGAAATCTTACAAACGCTTTAAGGTTTTTTATGGTAAACTTTGTAAATCGTTAATCAAAATTTATCCACTTATACACCCTCCCAAAAATTGCTGACAATTTCAAAATTTTACCGAATAAATCTTATCTAAAGTCTGCAAAATACTAAGAATTCATACTCGTGGTCCACCAGTGCATTCATATTTTTTAGAAATACAGGGTGAGAAAATATTATATTTTTTATTATAATTTCACGCACCTGAAATCTGTTTATAATTTTATTAGACTGTTTTGAATAGAAATATTAAATATAAATAACTGTTGCAACTTGAAAACTTTTTGTCAGAGTTAACAAAGTGATCATATGACCTAAGTAAGAAAAATAAGTATTTTTGATTGAATATTGCTACCTTGGTTATGCTATTGTAAAATTCATGTTTTCAAAATTCATCATTTTTAAAAATGATACATTTTGAATTTGAGAAATTTTATTTTTTTGATAACCTGTACCTATAAGTTAAAAAAAATTATTCAGCTATGACCAGTTGACGAATGTTCCCCTTATATTACATATTATAAAATATTATACAATCTCGACTTTTTTTTGAAAAATTTTTCATAATAAATGCTTCTAGAATTAAAAATTGAACCATTTTCGACAGGCAGCAAAGAAATATTGTAGAAGTCCAACATTTCTGACATTAAAAATTGACAGTAGTAATATGTAATTGTTTTCACGAAAATTCTTGTCTCCTCCCAAAAAAATTGATGACCTCATCGAAAATAAATCCTAATTGAGATATGCAAAATACTACTTTATACTTATGGCTTATCAGTGCACTCATAGTTTTTGGAATTATTCATAAAGGGTGACTCAAAAAAAATAATGAATTAGGCAATTTATTTTATTGATTAAAACAAGAACGACTCACTCCATTTTCCTGAATTTTTGGGAATATAATACTCTTATTATTAGTATTGTGCTGCATCTATCCAAACTGATATACGTGTTCTTTTTGTAATCGAGAAACTCACTTGAAACATATGCCTAGCACGCTCCTCTACATTTATTTTAGTGTTACATATCCAAATTTTAACTTATGGAGGTTCTCATAGAAAATTAAATTCGCAAAATCAAATTTTATAATTATATGAAAAAGCTGGATAGGTTTTATTGTACTGCAGTTCTGTCGAAATATTTGGCCAATTTTTTAAGTCAGTTTTTATTATTTTTACTTTCGGAACGAACATGTTTCTGTACCAAGTGGTGGTTTATGAATTCATCCCTACTTTCAACATTATATGAAGTCAGTTTTTTGACAAAAAAATGAAAATTGTACAACTAAACTTTACAATTTAACTTCGAAACTAAAAACTCCATCACTCTGAATTTTTACGGCTATCTAGCTTGAATGTGATAAATCGCTAACCCAATTTTCTCTGGTCATTCCTACCTAAAATTTGATGACGTGATGAGGTAAATCTGGCTTAAAATTGATATTGTCATATGCTCTCTTACTGTCATTTAATAATGTTATGCATATTTTAATGAACAGATATATTAGAATGTACGAAAATATTTTTTTGAGGGTTTGAAAGGGGAAATCACATTGATTTAATGAATAAACAGCAGCGATTAAAATTTACTAACTGATCCTCTCCAGAATCTTGATGACATCATCGCGAAAATCTATTAAAGAAGTGCTTGTTGTTACAAATTGTAGTAATTTGTTTTAAATTTGGTTTATACAGGATGTAAAAAATAATCCATGTTTTAATTTTATTGACTAATTTGCAGTCTACTTTTATAATTTATGAATTTGTATGACAATGGTTCCAAGGTTAGGGAAGTGCTGTGTAAATAACCTATTTAGACCTACTTTTTTAGGGAGGTATCGAAATACTCTGTTTACATAATGATTTTTTTTAAATACCATTTGAAAATTTCTATTCACGATGTTCTGGAATTTCTTAAAAAAAGTTATTGGAGCAGTTTTACAGCTGTGTCGATCTTAGAGTGCACGATGTCCAAAGAGCTTTTCAGCATTTTTATGCGTTTATTTGTAAATCGACGCAAAAATTTCCCTTCATTTTGGTGTTGTTTTTTGAAATTTGGAAATATATGCCAATAGGCTTGCTATTCGAAAATACGTCAGTAGAGTTATTAATATTATGATAAATCCAGCCACCAATTCTCAAATTTGGTTCTAAAATGTAACATGAGTAAAAATGACCTAGTCTAAAGTTTTGTTAATTATATTACTGATTCTTTTGTACTGTTTTCTGCGTATTACCTCCAGATTGTAAATCGCAAATAGTAACAAATGCAAAATTTTATTGCAGTCGACTAATAAATAAACGTTTTATAGAAAAAATTGGTCTAAAGAGTTTAGACAGTACTTCCCTCGCTGTCGGAAACTTGACGACTGCATGGCTATTGTGTTTTTTTCTCATTACATTTTTGTAGTGGGAATTTAAAAAAAATTGCGATGACGTCATCAACATTTTTGCAAGAACACGTATATCAGTTGGGATAGATGTAATGTAATACTAAGAATAAAATTATTGTATTCCCAAATTTTCGGGAAAATGAATTGGGTCGTTTTGAATATTGATTTGTAATAATCAATAAAATAACGAAACAATTTACTCACGTACACGGCAACTGAAATTCGTTTATGTATAAACATTCTTAATTTAAGATGACAAGCGTAACAGCATACGTGAGAGTCAAACAGAGAAACTGTAAACAAAACGACCATCCGTTTTATTGCTTCGACTTCCGCTTATTATATAAAACATTGGGTTTTATTTTTGTTTTTGACGGTGAAATTCACAATTGGTTGATTATAAACATGTCTATTCCACATTCGCGGAACCTATAGTCAGCGCATAAAACAAATGCACGTCCGTAATGTTAAAGTCGATATAAATAAGCGCGCTACCCTTATGTTTCAACCGAGTTTTTACTTTAAAAAATTTTGTGTCTACCAAATTGGGTTGGTCCAATGTAATACTAATAATAAGTGTTGCCTTTAATATAATCAATAAAATAAATTGACTTCATTAATTTTTTTGAGCCACCTCTTAAGAAAATCTAAAAAATATGAATGGAATGATAAATCACATTTACAAACTCATCATATTTTTTGCATTTTAGATAGGATTTATTCAGCAAAATTTAAGGGTGACGTCATCAATTTTTTTAGGAGGGATGAACAAATACATTTTGAACAAAAGTTTACCATGCTTATAATAACTTTAAAATATCTCCAAGATTTCAAAGCATTCGGTTTTGTAATTCCTGATTAAATCGATAAAATAAATTCACGCATTCATTATTTTTTTTGAGTCACCCTGTATATGCAAATCCAAAAATATGAATGGAATGATAAATTACAAGTACAGACAAATCATATTTTGTACATTTTAGATAGGATTTATTCAGCAAAATTTTGGGGTGACGTCATCAATTTTTTAGGGAGGATGAGCAAATACATTTTGATAAAAAATTTACCATGCTTATAATAACTTTAAAACATCTCCAAGATTTCAAAGCATTCGGTTCTGTAAATTCTGATTAAACCAATAAAATAAATTCATGCATTCATTAATTTTTTTGAGACACCCTGTATATGCAAATCCAAAAAATACGATTGGAATGATAAATCACAAGTACAGACTCATAATATTTTGTACATTTTACATAGGATTTATTCAGCAAAATTTTGAAGTGACGTCATCAATTTTTTAGGGGGGAAGAGCAAATACATTTTGATAAAAAATGTACCGTGCTTATGATAACTTTAAAACATCTCCAAGATTTTAAAGCATTCGGTTCTGTAATTCCTGATTAAATCAATAAAATAAATTGACGCATTCATTATTTTTTTTCAGTCACCCTGTATATACAAATCGAAAAAATATGAATGGAATGATAAATCACAAGTACAGACTCATCATATTTTTCACATTTTAGATAGGATTTATTTACCAAATTTTAGCGTGACGTCATCAATTTTTTTAGGGGGGGATGAGCAAATAAATTTTGATAAAAAATTTACCATGCTTATGATAACTTTAAAGTATCTCCAAGATTTCACAGCATTCGGTTCTGTAATTCCTGATTAAATCAATAAAATAAATTGACGCATTCATTAATTTTTTTGAGTCACCCTGTATATGCAAATCGAAAAAATTTGAATGGAATGATAAATGACAAGAAGAGACTCACCATATTTTGTACATTTTAGATAGGATTTATTCAGCAAAATTTTGTGGTGACGTCATAAATTTTTTAGGAGGGGACGACCAAATACATTTTGATCAAAAATTTACCATGCTTATGATAATTCTAAAACATCTCCAAGATTTCAAAGCATTCGGTTCTGTAATTCCTGATTAAATCAATAAAATAAATTGACGCATTCATTAATTTTTTTGAGTCACCCTGTATATGCAAATCGAAAAAAATTGAATGGAATGATAAATGACAAGAAGAGACTCACTATATTTTGTACATTTTAGATAGGATTTATTCAGCAAAATTTTGTGGTGACGTCATAATTTTTTTAGGAGGGGACGACCAAATACATTTTGATCAAAAATTTACCATGCTTATGATAATTCTAAAACATCTTCAAGATTTCAAAGCATTCGGTTTTGTAGTTCCTGAGTAAATCAGTAAAATAAATTTTGCGCATTCATTAATTTTTTTGAGTCACCCTGTATATGCAAATCCAAAAAATATGAATGGAGTGATATATCACAAGTACAGACGCATCATATTTTGTACATTTTAGATAGGATTTATTCGGCAAACTTTTGAGCTGACGTCATCAAGTTTTTGGAGGGGATAACCAAATATATTTTGACTAAAGATTTATGATTCTCTTTAGAGCCTTAAAACATCTGCAACATTTTAAAACATTCGGGTTAGCAGATTCAAAATTAAATTGCAAAATGTTGTTTTATGATTTTGATTTTTTTTCCAAAAATCTGGACGTTTCTGGTAAAAACTGAATTCGGAATCGTAAACTACATGTGTAGGACTATGTTATTTTATACAATTTAAGACCCATTTACTATGTACAATTTTGAAGTGACGTCATCGCATTAGTGGTGGGGATGATTAGACAAATTTTGGTTAGCGTTTTACCATCTACATGATGTTTTTAATATAAGTACGAAATTTCACAACAATCGGTCCAGTACTTTCGGAGATTATCTGTCTAATAAAAATCCGGGACGGCAGACGGACAGACGGACAGACAGACGGAAATGGGAGACCTATTTCTTCGTATTCTAGGAGTCATGAAAGATCGAGAAAACGTAAAAGTAGAGAGTCGGCCGACGGACTCGATTACAATACTTCCTTTGCTTACGCTCGGGAAGTAAAAATAACCATCAAAATATCTACCTGTACAGATACTTCAAAATTTGTTAGAAAAATAATTTCTCACTGGATTATTTCCCATAAAATTATTCGACTTCTCTCTGATTTAACCGAATTCGTATTTCTTGCTGTTTGCGATTTACCAACCAGAGTTATGTAGTCATTACAAAACGTTCGCCTTTTTTGAAATGAAAAGTATTTATTGCGACTAAGTTTTGCGCTCATTGTTAGACATTATTAACGCTGCACTAACATTAGTGGCATGCGAAGTAGTTAGGTTGTCAGATATTACATATTATAAATCACAAAACTTATACTGAGCCAGTTTAGTTTTTGTTTTTTAGGTAAACAGCCTCATCCGCACAGTTAGAATATACCGGAATCATCCTGAATAAACTGCGATTAGTCAATCAATAAACAAACACTTAAAAAGTAATGTCATATAACATGTTTCAGAAGCGGTTGAACCGGTGACACTATCTGTAACTCGCCAATATTTAACAATTTTGGTTGAAGGAAATAGAATTAATATAAAGTTAGAACGGCCAACTTAACAGTTGAATAACAGAGGCGTACGTCGCCTATGACTTCACGTCCAGGAATAACATGACTACAAATTATTTCAATCACACATTGAAATACCTGATCGAAAATACACCTACCCGATTTTGGGCCATAAGCAAACGGTTGCTCTGAAAAAATTAAATCTCCAGGCTTAAGGGCACGACTGGCCACTGCGTACCGTCCCACTTGGTCGTTTTTCTTAATTGTAAACAAGACTTCGCTCGCCATGTCTTATCGAACTGTTGCGTGCGGTGCACGACTGCTTTAATATAGACCCGATTTAGAACTTCGAGAGAATTCTCGTTTAATCTATTGGCAAGGTGCCGACTATTACAACAAACAGATTAAATCGGATTTTCGATTTGAAAATTACTGTTTTTCTTGTTTATGTATTTTCACGCCGATTATTGTTTCTCAGTCACGCAATTATGGAGGTGGCGATTAGACCTGTGAGAATTATTGCAGCAATTGCGGCATTACAAGCGTCGAAAAACAAACTCCATATTTTGGTAATTGGGTTGATTTTAATTTTGTTGACTGTTGCAGTTGTGATGAGGCAGCTTCTGGTCCCTGTAAATGGTGCTAAGGGATTCATCATAGCGTCAGTTGAGTTTGCAAGCTATAATCTTCGGCTACCGACGGTTTTTTGTTGTCTGGTTATGACGAACCGAAAAAGAAACAATATCGAAGATTTTACTTTCTCTATCTTAGTATTAGACAAAAAGTTGAGTTCTATGGGGTTCCCTGTCGATTATGACGATATCAAGAAACATGTGCGCCGTTTGATCGGTTTCCTAATATTTAAAATAGTTCTGCAGCAAATTGCTTTTTGCACTCAAGGTAAAAGTTTATTAATTCATCGTCACCCGTCGTGATGAATATGATATTAAAGGTTTTTCTTGGGACACTACAGATTATTTCGACTATATCGTTCACAACATTCCACTCATCATTATTCACGCTCTTCTAATCCAGTGGATCATCTACCTCGCGATTCTTCATCTTCATTTTAAAAAACTCAACACAATTTTAAAGACATTTTTGTATGGTGAATGTTGGATGGTGGAGGATTTTCGCCGTAAGAAAACCAATCGAAAACACGAATTTATTCGTTCCTGTGGGACAATTTACGACACGTTGTGTACGCAAAGCCGGGAAATTAATAGCGCCTTCGCTTCACAGATCCTGTTCTTGATTCCCACCGTATTCATCTTGATTATTTTCAATTCGTTTCAAACTTGTCGCATAATCAAAAAATTGATTGGTTTCGACTGCGTATGGGTTGTCTTTGATATTCTCTATTTTGTGATTTTCTTAGAACTCGTTGTTCCATGTGTCGTAGTTCGAGAAGAATCCGAGAAGTTCGCAGATACTTTGCACAAAATTAACGACAACGCAATCGACGATGCGGTAAATAAGTCCACTGCCAATGGGAAAAAACCGATGCTATTGTTACCTTTACAGATTAATCTATTGATTCTACAAAGTTATCACCAGAAAATCGAATTTTCTGCTTGTGGTGTCTTCCCACTTGACGGCACGTTGATTTATACGGTAACTGAATTATTAATTTGTACGACTTTTTCTAAATGGAATTTTTAGATTCTTGGAGCTCTGACAACTTACCTTGTCATTTTATTACAATTTGATTTGTAATAGCAATAAATAAATTCAATTCTAGTTTTTGTTGTTCATAAAGCGAAAGCGTTTGTGCGCTACTGACAAACCACAAAACATTTTTTTTGTGACCAACTTTCTTCCTCCGACGGAAGCAAATGAAAGTGGCTTTTTATTTAATTGTCTAAAATATATAAGGAATTCTCTTCAAACTGCACTCAAACTTGAGTCAAAACTCGATCTGAATACATCCACAAACATGAACTTTGCTAAAATCGTAAGTACAATATTTCGCACATTTAAAAAGCACGTTACGTAAATGCAGCATTTTCAGCTCAACATTTTTGTCGTTCTGTTCACCATTGTGGTGTCAGCTTTGGCAGCTGTGTACCCTGCGGAAAACGGTAATTAAAATAGTGTAAACTAATTGGTCAGTTATATATTGTGCTGTTGTATAGTTGCTGAAGCCAGCGAATTCCGTCCAAAACGTGACCATGGTCAAGGCGTCACTGGCCCTGTGCACACTTACGTGAAAACAGACAAACATGCCAACTTCAAATGGGGAGTTAAACACCATGTAGGTCACCATTACGCCGGACGCCGTTAAAAACTCAAACTCAACCCTTCCACGACTCATTTTTATGTTTTTTATTGTTGTAAATAAATTCTATAAAAAATGCTTTGCACTTTTTTTTCAAATATCACACGTGAACAAATTTATTACCAACTTAATAATTAAATCACACATCACAATTATTCTTTAGTTTAAGGTCTCGTTTCTAACTTTTTTTTATCAGTGATAGTCTCAACAGGATAAGATGATGATGTAACAAAAGTTTGAGGAATATCATTACCAAAGTAAACCTTACTATTTTGCGCCAATGATTCATACTTCTTCAGTTCAAGGTACTCAGCTGTGTACAGAATTTTATTAACCTCTGCTTGTTGTTGCATACTGTAAAATTCGGCATCAGCGTGACTCTTCTGCCTGGCAAGATGCATCTCATCTTCAATCTGCGCAATTCTTTGCAGCGACTCCTTTTCCATAATTTTCTGCTGGTACTGGATTTTTGCAACCTGGGCTTCTTTTTCCGCCTCAATAACGGCTCTTTTTCTTTCAGTCTCAGCGTCCTTTTCGACAACTTTTTGGTGCTGCGTTGCGATCAACAATTTCGTTTTCTCGCCTTCCATTAACTCATAATTTTTGCGAATGACTTCAGGGATCTTTGGTTTTGTTACTCTTACGGCTTGAATTGTCAAACCTGGCGCCATTTCTAGTAAATCGCGTTGTAAAGCCTGTTTCAGATTTTCATCAATTTGGTCAAAAAGGTCGATGTAAACTTCATGTAAAGTGTGAATACTGCAGAATTGATTAAGTTCGTGGTGGACTTTATTGAAGATTAAAGTCTTATCATAGTCGGCAGTGTAGTTCCTCACAATGTCCATAACTGTAAAAAAAGTTAAAGGGGGGTGATTAAGAGAAACTAAATTCCTACCGCTGTTGGCATTGAGGTGATTAACTACTTCTATCCTGTCAAAGTAGATCATGACGCCACCACTGGTACCGCAAGGAACATTCTTCACTTCATCGGTTTGAAGAGTGACCTTAAATAATTTTGCTGTAACGTTTACTCAGTTTACAATCTATTTTATATACTTGGACAGATTTATATGATGTTAATAGAGGGATCATCATGTGATACCCAGGTGAGCTCGTAGCTGGTAGTAAAGCGCCGCCCTGTAACAATTTCCGATTAGTTGGAAAAAACAGTAATTAAATACTTTTCACCCTAAAATAGACTCCAACGTGGCCCTCCTCTATTCTGTGAAGAGAGTAATTGAAAATTATAAAAAGAGTCGAGAGAATGGACCCGATAATTAAATGTTCAGTGAAGTGTGACATGTTTTGTGCTTGTTTTTAAAAGGTAAATACCGTGCACATTCGTAAATTATTAACAAGAACACATCATACAGTCACATTTATCGGAAATCTTTACAAAATATATGTGAGGTTATGATCAATGACAGGTGATAACAGGTAAGATATAATGGGTGTGTGGACAGTTTCACCGTTTAGTGATAGTAAATAATAATTATACAAATAATACAACTCTGGTTTTAGATTTTTCCGCACAATATTTCTCTCGCACACTGCTGACACTAAAGCAAACTACTTGAATTAAATAAAAATCTAACACAAAATTTGCATAGTCCCGCCATTTTCAAATTAGTACGTTTTCGTTTTTTCTTTTTTAGATTTTGGCCACACTGCTAGTCGTTTGCGCAGGCGCTGCGGTGATCAGCTGTGATCTATTTTGTTAAATGCGTACAATTTCCTAATTCCTCCGTAATATACCTCTCTGTGCCAGAATATTTAAGTAAAAGTGATAAATTAAAGATAAGCAATGTGTTAAATAATCACCATACGAAAATTACGCAGAGGATAGACGAAAACAATGGATCTGACGTCAGACCAAGACAATGTTATGGAGCGACAAGGAAGGTAAACAAACACATTTCCGCATTATTAAAATATTAAAAATATATTTATCAACTTCCAGCTGCCTGTTGCTTCGATGTGACAGCCAAAATTCTCTTGATGAAAGTTCCCAAAAGCAACTACCCAGATCTGGTGGCAAAGATAAACCACCCTATCGTAATTACCACCATACTCAGAGGGCATTTGATGCGATGAATCTGTTAAGAAAGTAATGCTTTACAAATACTGAGTGACTGTAGTAAGCTGAATGTGTTTAATTTTAGACAAAGACTGCTCTGCGATGTGATACTAGTTGCAGATACTGTTGAGATTCCTGCTCATAAAATGGTCTTGGCGGCCTGCTCACCCTATTTTTATGCTATGTTTACAAGTTTTGAGGAAAGTAAACAGGACAGGATTGTTTTGCAGGAGGTGGATCATCAAGCACTGCAAATTTTAGTCGAATATGTTTACACATCCGAAGTACAAGTTACTGAGGATAATGTTCAAGTATTATTACCTGCGGCGAATTTGCTGCAGTTAACTGATGTCAGGGATGCTTGCTGTGAGTTCCTGCAGATGCAGTTGCACCCAACTAACTGTCTTGGAATAAGAGCATTTGCAGATTTGCATGGGTGTTTAGAGTTATTAGCTCATGCAGAGGCCTATATTGAACAACATTTCATGTAAGGGCTAAAAATATGGAATTTTATATTTTTAAGTTCATTTTAATGATTATAGCGAAGTTGTTGAATGTGAAGAATTTTTATCTCTATCCCCTCAACAAGTTTCAAGACTCATTTGCAGTGATCGACTTACTGTACCTTCTGAAGAACAGGTAAGTAACCACTTTAGATGCGGCAGACTTTTACTCTACCTTACAAAGGAACCTTTTTCATCAAAATTGAACTAGTTGATCTGCATTGAATTTCAATTTACAAAAAAAAATATATATTCCTGTAGTATTGTAGTGTACTGTGTCTGCTTTTAAGAAATTTCAACATTTTTGAGTTGTGTTTATTTTTTTCTCAGGTACACGTTTTAAGTTCTAATAATATGATAACATAATTTTTTATGCTGGCATATTTTACGTGTACATGTTTATAAATATTTTGCTTATATATTTAACTGATGTTGAGGTGAATGTTCAGTGCAGGAGAATAAATGTGGGTAGACGCTAAAAATAGGTACCTTCACGTAATAATTATCTACTCGTGAATAGAGGTACTTGTGAAATATTAAAGACTACCAAAAAAGTGGGTTTATTGTCCAAGTTCTGAATTTTTCATACATTAAATATTTAAAGTATCTAGTTTGTAAGCACTATGTTATTGAGTATTACTATTCAAGTCATTGACGCAGCAAATACCTTAGTATTGACGTCTTGTTTTTATATTTGTTTTATTTTAAAACGAGAGGTAAATAGTAGTTGCTATTATTAGAATGAATCTGCGTTTGTTCGTGTTGATAGGATGTAATGATGAAAAAAGTTTGGTATAATTTGATGGATGCACATTTAGTTGGTTATGAAAAAAATATTTCCACAGAACTTATTCTTTAAAACAGCATTCCTTTACATTACTGTGCATGAAGTTTTTCTAACATGACGTCATAATTTTTTGTGGGAATAAATATATGCAGTAATTCTAATGTAATGTAATGTAGAAATAATGATGCAGTAATGGTATTTTCGAAATTTCACGTAAATTGGATAAATCGATTTATTTATTTTTTTGAGAGAAACAATTCTTAAAAATAAAACAAAAATAAATTACAAATACTGTTACATCTTAAAGGCGAAATGTTATAAAGATTTGCGTGTTATTCTTTTAATCCTCATTTGGTACATTATTTTGACATGTAAAAAATATTTTTTATTTTATTTTTAAATATTGCGTTTCTGAAATAGTTCGTGTACCTAATAATTGATAAATAGGTGAATAATAATCAATTACTAGATTTTTATTTGTTTATTTGTTATTTTTTTTTCGGGGAAACTTACGTGACATTGAAACTGAGCTTTCACTGTTTTCACGATAATCTTAAAGGATAATTAAAATCGTAAGGTATAGTAGAGTTCAGTAGTTTCGCAGATTTTTTAGTAAAACGTGTGAAACAGTCCTACGGAAATAGAAATTTACATTTTTTGTATTCAGCAAGCTGCTTTTCTGAATGATAAGACATTAAAAAATAGTATGTGTTTTATCATAAATTAAGGTAACGCATGGTTATAATTTTCATTCCAAATGAATATAACGTTTGACTATATTTAAAATTAAAATAACTCAAACTTTTTACATTGTAATAATTCAGTTTTTGCGTATTGCCAGTGATGATACTAGAACTATTTATATAGGACGCGCTGAAATTATTGAACACTCAATGTAGGAACGGCAAAAATGTTCTTTTTTATAACTCCCGAAATGGGTCGATTTTGTGACACATTTTTTTTTATTAAAGTTATATTAGGATTTTAGAAGACAACTAAAAATTTTGTTTTATAAAAAACTTATTCAGATTTAAGAGTATTAAGTGTGCCTATCATAAAAAAGTCGTGGTTTTATTGTGTATGCATATTGGAAAAGTAAACATTATTTTCACTCATTCTCGTACGCATTAATTTTTAGTTAGTCAATTTGGTGTTATTTATTTTTGTATGTAGTAATTTTAATTTAATTAATAATTATTTGTAACGTAAACAGAAATTTCCTTTATGAAACACTTAACTAAAGGGCTTTGTAGAAAAACATGATAACAAAATCAACATTTAAAAGATTTGGCGATAATTCAGGAAGATTAAGGAAGAATTACTCTCCCAAGCGGAAGAGTAATTTACTTAATAATAATATAATATAATATATGTTTTTATTGAATACCAGCGGAAAACAAATAATTTAATGCAATACATATTATAACATAAACTGTATTCAAAAGGACAAGAATCTGTCATAGACAGTTTTTCATCTTATCCTAAACTTAAACAAACTAGAGTAAACTTAAGTGAGAGATTATGAGTTTTGAATTTGCAACAATGAATGTTTTAAAGACTTCTTAAAAGTATACAGTGGGAGACTTTGTTTAATTAAGTCTTTAAATTTATTGATGAATAAAGGTGCTTTGTAGCGAAAGCTAGCATTAAATTTGGATGTACGATGAGCAGGTATATCGTATAAATTTATATATCTAAGATTAAGACTGTGATATTCTCATCGCTTAATAAGAAGTTGTTCTAAATAATCCGGACTATTCAGTTTTAGAATTTTGTATAGCATACATCCTAAAAGGTACTGACATCTGAATTCAAATTTAAACATTTTTTCAGAGTTATATACAGGAGTAACATGATCAAACCTACTTATATTGAATGCAAATCGTAAGCAACAATTGCATAATAAATTAATATTGTTCTTAAATTAACTTTAATGTAAAGTATTCAAAAAGCTGGACCGAGTTGTTAAATTTAACTTGTTTATTTTCTTGTATTTTTTAGGAGTCTGCTATGGTATTTTTTAATTTTTGCTATTTTCTTAGTTTATTAGCATTTGTGGAATAGAGGAATGCATACAAAAAGTGAGGTTACCGTTTAAAAGCCTATAAAAGCGTATATAAGTCAGATAATTCAAATACATTAGTTGTTAATGGCACAAGTGCCAAAAATACCGTGGATTTATTTTTTATTTGTTTTACTAGTAGAAGTATTGTCTGGGACGTCGTGCCAGAAAAAAATGAATAAACAAGAGGTTTTATTTTCTTTTGAGAATTAATTATTATAATGATTTGAAATCTTGGAAGATTGCTTATATTAGTTGTAGCAATTTTTCAATGGTTGATTGATGAACAATTTCAAAAACAAGTGGTGTTAATATTGCCGATGAGAAATGTGACGTATGATATTCAAAGAAGCTATTTAATTTACGTTGTACTATATGCACGGTTGCAGAGGCAGCAAGAGACCGCCGCTAATGCGGAGTACAGCAAACTTGCGATCTTTGGAATTCATCAACGCTTCAGTGACACAAGGTAAATTATTCAGTGATAAAAAGTCCGCAGATGTAATAAAAATCGAGATGTTCACGGTACTCTATTTTGTAGACATTTCTTAAATTATTTATTACAGTTTGCAATTCTTTAAATAATAGCTTTTAGTATTTTAAAAATGTGGGTCGCGTGAGCGTTGTAGTAGATTTCATTAATAAAGCATAGAATTTAAGTGCGCAATATAAAAGCAACTTATGCGCATCCATTAAATATTTTTCTCTTAAAAATAGAGGTTAGTGAATTTTAAAAACTGCCATTTGAGCATTTTTTTTCGTTTTCTAGAAATAAAATATTTAATATGTATTAACAGCAGATATTTTAGAGCATCAAAAAAATTAAAGCAGTAACCATATTCTTAGCATTATTTTATCATTATTAGGTTGTGCGGGAAACAAAATAGGCTTTGAAATAGATGATAATATTGTGTATTTAAACAAAAACAGTTTATTGCAAATGTGGGAAATAATAGGTACATTGAATGCATTCACTGCACAATTAATGTTTTTTTGGCTTTTAGAGAGCGACTATGTTTTGTGTTGGGGCCTAACGGTACATTCTTGGTCTCATAAGGTTGCAAAAGGTTCTTTTGTAACTCCAAAATTAGTGTCAAAAAAATTTACCGGAATGCATTTATTTAAAGTGGGTTATAACTAATCTGTTTTTTTAAATATTTATTTAATGCAAAATAGTAAACCGCGATTTATTTTTAATATCGTGGGCAGTCTTCAATACATTTTAGATCTGATTTATTCCCTGCACTTACGACAGAACGCAGGTATGTTGCAGATGTAATTTCCTAAATGAACGAATTTATTAGTTCCGAATTCCGACGCAACGTAAAAGGCGATCTTTTGTAGCAGCATGTAATTGGCCATTTTAGCGTAGATACTTTTTTTAAGTGCAAAAAATAACTACAAGGAAATGAAGTTAATGTCCTACTCTTGAATTAACTGTTACTTTTGTGCCTTCGATAAATGATAATAAAAGCAGCAATTTTGAACAAAAAGATTAGATGTCGAACAAGGGACAATGGGTTGTTCAATAAATATTACAGCACTTTACTATAGCTAACTATTGATTTCTGGGTTCTAAATGGCAGCACCCCCTATGCGATTCAACAAAGAAAAATTTTATTTTCCAATTTCCACCTTTTGATACGGATAACATCGCTTTTATTGTCCCTGATCGGCAGTTTGTATTGCTAAAAAAATCCAAAGAAATCGGAAAGAGACTAAAGAGAGGTCCACAATGAGATAAACCGGAAGAGGCTATCTAAAATCACTAATCGTTGAAGTAGCTCAATAAATTAAGTTTCGCACTTTTTAGTAGATTTGACTTAACGTTGGTGTTGTATTCGTCTTGTGCAAAATGCAAAATTCAGTTAGTAGTTAATTATTAGTGGAGCTTTAAACGTATAAAAAGAGTGCTAATGAGTTTTTACGATTTCAATACAACTTAACGAGAAAAGACTAAGCAACGATTAACTGTTCGTACGCCAATGTGACACGAGTAAGGTTTTTTGTAAAAATTGATTCAAACGCAATAAACAAGATCAAATTCATGAGGAAATGTATTTTTTAGTAGACTAGAATTTATAGTAGAAATGTGAAGCTAATTTCATCAACAGAAAAGTTCAGTTTCGTAACTGGTCGAGCAATGGTAATGTAATTTATCTATAAAAAGGAGTGGAAGAAATAAAAAACAAGTTTTTCCATATTTCTGAAAAGCGTGAATAATAAATATAATTCTGCAATTTAGCCTTACATTTGCAGTATTGTGATCAATTTATATTGTAATCCTGAAGATAGTACTCTTACAATTCCAGTGTGATATAAAACATGTTGATGAATTATTATAGGAATAATAAAGTAGAAATTAGTTGTGTCCTTGGTTGTGGTAGTCTTGAAAAAAGAGAAAGAGAAATTTTTTTCTTGGATAGTTTTTTATGTCTCAACGTTTTACAGTTTGTAGACGAAAATGTAGGCCTCCAGTTTCCGTCTGTCTGTCCGTTAGTGATTTTATTATAATCAATGAAATTACTGAACAATACTTTGAAATTTTAGAGCTAATGTAAGATTATCGTGTGAAACATTAACCAAAATTAATTGAAAAACTGATCTCAACGTTGTTAAGTGAATTTCACTTAAAATATACGACACGATATTTTCTGCGCTGTATTAAACCACCCATTTATCTCATATTAGTCTTGTTGGGAATGGATAATTTAATACTTCGAAAATTCTGAGAAGATAAACATTACTGTTAAATAAATTTACGTTCTAATTTCAACATTAATATGTTTATCCCCTATAAAAAGTCTGTGGCGTCATTTTAAAAAGTTATTTGTTTATATTGTTAAGTACTAGCCACAATGAAATTATCTTAAGAAGTGGAGAAAGTTCCACGTTGGTAGGCTTAGGTTCGGAAATTTCAGTTTTGCAGTTAATATTGAAAAAACAATAATTGAGTGACACACACTTTCTTTAATTCCTCTTATTGTTTTTTCGTTCTTTTACCGCCACTTAAGTATTAAAGTTCTTAGCAAAATTGTAAGTTCTGTGTGTTATGTAATTGAATTTTCTTTAGCGAACGCCGCCCGGTCGCCGTCACCGACACTGAGTCACTCATCCATCATCGTCGCACATACTAGAAAACCTATAGGCGTCGTATCGGGGCGGCGTATGGGTACATTTCGTAACAATATCTTGGTTATTTGAACATTTGCAGGTTGATTTTTTTTTTTTTTAGAACAGTAAATTAGTGTAAAGAAATTTATAAAATGAATATACTATTAGCGTTTTTAAGTGCATTAAATAAAATATATTTGTATATTTTCAGTAGTATAGCAGTTGATATGTAACTCTTTTGGTTTTATGCTAAAAAAAAACTTAAAAAACGATATCCCGTGTTGCTTTTTTCACTCAGTCTCAGATATTTGAAAGAATGGAAGTTTGAAATTTGAAAGGATTAATTACAAAGTAGTTATATCGTTGGCACTATATCTGCATAACTTTTTTATTCCGGATGGAATAGTGTATCTTTTTTAAGATTCTTCTTAAATGAAATTAATGGGATGATATTCATACTTGACTGCTTGCATTTTTTTTAAGTTCAGCTGGCAAGTTTACAAAAGAGTTATTAATTTTGGCGTGTATTTTTACCTCCATGCTTCCTAAAATATCAACTGTTCGTTTTTTGTCGCTGTTTTTTCTAAACATTCGTTTCAGTTGTTCTAAATATTGCGATTTTCTAATAACTATTTTGTTATTCATGTGAAAATATTCTCTTTGTTATAATCTTATTTCATTTCTATCTTACTAGGTACTCTTTACGTCTGAAAATCATAGTCGTAGGGTATCTAGTTCTAAAAGTTATTAATATAAAAGGTAGTTAAGAAACATCAGTTGTCCGCAAATGCCTTCGTTTCTTAAATTTTTAAAAACATTTTGAAGTATTTAAATGACGTGATATCGCCGAAAAAGGGAAAATATACTGTGTGAAACACTGTAAAGATATATTACATTCTATTTGAAAAAGAAACAGTATCTGAAAAACTAAAGGACTATGAAATATTAGAAAATCACTCAGTTTTAAATTTCACCTAAAAATCAAAATTATAGCTATATCAACTTGAAAATTTAACTGTATATTTATATGAACCTATTGATTGAATTTTACGGATCCATGGTAATTTTATAGTGAAACGACCGGCTAATATGTATTCTCTAATATACGATTAAAATTCTATAAACATTTTAAGGTCTATAATAGTGCATGTAATGTCAAACAAATATGGGATAGGTTATGCGGGTTAAGTGCAAATAACTTTACATGTTTTTTTTTTAAACTGAAAAATATCAGTGAACGTTGCTGTTAAAAGCATTATTGAAATTATTTATTCCATTACAGTTATTATGCCCACGAGACACATAATAATATAACAGATAATAGAATGTTTGTTTGTGTGCAATGTTATGGTTGTAAAATAAGTGTAAACAATTTATTATATTATCTTGATTATGGTTTCTCAGAATTTTTGATTTAAGGCCAGTCGCTACGTTTTCTGAGTGGAATTTACGGTCTATTTTCAGAATGTAATATCTCCGTTATTAACAGACTTATGGTTTTGAAATTTTAAATATATGTTGCCAATAACTTTCTTTATATAACGGAAGGGCAATTTTGTTAAAAACAATTTGTGGTCATACTTTTCTTTTAATTTTAGTGAAATTTTTGCATAACGTATTTTTAAAATATATCTCAATTATTAAAAGAAATTTCAGAACACAGTTTTCAACACTGTTTTCAGCTTACAAAACTCCAGAAATCGTACCAGATATATCGTCGACTTTTTTTGTTAGAAACGATACACAGTAAAAAAAGCTTGTGTTGTAGAAGTTCCTAACTTTTATTTTAACCATGTCTCAGTCCCAACGAATAAAGTCAAAAATAGACCTGGTACGATTTTTAAAGTTTTGCATGCTGAAAACCCCGTTCCAAAATTTCAATAAATAATTGAAATATTGATTTTTTAAAATACGTGATGCAAAAATTAACAAAATTTAAAAAATATATGATAATAAATTGTTTAAAAAAGAAGTGCCCTTGCAGTTATATAGTGGAAGTTGTGGACAAGTTGCATTTAAAATTTCATAACAATAAGTGTGTTAATAATGGAGATATTACATTTGGAAAATATATTGACAACACCATAAGAGCAAAACGTAACGACTCCTCTTAAGACGAATACAGCTGATCTAGAGTAGGGATTTTTTAGTATTATTGTTTACATTTTCACTTCTCCGAGTGTAATTAAGGAAGTGTTGTAATATGGTGTTTGTAGAGTATGTAAAAATAAGCCTCCCGTTTCAGTGTGGTCTGTGTCGATATTTTATTAGTGAAATAATAATCGAAATTATTGGACTGATTCTTAAGAAATTTTAGATGTATGCTAGGAATAGGGCTATTATAAAAAAAATGTCAAAATCAAATTTAATAATTTTTCGAAGAAGCTGGGTTTGTTGGAATGTACTTCAGGGGCAAGGGAAGTTTTGTCTAAACATCAGAACAATTTTTTTTTAGAGATAAATTAATCTCTTTACACAATAGTAGTTTGCTCTTCGTGCAGACTTTGATTAATCTTAACTGTTAATATTTAAGTGTAATTTTGATTGTTATATTCAGTAATTCCGTTCTTCTTCTCGAAGTTGCCATGGTTTTAATAAATTTAAAACGTTGAAAGAAATAAGTCGACGTCACATGTATGCATATTTTTACCAAAGTCTGTAAGCAGCAAATTTACTTCGATTGTTGGTAAATTTTTGTTACGATATATTAACAAATTTGTCATTAGCATATTAAACATGTCCAGATACTTATGTATATAATTACGTGTTCAAAAAGTATACAGAAAAATGATGAAATCGATAAAAGCTGAATAGTACACAATATATTCACGTACAAAATAATAAAAATAAAATAATAAAGATTAACGTAACATCTAATAAAAAATATTAAAAGCAAACCGTATCCTAACTTTGTTTTTCTTCATCAGGTATTCGAATGTGTCATCGCATGGGTGCAGAACGACCTCGAGACCCGCCACAAGCACTTAGCCTCCCTGATGGAACACGTACGTCTTCCTCTCACTTCCAAAGAATATCTAGTTCAACGCGTCGAAAAAGAACCCCTCCTGAAAGCCGACTTGCAATGCAAGGACTACATAATCGAAGCCCTGAAATACCACCTCCTGCAGGGCGACAACAAAACGACCTTCCACACCCCCAGGACGAAACCGCGTCAACCCGTCGGCCTGCCGAAAGTTCTGCTGGTGGTCGGCGGTCAAGCCCCCAAAGCCATCCGCAGCGTGGAATGCTACGATTTCAAAGAAGAGAAATGGTACCAAGTGGCCGAGATGCCGACGCGGCGGTGCAGGGCCGGCCTGGCCGTCCTCCACGGCAAAGTTTACGCCGTCGGCGGCTTCAACGGCTCGTTGCGCGTCAAAACGGTGGACGTTTACGATGCGGCCTTGGACCAGTGGAGCACTTGCGATCACATGGAGGCGAGGAGGTCGACGCTGGGCGTTGCGGTCTTGGGGAATTGTATTTATGCGGTGGGGGGTTTCGACGGTTCGACAGGCTTGAACACGGCCGAAATGTTCGATCCCGCGACGCAGAAGTGGAGGCCGATAGCGCCGATGTCGACGAGGAGGAGCAGCGTGGGAGTTGGGGTGCTTTACGGGCTTTTGTATGCGGTAAGTGCCGTTTTTTTGCTAGTGGAGTTTTGAGCTTGGAAGCAGGGGCAGCACTGATTTCCTCTTGGGATTTTAAACATATTTTTCTACAATTGGTATTTCATTGGAATATTTTTAAAATTTTTAAGACGCGTGATTTGAATTGTACTAGCTTTACAAGCAGCCTGTTAAAATAGTGTTATTGTATAGTGTGTTGATAAATATTTAGGTCAAGTGGGTTATGGAAAAGTTCTTAAAATTGTCGTGCTTTTATTAAAATATTAATTAACAAAGTATTTTTTAAAATGAGTAGCATACATCTTGACAAATTTAAGTAAGTTCTCCTAGTTTAGCAAATCTATATATAGCGTCGTCAAATTCACAAAGTACAGAATACGAAGGTAGTGCGGGTAAACCTCGAACAAATATAGCAAATTTTATAGGTTAGGTTATCTCCATGAGTTTACAGCATGGACCTATTAGAGAAGGACAAACTACTATCATTGTTTAAGTATATTATAGTTGGACAACCTAATACACATTTTACTTCGCCTAAATAGTGAGCTTTAGGACAAGGAATCCAGGGGGCGTGGGACAAATTTTTCGTCAACGCGCATTTTCACTACAGTGAGCGACCGTATTAGGTTTATTTTACTCTACTTCAGATGGCGCCATCAAACATTAGCAAAGGCAAACACCCTTCACTCTGCTCTTATACGAGGAGTTATCCATAAATCCATAATTAACATTGTTCCGTAAGGAGTAATGTATATAGACATATATGTACAAAATATGAAAATATACTTGACATAAAAAATATGAAGCAACGCGTTGTAACGTGATACGAAAGAATTGTATTTAAATGAATTTGACGCCTATTTTTGTTTGACTATATCTGAAGACTGACAGAAACTTTCCAAGGGTTTTTAAACTGGTATAATTGTTTAGTTTTACAAGATTTAGTAAAATTTTGAAAATATTAACACAAAATGAAAATATATATTCAAAGTAAATAATAGAATAACATAAACTTTCGGCGATGACATCACAAATAATTACAAGACAGAAAAAAAAACGCATGTTTGTAATATCGGGTTGTTAAAGATTGCTTTGAAGACTCTTTGTTTCTATGAAAAACAATTGATGAAATCCGACGTTTTGGTAGATTTTGTTCCAAAAATACGAGATAACTAATTGTTTCTAGTTGAACTAGTTCCCGTAACTTTTAAAATTTAAAAAGGATACGCCATTCTGCTGTAATAAAATCTAGAATAAGGTCAAAATCACACTAATATTACATCTGATTTTGTCAACCACATGAATATAATAATTTACATTAAAATAAGTTACAGACATTGTTTGAAATGTTTACTATATGTATTTCGAAAACAAGATAAATAAATAAGTAAATAATTTAAAAATTTTAGTATAAAAATAATCATGTTTGAAGCTTTATTTTGTCTGTTCCATTTTATTGGGTGTACTCTGTACTGGGCCCCTCTCGGGATATAACACCGACATCAGTGCACCGAACCAACGTTCTTCAACCGATGGAATGATTTATTACTTCCGTTATGCTAGCCCTACACACAGCGATCTGGTTTTCGGATTTTCGGCTAGATCTGCACAGTTAACTCTTTGCGCACTGCACACTGACACAGACACAGAGTATTTTGTTCACACCAGCATCAAAAATACTACGCCGAAAGCACTTTTTCAAGTGTTAATTGTTTTAAGATGTAATATTTGTCAGCGCTTCCAAAATTTTCCTCTTTGCACAGGTCAACTAATTTTTCGTAAATCGCATTTTAAAATTTTTGTTATTGTATTTTTTACTTTTTAATTTTCTAAGGCATGAAAAAATCCCATATAGGTTTCTATGAATTTATTAACGAAATCAACTGATAACTTGCGCGCCATTTAGTGTTAATTAATATCAATAGTGATTATGATAATTTTAATCCATCTGAATGGAAATCCATCTCCCAAATATTTTACATCGATATAAATTTATTACTTTCTTGGCACGATTTGTAATCCAAAGTCTCCCTCCACATGCAATTTTTCGTCGCCTGAGAACTTGTTTGATCTACAGACCAAACCACACTCAGGCCAATATCGGCTTTAAGCGATCTATCTATAAGTTGACATTCGTTAGAGTTGATCTGATACACATCCACTACGAAGAACTAACCCGTTTCGACCATTGGACTTTACAACGAATAAGTGAACAAAGTTCTTGAACATCTTAACGATTTAATACATAATGTTTCCGAATGACAAAATTTATCTCCAAATTTTACAATACTGTATCCTCCGTTTACGGTTTATGCATCCGTGTTGAGTTTTCACCTTGGACGTCAAGATTTTTGGAAAAAAATGAACATTTTCCAATTTATGTTATTTAAATTTTAAAAAATAGCATAGTCCTGATCTTGTGATTTATAAATACTAGAGATGTACCGACTGCAGTCGGCCGACTAGTCGGCTTTGTCAAAACCGGTTAAAATTAGTTTAATCGACCGAAAATTGGTGTCAAAGTGTAGATAATCTTCCGCTAGTTACGATTCTGAAATCGCCGTCACGATATATGGTCCAATAAACACGCAGAGCGAATTCAAAATTTCCAAAAATTTTCCAAAAAAGTGGTTAAAATTGGTTAAGTATTGTATAAACTGCCCTAAATTGTGTTATTCTTTATTTTTGTACTGAGTTACTACAAAAAATTAAATGTTAAAGTTATCCAAAAAAATTTAACACATTTTTTGGAAAAAAAAGAAACTTCAGTTATTCCTTTTATTAAAATAAAACAAGTTTTTAAGGTAGTCAGAGAAATAGAAAAAAAAACCCACTGTCTGTTGCATTTATAAACAGTCGGCCGACTGTAGTCGGCACATCTCTAATAAATACGCTATTGAGACTTTTCGGCTTTTCGATTTCTAGATTTTTCAACTTTAAATGTCTCAATTTTTCAATATTTCAATTTTGGGCTTTTCCAATTCTTCCATTCTTCAAATTTTCCATTTCCCGATTTTTACTTTTTGGATTTTCAATTTATTGTTAAACTTTAGATTTTTCAATTCTTCGACTGTTTTATACTTCGATTTTTTTTTCATGTTTTAATATTTCAATTTTTCAAATTTTTTAATTTTAATTTTCGATTTTCCAGTTTTTCTTTTTTAAAATTTTTCTATTATTCAATTTTTTTAGTTTCTCAATTTATCGAATTCAGATGTTTCGTTGTTTGTTCAGTTTCGCAATTTATCAATTTTTCAATTTTTAACTTTCCTTTTCGACTTACGACTCCTCAATTTCTCGATCCTTCGATTTTTCGATTTCTCGAAGTTTTTGAATTTTTCGATGTTTCGATTTTTGGATTTCTCGGTTTCTCGATTTTTTTCTTTTGAGCTTCTCAATGTCTGGATTTTCCAATTTTTTAAAGTTCCGATTTTTCAATTTTTTAAATTGAATTGGATTTCTCGATTCTTCAATTTTGCAATATTTTAATTGTTTTAAATCTTAGATTTTTCGATTTCTCGATTTTTTGACTTCTCAGTTCTTCAGTATTTAAATTTTTCAATGAAAAAATGTTGACGTTAATTTTTCAGTTTTCTGATTTCTCAATTAATCTATTTTTGATTTTCCCACTTCTCAAAGTTTCGATTTTTCAGTTCTTCAATTCTTCAATTTTTCGACTTCGCCTTATTGGTTTTTCGATTTCTCAATTTTTGGATATTTCTTTCAGTTTTGATATTTTTCAATACTTCGATTCTTTGATTTTTCGACCTCTAGATTTTTCGATTTTATATTTTTGGATTTTCAGTTTTTCGGTTTTTATACATTAAATTTTTCAACTTTTCCATATTTTAATTTTTAAATTTCTAGATTTTTCGGTTTCTCGATTTTTCAGTTCTTCAGTTCTTCAATTTTTCGATTATTCAGGTTTTTGATTTTTCAATTTTTCGATTTTTTAAGTTTGCGATTTTTCGACTCTGCTTTTTTGACTTTTCTGTTTCTCAATTTTTTAATTCCCTAATTTTTGGATATTTCGTTCAATTTTGTGATTTTTCAGTTTTTCGATTTCACAATTTTAACTTTTCAATTTTTAAATTATTAGTTTTTTTCGATTTTTTGAGTTTTCAGTTCTTCTATATTTCAATTTTTCAATTTTCGGAATATTTAAATTTTCGATTGTCCATTTTTTTTTTATTTTTCGATTTTCCAATTGTTCGATGTTTCGATTTTTGAATTAACCGATTGTTCAATTTCTCGATTTTTAAATTTTAGACTTTCCAATTTTAATTTTTTTGATTTTTTTATGTTTCGATTTCTCGATTTTACAATTTTCCCACATTTGAATTTTTCAATGTTTTAAATTTTCGATTTCGAGAATTTACTGTGTTACAGTAGTCATCACTCATCAAGAACGATTATTGCTGTGCGTTCAAATGCCTACATACTGATAAGCACGTACATACAAGACGCATTTAAGGCTGTTTTAAGTCTGCTACATTTAATTTTTGCGATTTTAAATTTATTTCTTGATGTCTAAATCGTGTATATTTAAATGGTGGTAAATATTTTGTGATAAAATGCATTTTAGTTTCAAAGATAATATGTATTTAGTGATTTGACTACTGTTAATAAAAAAAATACGTAAGATGTTCATACTGAATTATTTGGTGTTCATAGTTTGATGATAACCCATTGTTATTCTGGAGGCAAATTAGATGACTTGTTACTTATTAATTAAAGTAGTGGTCGTTTAATTTTGTGCCTTTAAAGTGGTGGACGAAGGGACGCATATATGTTAGCCATGCAGTTCATGGACAATATACTGCGATAATATTAAATTTTTGTTACCTTAACCTTTATTTGTTTTTGTGCAAATATACGTGCTACCACACACATGAAACAGGTATGCACTACATATAAATATGTTACATATATGTAAAGTCTTCAACACGTATGTTCGCTTATTTTGTGACTGCTCCCCGTACAACGTACTGAGTAATACGTCC